TATTGAAGTCAATGGAGAGAGAAAACGTATCTTTCGATCCCGTTTGAATTGTGCCATGAATTACACATATGATGTTTGTCAATCTTAAAAAATCATTTCCATGTCAAAAAAGTCACAGTTTGTCGTAAAACTGTTGAAATATAAGACTATGAAAAATACGCAACTAGAAAGACTACAAATCCCAGAGTCGCGTAAGTGATGTCACAATTGTTTTCCTCCACTAAGAGATAGCTAAGATCAGCGCCATATAGATGGAATCTATCTATATGGCGCTGGCTAAGATAAGATAACTTTAACAAGATGCCTGTGTGCTTAGTACCAGGTTGTTCATACCAGCAATGGGTCTTGCTCGTTCTTTCGCTTCCCGTCTGATGAAAGGACTAGGAGTGTCTGGATCAAGCTAGCTAGTAGCTAGCACGTTAGTTAGCATTACAGCCTTGTCATTTGTATTAGCCTTAACATGAAGTAACATTAAGTAACCCAACATGTTAAACAGTAAGAATAGTAGTCATATTTCGTGAACCCTTTGAAGAGTACTGTCACACCGGTGTGATCATTCTATAATACACAATTTAAGCCCGGGGGAGAAATGCTGACGCTAACGCTAGCGATCTTCTCTACTTCATGCTATCTGCACTAATGGTTGACATTAAACATTAAAAAGACCAGGCAGTTCAGAAAGAATCAAAGGAAGGCAGGCAGGCAGCTTTGCATGACTTTCTTCAGGACGCGTTTCATTGTGGTGATGGTGAGGGTAGTCAATCGTTTTGTTGACAAGACAGTAGTGACGGCCATCTTGGTGACGTGTGTTGTTCTGTGAGACCAGAGATGTAGTTCATTGAGTGTTTCATACAAACAAATGTGTTACTTCACAGTTTTACGACACATTTTTTTTTTTTTGACTTGCAAAATTATCTTTTAAATTGACAAACATCATATGTGTAATTCGTGGCACAATTCAAACGGGATCGAAAGATAATCTTTCTCTCTCCATTGACTTCAATACATAATTTTTCCGAAATAAGGTCCCATTGAGGTCCACCGGAAGGGGAGGGACTTCGCCACTCTATAGATAGACGTTTTTTGTTATGATATTTTCTGTAGAAAATATAAGAAAAAACGTTGCACGCGAAAAATCACGGTTGAGGAGGTTGAATTGACAAGTAATAGTCTGCTACTAGTATCTCAAAAACGAATATTAGATTTCTTTAATGGCCCCAAAGCCAAACAACCAAAAAACCCTATCGACTCGGAGTCCCTGCAGGTGGACACAGACAACTGTCACTCCAGCAACCCGGAGGAGAGAACACCCGCGGCCGCGGCTCTTGTTAACGACGTTGCCCCCTGTCCAGCAGCTAACAACAACTCAGTTGCCCTCGGTGAAGAGCCTTGCCAGCCCAAGGACTTTACATTCCCTGCCAGGCGGTTTGGAAAGGAAACATTCACCCGATCCTTCAATTCAGGCTGGCTTAAACAGTGGACATGGCTTCACTATATAAAAGAAAATGATAATGCGGTGTGCTTCTTCTGTTATATATTTGGTGGCAGCCCTACAATGAATGATCTGTTTGGTATTTTGAGCCAAACACTTTAGAGACATGTTTTGTTAATATCTCAGACCTATAATATATTGGTGAAAAATAGTATAATAGGGGACGTTTTAAAGGCTGTGCAGAAGCATATGTTAACCTGATAAGCCTGATAAAAAAAGGACCCCCTCGACGGGTCCTTTTTTTTTTTTTTTTCACGACACTGTGTCTCAGGGCATCTTAATATTTAAAAACCTATTAATGTGTTATACCAGATTAAAGGGAAGAATCTCAGCTAACTGACGATACGAACCATTTTTACCAAAACAAAACACAAGTCTCATAAGAAGCATCTAAATGACCCCTGAGCGGAAAAATGCTAACGCATTTGGCACAGAACTCCAGATAAAGATACCCTTATTACTTATCGTAACTGCGCATACAAGATATCCGATATAAACTGAGACTCCACAGATTATATAGGTATCATCACTGAGCGATCAGAACTCGCGACAGGGGAAGCAAACACAGACATCACAACACGTAGCATTATGGAGCAAACACGGGAGATCGTCTCACCTTAGCTGTTATTCAGTGTCTGTCACTTTGAAAAAAATATTTATAATCCATAATTCCATTTTTATGTAAAAATCGGAGAATAACAGTTAGCTGCTAATGGTAGCCACCAGAGTTATCGCAGCTTCCGGTTTTGGCTACGCGTCACTCTCACTCCTTATTTGGTAATGTGGGTGTGTATCATAGACTGTATATATAAATGGACGTAGTGTCCGTGACGTCACCCATAGGATTCTGCAGAGTTGCCGAGAAGCTCTTAGTAGGCGGAGTCGGCCACTAACGGCTCGACAGTGACGTCACAGTCTAACTCCCGCCTGCTCCAGCCTGCTCCAAATAAGGGCAAAGAGGCGGAGGCGGGACCTGCTGCCTCCGAACTGGAAGTAAACAGAGCTAGCTCAGGCTAAGAAGCTAAGCTAACATGAAATACATGCATACCAAGTTACTGCGTGGCACTTTGGTTTTTGATAAAAAAACAGTGTAGTTCCCCTATATAAACGTTACATTCATAATCAAACGAGACAATCTGCAAGAGAATTAGCTAGTTTTTGTTATTCTTAATGCTTGTCATCACGTTAATAAAATAAAAGAAGTACCGATACATAGCAGAACAATTGTGGCGATGTTCAGCTTAATAAGCCTTGTTCAACATAATTTATTTAGCTAATACAGCGGGCTGCAGGCGAACCAAGTCCGCGTTTCGCTGCATTCCTTGATCTCCAGTTATAACGCCGGACTCCACCGCTCGGAGCTAACGGAGCAGCAGGGGGCTCCGGGATGCCGGCTGGAGCTAGCCCCCTGTGGCTCCGTTAGCTCCGGCGGCCACCACTGGAATAAATAATTGGGTCCCCTTTTAACATTTGCTCCCGTTTAGCATTATGGGCGTCATAGCCATATACTATAAAAGTCTTACCCAAGGCTGAATCATAAACTAAACTGTATATATATATATATATATATATATATATATATATATATACACATGTATAAAGGGTTACGTCCTTAGCTGGCTAATAAGCTACATAACAAGCTAAGCTAACAAGCACACAAACACCTGCTAACGGGGTTAACATTCGAAAAAAGCTGAGAGTAGACTTCTTGGAAGTTCTGTTAGTACATTCAAGCGCACAGCACGACATTTTAATTGTCTGGTATTTGTAACAATATTCCCTAAAAGGCACAATCACCACGAAGACGGCTAAAGGGTCAAGTACAGTAACTACAACTAACTAATGTTGTAGCCTAGCAGAGTGGACAAGTTGCTGTTAGCTGACAGTGAGGCACGTACCTGTCCATCAAAGTGACCACGCCCTAATTTATGCAAAAACTTTAAGACCTATATATCCATAATAATATTTATTGCATCCAGGGGTAGAAACATGTTTTTTTCTGCTGTAAAATTGGGCATTTTAACATGGGGGTCTATGGAAATTGCTCCTTTCTGCAGTCATCGCCTATCGGCCAATATATGAACTGCAGTTTGTGGCACTTCCGTATTGGCGTCCCGGCTCTTCCCCAGAGTTTGCCGCTTGGTGTGTATGTGGAAGTTCCCCTCGATTCCATTGGCTCTAGCGGTTAAAAAGAGATGTCAATCACCAAAATTGACCAAGGGGGGCCAGAGATAGGTCAAATCCACCCAAATGACCCCAGAAGTGTTTTTCTTTGCTAAATCTCTCTAAAAAGGTCAAATTGCACTTGTTTTGCATCAATCTTGATACAGGGTAATTATTATATGTTGTAGTTTGGATTCCTAAAGCTTTTAGTCTACCATCCCATCATTCAAGGGTGGTTTTCACTATAAGTAAAAAATTATTTTTGGACGGACACTATAATTTACAGTTTTTTACTATGTTCAATCTGAATTTTCTTTACAATAAAAAACATCTATATTGATTCTGACTTTTCTACATCCAACTCACAGGTGTATCATTACTTTGAGAAAAAAGATTATTAATGTTCCCCTTTTAGAAGGGAAGATATGGTCATTTGTTCTGGAAATGTCATTTTCGAGCCTGAGGCCTGAAAAACAGGCTCGGGGCTTAACAAGTTTAATAGTGTGCACCTTATTCTCGAACAGTCTGAAAGGGACTTCACATTGGTTTCCATATTGCCTCTGACATTAATGTTCCAAGCTTTTTAATGTAATTTATTTGAATTATTATGTTTTATTTCCCTCTTCGTCAGACAACATTGGCGTGTGTTTGAGAAAAGAGAAGTGTACCCCTGATATGATCGTAGTACTTGATTGTTTGGTTGGCAAAAACAAAACAGAGGATGTGAATGTGTTGACAGCCAGGTAAGCACCTTTACTGTATCTTGTATTCAACTTTCAAGGAAGCACTCAAATATAATTCCGCTCACCTTTTTTTTCATTCCTTTGTAAAAGAAATACATTTTTAATCTATTCTCTTTTATATATAAAAATGTATTTCATTTTGAAATGCTGCATCCAAAACATGTGTAAAGTTTTAACCAGCACCTTCGTGGGCGTCTTCTGTATACAGTATACACACATCATAGTTTTCAGGCCTCCCTGCCGGCGGTAGATTAGGTATTTTTCAGGTTGTCTTATTGTGACCACGATATCTCAGGGACGGTTCAAGGGATTTTTTTTTATTTGGCACAAAAGTAAACTTTAACTTAAGGATGAACTCATTAGGGTTTGGTGGACAAAGTTTAAGGTCACTGGAACCTCACTCAACACTTATGGCTATAGCTCAAGAACACTAATATTTACCATCTTACGTCGTACATAATGTGCTGTACAGTAATAGCCAGTGCCACAATGTTGCTGCTGTTGTGGTTTTTATTTAAATATACATTTTATGCACCTCTTTAAATTCACAATACTATTTTGCTGACAGTTCGCTGCTGAACTTTCTTTGACATTGAACACAGGACTGGTGACCATGGTGATGGCCGGACATTTGTCACAACCAGGACTCCAAAAGAAGCTATACTGGTAACTTTTTCTGTCTCTCCTTTGAACGTTTCTTTTAAAGATGTGGGACTGACAGGGCTGTACACATTTACAATGTGATTTTCTTGACTTGAATGTTCATTAGGTGCTGATAGACACAAGCTCCTCCATGGAGGAAGAGTGCTATGCAAGTGCAGAAATACAGAAGATCAACGCTGTGAAAGAGCTCTTTGACAACTTTGCAACGAGGACCATGGCTTATGATTTTTGTCACATCATCGGTCTTGTGAAGTTCGACTACCTGGTGAAAGTTCTTCACACATTCACAGAAAATCTGGAAACGTTCAAGGTAAAGTCAGTGTATCTGTCTTGGATTTGTCCAACAGTTTATGTCTGGCTGTAAAGCACTAATTTACTAATTTACCTATTTTTTTCAAATTTTAGGAACACGTGCGAAACATTAAAGCAAGTGGATGCACTCTGCTGTACGACGCTCTGCAACGGGGGGCGTCTGAGCTGGAAAAGGTCAAGACGAGGTTTCCAGATTGTAGACTCCGCATCATGTGTCTTACTGATGGAAATGATCTTGGGTAAACTTCTTCCTTTAATCATGCTATAGTATCTTGTTCATACTTGATCTGTAACTGTCAGTAAGAATACAATTACTAATGTCAGGAGTAACAATGACAAATAACAGATATTTTAACTGAGCTAAAATCTCAATCGTTTCATTCTTACTTTCCATAGATCCGGCATCGAGCCAGATGCAGTTACAGTCAAACTGCTGAAATCCAACATCGTTGTTGACTCAATCCTTCTTGGAAAGGTGGAGAATAACATGCTTCATGGAATCAGCAATGCAACAGGTATGGCCTCTTTTGTAAGAGAACGCTTTAAATAAAATCCCAGTGATATACTTATAGAATCATGCTTCAAGAAGTGTAATATTCTGATTATGTCATTATGCATTCTGCCAATTCAAGAGAACTCATCACAATCCTCATTGAAGTATTTTACTTAATGATGTTAACTATTATTTCCTCTTATGTTAATTGCATTTCAAGGTATTCAACACCAAAAGGCTCAGGCATATACACATATACTGTATATTGCCTTTGGTACATTATATTAGCTGGTTGCTATGAGTCCTCCCAAATGTTTAGATCCTGGCTGAAAGTCCTTAACTTAAGAATCCTAAAATCAGGGTGGAAGTTAATGCCATAAACTATATTACATGTCTCTAAGAGGCTTGTAGAGAGCACATTTAAGTGTGAGCATCTGTGTTTTTCAAAATCACAATTAGCGTTTAAGTGATCAAGTAAACATCTTGTAAGGTGGGACACTGTATTGTATCTGAAAAGTCTGTTTTGATTGCCATGGATATGATCTCTGAACAGATTTATATGCAGACACGTGTGCATTTCCCACCTCACTTCCCCATTGCCTCCAGGTGGTTGCTGTTTCAAACCAAAGACAACCAAAGACGGTCTGAAGCTCTTTGAGATTGAGACGGTTCTGTCATTAGAGCAGAGGAAACTCAAGGAAACACATGACCCCTCTTCCATCAGCAAGGTTAGATATTATAGATCGTTGTCCACCATTCTGTTGGAAGTGATATCAAAACGAAACTCATTAGGTTTTTACATGGAACACTGATCAGCACTGATATGCTAATTCATTTGTTTTTTTGATTTTATAGCGTAGTTTGACAAGTATCTTTGCTACTCATGGGTATGATGAATGTCCAGAGACATCCTTGCCAAGCCAGATCAACAGCAAAGGGACAGCGACAGAGAGGTGAGTAAGATAGGATGAGATACAACCTTAGTAAACAAAAGTTCAGTGATAGAAACATCAGTTATATAGATGCTGATCAAAAACCTTGTCAAAAAAAGTTGTTATTATAAAATTCATCTGCTGATGACCCTGCCTGCTGAGTTGACAAAGTAAATGTGTCACACATGTCATCTCTGAAAAAATTGCATTGATCCCAATCAGACTTACAAAAAAGTTTTGTGTTGTTCTGTGTTAGGTTAATGAGACAGAGTCTTACAACCAACACAGCGGGTGTAAAGCTACTCTGTACGGCAATGTTAACATGTTGTATAGCAATACCTTTTGTTATTATGTGCAATGGTTGGTATACTCTTAGACCTATGATTTTGAACTGCATAACCAGGTTTTATGTTTTATATATATATACATATATATATATACTTTTTTGTATGATTTACTATCTTTATACCTTATACTGTAGTGCTCTCAAAAAGAAGATTAAGGAGTCCTCTAATGGGAGGTTTTTGGAGAAGGACAAGCGTGTGCTGGAGGAGCTGAAGAGCCTGCACTGTGACCCTCATCCCTTCTTCAGAGTCTTCCCATCAGAGTCAGACTTTAGTAAGTGGATTTTACTCTTATTACTTTCTTTTTTTCTTTTTTTGATGGGGCTAATACAAGTACACTGATTTGTGTACATGTATTTTTTCATATATGCTGTGTTCTTATCTTCTCAGCGTTCTGGAGGATTCTTATGCAAGGCCCTCCTGACACACCGTATAAGAAAGGCGTGTTTGAGCTGTACTGCCAGTTTGGTCCTGACTACCCAGCCAAGCCTCCACTCGTCCGCTTTGTCACATCCGTATCCTGGCAAAATGCAAATAACTGAGCATTAAACCATTTTCTTTTTTTCTCATAATATGTAAATAGGCATTATCTGTGCAAAATCTACGTGTGTTTCTTAACATGATGACAGGTGTACCACTGCAATGTCAACAGTGTGGGTCGCATCTGCCACAACATATTTGACCGCAACTACAACGCCCACATCACCATGAGAGAGATCCTAGACGCTGTGTACGGACTGCTGATCATCCCTGAGCCTGAGGATCCACTGGACAGGTGAAATTTATACAATTTCACAAATGAGTCACCATTATGGGCCCTTGAGCTATTTTTTACAAATATATTTTTTTTAGATTTCAGTAAGTCTTTGTTGTGTGCTTAAAATGATATGTACATCGGAAATCCTTAGCTTCCTTGTATTCATATGTATTTGACTTTGATGTTACAACATCCGACGTTGATTATTTGATCATTCTGCAAAAGTAGAGGGTTGCTACAGATTTTTTTGTGAGATTATGTTTTGTTTTTTTACTTTTGAAGCATTTTGGCTGAAGAATTCCTGACGAGCCTTGAGACGTATCAACGAGAAGTTGAGAAACACACAGACGAAACTGCAGGAAAGTCACTGGATGACATGGAGAAAGTAAATGGGCTCTTATGTAAACATATTTGTGGTGGATATCACCTTGTTCTACATGTTTGGCCTTAACATAATGGGTTCTTCACTTTGTTTTTATTAAAAGAACCTGGTGGAGCCTGTTCCACAGTTTATACCCCAACATCTGATCTGTCCACTCACCAAGAAGATGTTTGTTGATCCTGTGAAAACGGTGTATGGCACAGTGTATGAACGCAAGGCCATTGAGGAACACCTGAAGCAGTGAGTTATTTGCTAAAAATGCATTACCTGTATTGTATATGTCTGATAACTGTTGAGAAACCATATGGTTGTATATGAACAATTCTTTAAATGGCTTTCAAGCACAAAACATATCAGAAAACACTTTGCCATGTTCAAAGACTTGCGATTCAAAAGTCGTATTGTCATATGCACAATCTATGAATAATCTTTTTCTCTAATAAAATAGTTTAAGAGGATGGTGCAAATGTTTCCACAGTAAAGTTGTTGGCTCTTTTGCAGACACCAGTACGATCCGTCAGCTGGCCCAGGAAATGAGCTTGAAATGAAAGACATCAGAGCCGACCAGGACATGAAGAAAATGGTGATGGATCATCGCACTCGGCAAATTAACGTCTAAGTAACAACTGTGAATATTTACATCGGGTTCACAAATAGAAGGAAATAAACCAGCTATTCCTTTTATTGATACAACTTGCTCAGATTACATTACCTTTTACTTCTGATTTATAATCATATACTATACGTTTTTCATTTTTCTCTATTGAGATATGTGTGTTTGGGGTTATGTTTACTGAGATATTTTGATGTGCTGGTTAGTCTGACACGAAAAATATTTTTATGCAATGATGTCGTAGTCAAAACGTTATAAGTGAAAAGGAGCAACTAATACCATTTTGCAAGAATATTCAAGGTTTTTTCTCAAAGTGATTTAAAGCAGGAAATGGTTGTCAGCCTTCAAATAGTTCCTATTTCTCATGTAAAGCAATTAAAGATGGTATGTATTCAAGTTGTTTTGCATTTTACAGTTTATGAAGTTTATGAACTGTCAAAAACAAACTATTTTGGGTTGATATAACACAATGGTACAGAGAAGGAAAAATATTAATTTAAATAAGAAATAATGTAAGGATAAATCAGCTTTAATAGTATACAATTATTATTTTAAAAAGGACTTTATTCTTAAAAGAGTTTGACAATTTTGTGTAATGATTTTAAATTGTTATAGTGTTTGAATGTTCTTGGGAAATTGGGGGTAACTTGTTCATGTTCAAATTGTATAATAGTTTTGCTCACAAAATGTTGGATTTATGATTATATTGCTGGAAGATAGAAATGCAACATCTACTATTGGAAAAACAGTTGGAAAAATAACTCCTATAACTGGACTGACAATTTAACTCTCATCTAAACAATACAAGAGAGTATTGGAGAAACAAAACAACACAGAATAAACGAATATACAAAAGTTGCCTGATTTTTTTTCCACAGTGTATACATACCTATTTGATTTGTACATACATCTCAGTGTCACTTATTTCATATCAGTGATGATGGCCTTTGCGCACATGACCAATGAGGGCACGAGATAAGTTTGTGCACGAGATGGAAGGCTGACAGGCAGGTAGGCCATCTAATTATCTGCCGAGGAAGATAATTGGACTTGCTTTTTACAGCGCCACGGCTTCCACAGGTGAAATATTTGTATATATTTATTGTCAAAGCATTTCATTTATTCATTGCTATCGGGATGTTAAGAGCATTCCATGGAATATAACAAAAAGTGTTTCTGAAGTGAATTACCTACCCTACCTTTAAGTAAAAGTAACATACTATGTTCTTTTAAAACTCCATGTCTATGGTAAAAGCAGAGCCCTATAATACGGCGCTGGGTAAAAGTATATATCTAAAGGCCAATCACCGCCTCCCATTCTACATGACGTCACGTCCGGGAACCAAGTAAAATTACTTTCAATTTTATTGAATACAAATAAAATAGTTCATGTATTATTTACAAACTATATTAAAGTGTTATTTTACAAGATCTATATATTTCTTTATAGATAAATCCTATTCATTATGTTACGCCCGTACGGACCTGGTGGTTTTACCCAGAGCGCTGGTTTTACCGTCTCCGGTTATGCTTTTATTTTGAAGACTGTAAACGGAAGTGATATAAACATACTTGGATCATGGATGTGTATCACATGGATTGAAAGCCGTCGAGTCCGCAGATCTGAGTAGATTCAGTGTAAGCAGGAGGAATCTGACAGCAGGTGAGTTAAACTGGATTTCTTCTTAGATTCTTAATCTATATTATCTTTGGTTAATCGTTTTGTTCACGTTCTTTGTAGAGTTACACTGAACGCTATCGATACTTAAGTTCTCTCAACAGGTTGTGCACTTCAGACCTGCCAGCGTTTATAGTAAGGTTTGCTCACTTTTGTTATGATAGTATAATCTATGGTTATTATGACTCCTGTGAATGAAACCTCTCGCAGAATTATTTCCAGACTGTTGTCACTAAACTAAATGCAGTTCTTTAGTGTAAATTGTTTCTGACATGGCACTGATTTCTTTAGTTCAGCTCAGCTCTAATGATCTTTTGCTAATGGCACTTATATATAACAAATTAGGCTAAAATATATTTAACGGAGGTTTCATAGTTCCACATGCTTTTTTATTCATGTTTAAACCGTCTTATAGTTAATGTTTTAAAGCTTCTCTTTTTAAATGGTAAGCTTTCTTTGCAAATCTAATCATTTTATATGTACCTGTATTTTTTCATTACACTTTTTCTGTCTTTTTTTACATTTTATTTTGAAAGCCCTTTAAGCTGTATTAATGGTATGACATTTTCATCTTGTTATTAATATAAAACGTATTAATGACGATTGTGAGTAGTAATCTTACATTTGGCAAAACGTGGTCTTCGTAACAACAACTGCAGTTGGTTAGATTAGTATCCTTTTCTTTAAATGTGGTGATCTTTCCATTTACTCTGAACTGATCATACACTGAGAGGTTGAGCAAGCACCTGCCTTTCCTGCAGAACCTGTTTACTCTCCGTTTAAGTTAAATCACTTCACAGTTATGCAGAAAAGTGGAACCACTGAAACTCGTTTCAAACAGTCTTGTTGAATCTCAATGGTTCTGTTGTGAAATACAATAAAAAGGCGAGGGGGGGTTCATGTCAACATTAGAGGAAATGCCCACTTGATTAAACCATTGAATCACTCAAATCATGCAGGTTTTGCTGGTTAAACACTACAATACAATACTCACTTTTGTCAAAAACATAAAATGAAATACACATGCCTGCTAAGTGTGAGAATTGTAAAAGTTGTGCCACTTTAAACATCAACCACGCTGTTGTAATTCACTGTTACCATCTTATGGACATTAAATTGAGTCTCACGCGGATAAAGATACCCTGTTTTCCATTTATACTTCTGAGCAACTCAGAATGTATAACAAAACTAAGAAGAAAATGCAGATTCATTTTAAAGAAATACAGTTTTGAAGGCACATTTGTTCAAATGAGTAGCTCTAACACTACTGAGAGATAAATAAATACATGTTTGCGAGGGAAATCTTCTCTTTAACTGCGACACATCAGCAAAAACTTAAACATGCAGCGATAAAATTAGGCATTAATAATAGTAGATATTAACATTGTCACATTTTCTTTTATAATGGTTATCAATATGATGAGTATAATTCATTAATTAAGATTAGTTTTTCACTTTTACCTCAGATTGTTTAATAACTGGAATCAAACACTACAACTCTCATACATCTACTTTAGTTTGGATTCTTTGATTGCACCCCATCTTCACATCACAGTAACCCCTCTGCCTTTTTTCTCCAGCACAATGTGGTGGTTGCTGTGGTTGCTCGCCGCCTTGCTGGTTCTCTTCTGCTCCCTGGATGTGTGGTACTTCCTCCGGGTCGCTGCTGTGGTCCTGCGAGCCTGGTTCCAGCCTCAAATCCGGGACATCACAGCAGAGCAGACCCTCACAGGCCGGGTCAGCCCCCATGACATCGACATGTGCCACATGAACAATGCCCGTTACCTGCGGGAGTGTGACTTTGCCCGCTTCTCCCTCTACATACGTAACGGGGTATTTAAGGGATTGCGAGCACTCAAAGCTTCAATGGTCGTGGGGGCAACCACCATCCGCTACCGCAGGCCTCTGTGTATAGGGGAGGGGTTCGAGCTGAGGAGTCGCATCGTCTCGTGGGATGACAAAGCTTTTTACCTGGAGCAGAGATTTGTGTCCACGAAAGATGGGTTGGTGTGTGCAGTCATGTACTGCAAGCAGAGCATCATACGCAGCAGCCCGGACAAGATCATGCAGCACCTGTGCAAGCGGAAGGTAAGAATTGAATGATTTAACACACATGGGAATTGGACACCTTCTTAAATATTGAAAGACGCTGAGTTCACGGTGTGCTTCTTGCAGGTGGACTGCCCTGAGTTTCCAGAGGACCTCCAACACTGGGTCAATTTCATCTCTGCCAGCAGCCAGGCCCTCAGAGCCGAGAGTGGACTAGAAGAGAAGAGCAAATGAGAAATTGCATGGGCAGCTTTAAGACAGCTAATGTAACATGTCAGGGTTAAAATGAATTGGTCTTTGTTCACATTACATGACCTAAACACACTTGTGCCTACATATTAAAAAAACAAGCTATGTTTGCAGTTGCACCCAAATACTTGCCTATGTCAACACTGGAAGAACTAGCATACGAGAGTCTAGAAGCTGAAACTCATGCAGTAATAATAAAATATTATGATTGTATGAAGTTAATTGTTATGTACTTTTACAGCAATAAAACGAATTGCTTTTGAAGTCTTGTTGATATACTGTAATGATTTTATTATTTATATAAAGTGACCTCAGGTATTGGAAAAATTAAGAAGTGCTGTTACAAGAAAATTGGACTAACTGTTACATCAGTTATAATATGTCTCTGTAATGGAAAAAAAACAGGCAGAAATAAACTTTTGAGGAACACCATTGCATTTGCAGTGTCCAATATTGTGATACATTTTTTAAACGAGGGCAACTTACTTGACATGGAAGTTACTGAAGAAAAAGCATACATTTCCCCAACAATTGTTAACAAAAAAAAGTGAACACACTACAATATGAAGAAGTGTGCCCTCGTTCTCCTGTGTAGTGTTAAAAAGAAGAAAGGATAACAAATTCCTTAAGTCAGACTAGGAGAAATTTAGAGAGAGGAGACTTGGTGGATGGAAGTACGATAAAACTTACACTATGAAAGAATATAAATACAGAATATTAATATTAATAGCATACAAGGGTGTGGTGAAATGGACAAATTAGGTGTTTTTTTCCGAAGACAACTATACAGGAGAACAGGAGGAGAAAAGTACAAGAAAACCGGACAATGTAGGAGTAAAGTAACAACAGAAGATGGCAGTAGTTCACCACTAATGCTTATGCCTGCTGCTGTTTAAACCGGAGAATAAGAACTGCACAGCATCTCTGCTTACGTCACACACCCGGAAGTCATGTTCATTCATTCTGCCGGTTGCTGGTTGCTTCAAGTTGTATCGCATCCCATGGTAACACTCTCTTCTGGACGCACGGTACGTTTTAAAGCCATCAAAACACAAGTCTACCATATGTGTGCTTGATGTTTAAATGTCGGAAATGAGAAAGCGTTTTTAAAATAAATGCGACTTTACGGGTCAGGAGGTAGCCTGTGGTCTCTATTTTTGCAAGGCCATCTACTGCCGGTGGCTAGCAGCTAAGCTAACAGATTTGGCTGTCACAGCAGATCCATCTGAACGGAGCTCAAGGTTGTGCTTCTGATTACTGCGACGAGATGCTTCCATATTTTATGCTATGATATTAAGCCACAGATTAAAAAGGAACCACGGATCGCTTGTTTTTCTACACATCTGCACTGACATTGATGAGGTCATAGGAGCCTGATTAAATATTGATTGTGGATGTGAATCTACAAAACCTATAATTCCTGTTTTTGTAAGCATTTTGCGGTCATAAGCTATGGCACCGCACTACTACTATAATAATATATAATATAATATGTAACATTTATTTTGCACTTATGCAAGTTTTGATTCTTGTCACTTTGTATTGGTATTATATATCATCACATATATTATACTGTTTTTAGAAAAAAAGAGAATTGATATTTAATAACCTGATCCAATTCCTTAATTCGATCACATGTTATATTTTATATTGCTCAGCTAGTTATTAAGCTACATTATATTCCTTGGCCAATTCTGCACAAATCTACAAATTGAAAACACACAATTCAAATATATTGTATGTTATTGTATTAAATGTGCATTTTTGTTTGTTATATATATTTATTTAGAATTCTGGATCTTTGCAATACATATTTCTGTCATTGGTGTTACAATGCTAATGTTATGCACATTATATACCAAAGTAAATGCTGTGTATGTGAAAAGCTACTCGGCAGAAAACCTGATTCTATATTATTATTTATCATTTTGTTTTAATATATTACTGATTTGTGCATCATATTCTATATTATATTTATAATACATCTTTATATTTATAAACAGGAAAACACTAAGTACCATTATTTTTGTATTGCCAGTCTGATATTCACCTTATCATTAAGATGCTGAGATGTATAGTACCTTATTATTTATTCTATTCTTTGTTAAGTGTTATCTTCCTATTATAACTTCCCAGCTGGGCATCAATAAAAGTTAATCTTGTCTTGTTTGGATTGTTGTTCCAGAGAGATGTTGCTGCTGGTGCTGGCCGCCCTCCTCCTGCTCTTCTGCACTCTGGATGTTTGGTATTTCCTGCGGGGGGTCCATGTGTTCATCGAGGCGACGTTCCAACCCAGAGTCAGGGACCTGCTGGCTGAGCAAAGCATCGACGGCATGGTCCTTCCTCATGATTTGGACTACATGGGCCACATGAACAACTCCCGATATCTCAGGGAGTGTGACTTTGCCCGCTTCCACCATTACATGCGAAACGGGCTGTTCATGGCCTCACGCAAACTGGGGGCCAGAATGGTGGTAGGGGCCTCCACCATCCGGTACCGGCGCTCCCTGGCCTTCCGTGAGGCTTTTGAGATTCGGACCAAAATAGTGGGATGGGACGAGAAGGCGTTTTACGTGGAGCAGCGCTTTGTGTCCAAGAGAGATGGCTTCGTCTCTGCCATCATGCTCTGCAGGCAGAACGTGGTGCACTGCAGCCCGGAGAGCATCATCGAGTTTGTCTGCAAAAAGAAGGTGAGAAACAGCTGGAGCTGGAGGAATGTATTGGTATGCCTCTCATAGGGTTGCAACTGACTGTTATTTAAATATGCTTATCATTTTGTTGAGTAATCAAAATATGAAAAACCCAAAGTGATGAAATGAAGAAGTTGTGTTTTCTCCAAACAACATTTGAAAACAATTTGAAATTACTTAAAGAATCGTGACTGCCAAAAAAATAACCAGTTATTTTCCATCAATTTCCTGATGGATCATAATCTAATCATTTTAGCCTAACCCTAAACCCAAGGTAAATCCTTAAAATGTGTCCAAAATCACAAGATATTCAGTTTCCTAACACACAAGACAAAGAAAAACTCAAATCATCAGACTTTTGGGGGATGTTACCATGGGGATGCTTCTTATTTTTCTCTAAAAACTAATTTAAAAATATGAATGTGGCTGCCAATAATTATCTGTCCATGGACTGCTTGTTCCAGCTCTAGACTGTGGCTTAATCGTTATGCTAATGTTGTGTTTCTGTGCAGATCGAATGCCCAGTGTTTCCAGAAGAGCTCCAACACTGGATCAGCTTCATCACAGCCAGCAGCCAGGCCCTGAGAGCGGAGAGCGGACTGGAGGAGAAGAACAAGTGAAGCCCCACACCATGTATCATGAGCGTAGCCCCTCATATAATTTGCATTGCACGCACATATATACAGTATACATACATGCACACACACAGTTAATCATCGTAGAGATATTTTATTTGGCCTACACGATTACAGTGATCTCTGTTCTGGGTCCATCTTTCCTGCTGTTTATTTTTCTATGATGTGACCAGAACATCTGAACTTATGAAAACTTGAACTGTAAGATATTCCATGTTTTAAAATGCACCATATGCATTGGGATGATATTAAAAGTTCTCTCAGAAAAAAACTAGCTTTATTTATTGCAGCTTATAGACTGGCTTGAGACATCTTCATTCTCATGTTAGCAAAAGTTATCTAACTTCAGATAAGCATGTACAACTCAATTTAATCTTCCACTGACATAAATGCATGTTTCAAAACAACTAGAGGATTTATTTTGTGCCTGTTTTTTCTTGATTAGCACTAGTTTACAGTTACAATTGCAGAGAAGTATACCTTTTTACAAAAAAAAACATAGGTGTGATGAAATACTTGAATGGACGTTATGAACATGTACTGAAAATGGTTTTACTCTTTCCATCAGCACTTTGCACAATGTAACCCGAGGGAGTGGACAACAATCTGAAAGGGAATATTTGACTTTGAAGGATAATTGTAATCAGCACAGTAGAGTTATTTTACTGAATGTATGATACATGCATTTAAAGGGTGGGTTCTTGATTGGAATTGTATAAAACTAGGGGAAATGCTTAAATGGAAATAAGCAGTCATAATAAGCAAATGCTAATGGAAAACCTGAAACGCACAAGAAACAAAGATGTTAGGGTAATGCTTGCTTGGCCTTTTAAAATTGGGAACCTTTATTTTAATGAAACTAAGCTTTATTTTGTGACCAAAGTAATGTATTGTTCTGTATGAAGATAAAATATTTTTCAAAGATGTATGTCTTACCTGATATTTATGTTGTTGATGCACTGAAAATCCTGCTTAATTTATTTAAGTTTAAAGATATTCATTGAACTTTTATTTTCCACTTATATTATGTATGATCTATTGAAATGGGTTAATGTACCACACTTTATTTATTGTGTTTGCTAATTATTTGAAAACATTTTAAATTAAAAATGCATTGGAAAAATGTGTGTTACTTTGCTTGCTTTTAAGTGCTTGTTATTAATCAATAACCCAGAGAGATTCATGTACTGTGGTCTGTGGTCCTGCATTGAAGACCAGTATTTGTACCTCACTAAGTATTTACATCTCAATAACGCCACTGGATATGTGTCTTGGACCAGTAGAGTCAGTATTCAAAGTACTTGCTTCAGGAACTCAACACAAATAGGCGAATGTTTACCCTACATTGACTTTAGAGGATTGAAAAACCAACAAACAAATGTTAACCTTTTGTGAAAGTCTGAAGTTTCTGTGTTGGAAGAATTTAAACATTTGTTCAATGTTGGTCGATCTGAATCTCGGTGCCCTGATTCATTACTTTTACATGAACTTGATACCAATAGTATCAGGGTGTAGTGCATGGATTTTGGCAGTAGTGGGATGTGTACATTTGTTCATGTAGGGTCATTTATTACACTTTTGAAGTATTTTACTATTATTTTACATATGTAGTACTTCACAACTTTAGGGAAATAAGGTCATTTTAGTGCATATCATAATTTATTTGGCAACTGATGTTAGCATTTGCAGATGGTTCAAATGATAAGACCTGTACTTACATCTTTTTACTACATGTATGCATTACTTTGGTATATTTCTCCATGTAGCCTATACACCCTGCTGGGAAGAAACTAGCTAAGTGAAAACAAACTGTACTTCCGCGTTTTCAGTACTTGAAATTCACTTCACAATATTGTAGATGTAGTTCCTAGTATTATGTAGACTAGCTCCTATTCTGGCTTCACTGTAGCTTTCAAAAATGTTTGAAAAATAATTAGCGAAATTAAAGAGAATTGGAAAGTTGTGTCTGCAAAGTTTAATAGGACAGTATAAGGCCATGTTAATACAAAATAAAAACGGTCAGGCTACATTATTTTGAAAATTACGTGTTTTTTTCATCAATACGTTTTTTTATTTTAATAAATATTGATAGAAGAAGTACAAATGAAGCAAAAACCTTAAAGAAACTCATGTCGAAAATGATCACATTAATTTTTTTTTTTAAATATTAAATTCCCAGCTGCCATTTCCGGTGACGTGTATCTGGCCACGCCCCGTCCCTCGTTCACTTCCTGTAAACAAAGCAGCAGCTGTCTGTCAGATTCCTGTGTTTTCGCTCATTTTCTACTCCAACTTCAGCGTTTTTCGACGATGGCTCAGGCCGGGGTGGTGCTGGATAAGGACCAGTTTAACTGCTCGATCTGTCTGGACGTGTTGCGGGACCCGGTGACCATCCCCTGCGGACACAGCTACTGCTCCGTCTGTATCAAGAACTACTGGGACCAGGACGACTTCTTGGGGGTCTTCGTCTGCCCTCAATGCAGACACAACTTCAACCCGAGGCCGGTGCTCGCCAGGAACACCATGTTGGCCGACGTGGTGGAGAAATTCAAAAAGACTGGGCTACAAGACACCACCACCACGACGACATTTGTAAATCATAGTTTCGCTGAGGCGGACGATGTGGAGTGCGACGTGTGTACAGGCAGGAAAAACAAAGCGGTGAAGTCCTGTCTGGTGTGTTTGGCCTCTTATTGCGACCTCCACCTGCAGCCCCACTACGACTCCGCTGCTTTCAAGAAACACAAGCTGGTTTCGGCCTCCAAAAAGCTCCAGGAGACGATCTGTAGCCGCCACGACAAGCTGCTGGAGGTGTACTGCCGCACGGACAAGCAGTGCATCTGTTACCTGTGTCTGACGGACGAGCACAAGGGCCACGACACGGTGCTGGCCGAGACCGAGACACTACAGAAGCAGGTCAGTCATTTAATCAGGGCTGTGATTGATTCATGTTGGTGATCAGTGACAGTACAGTGCCTCTTTGTTTAATACATGCCTGGTCTGATACGATCTAGCTGGTGTAAAATGTCCTTTCTGTTTTTACAAATGTTCATTATTTTGGCCTATTCAATTTATTTTTTAAAACCTATTGTCTTTTTCTAGGAATGAACATATTCAATACAAGCATGGACAATTGAACACAATGTACAAACTCAACACACATTGGTTCAACAATAAATGAAACGATTATCCTATTGTTTTATTTTTGATAACATCTAGTCTCTTTTTCCAGGAATAAACATTTTCAATATAAGTATCGACAATTGAACACAATGTACAAACTCAACAAATATTGGTTCAACGTTAAAGAAAACAAATGTCATAAAAAATGTTAGCTGAAATGTTATAGCCTCAACTCTTGAAAACGATTTGTTATGTTCATTTCATTTTAAAACATTTTGTTATGCGTTCAGTTGTTTTTTCTATCTAAAAAAGCAGTGAAAGTGCCTGTTTTTCCTTTTCTTAAGTCTGGTTTGATAGTCTGTTAAAGCAGTGAAAATAACCCTTAACTTCTGTCTTAACAAATTGCAAAAAAACGTTGTTATTTCAGTAATTAATGTGACCCGATTGAGCGGAAACTATGAAACCACCCTCTTTCATTTTCTATGTTTAACCCTGTTCCACACATCTTAAACATCTTAAACATCAAATCCTATATTAAACAAACTCTTTTCCATAATATCTTTCCTCAGAGGGAGCTTGGTGACATGAAGCAGAGCTCTCAGCTGAAAATCCTTCAAAGGGAAAGGGGAGTCCAGGAGATCAGACAAGCCATTTTCTCTCTCAATGTAAGTCTGATCTGATATGTTAATACAGCACATCGCATGTCTTGCCTCTGAGTGATGTAAAAAGGTCATCATTTGACATTTTAGACGATGCCTTCTATATGTGTCTTTGTGTTTCCCCTCCAGCGCTCTGCTCGGGCAGCAGCTGAGGAAAGTGACGCTGTCTTCACTGAACTGATCCGATCCATGGAGCTGAAGCGTTTCGAGGTGAGAGAGCTGATCAAAGCGCAGGAGAAGACGGCTGTCAGTCAGGCGGAGCAGCTGCTGGACAAGATCCAGAAAGAGATCTCTGAGCTGAAGAAGAACGAGGCTGAAATGGACAAACTCTCCCACTCCGAGGACCACGTGCATTTCCTTCAGGTAACTAAACTCATATTGATAACATTAGTATTTTGAGTTTTTCGATTTTCTTGTACCTATACTTTTACTTCACTACCTTTCAGAGGGAAACGTTTAAAGTGGACCTATCATGCTATATTTGAATAATATAGTGTAGGACCATACCTATATAAGGCATATTTATACTTTTTTTTTTCAAAATACCAAACAGATCATGCATTTTAGCCATGCCTCATTTTGCTCAATTTGACAATTTCTAGCTCTGTTTGAGCAAGGGCAGATTCAGTGAGAACAGCACCATCTACAGGCCTGGCATATGTACTACAGCGTCTCCAGCGCTTTTGAACGGCAATGGCCGTGGCTGTCTCCTCCTGATTGGTGGAGTTGGCCCAATAGCCGTAGCGCCACTGTCCTGACGTCAGGACAGTGTTCAAATCTGGATCCGTTTTTATCAGATCTGTTGCAGCCCCTTTTTTAGAGATTTGGGTATGGAGGAAAATAGAGAGGGTTATGTTTTCTGACACTTGGTGAGTTCCCTGGAACACCGGGGACACATATTCATGTATAAAAGATGTACAAAAGTGCATTTTGCATGATAGGTCCCCTTTAACTCAATTCTACAAAATCATCAGAAGTTACTGGTACTTTTTCCAAGCACAAAAACATTTTTTATCTAGTTAAAAAAAAAGTAAATAATGTGGTATCTCTGTTTTTAAGACACATTAACTTTTTGAAAGTATTTTCTAAAGGTAATACTAGTGCAGCAAACTGCTCATCTTTTCCTTGTTACAAGCACCTACTCTCTTATGTAAAACCTTTTTAAACAAGTTGATTTAAAAACAAAAATACTTTGACTACAAAAAATCACTTTTTCACATCAAGAAAATGTGTGTTTTACAGAACTCTATAACATATATTATAACAACAATCAAGTTACTATTTTTTGCATAATAAGTACTTTTACTGTTGATATACTGTAGCTAAAAATACTTAATACTTTAACTTAAGAAGAATTTTGAAAGCAGGACTTTTACTTTGGAATACAAAAGTAAAAGTGTGTTATTGCTATTTTTACTTAAAGGGGACCTATCATGCAAAATGCACTTTTGTACGTCTTTTATACATGAATATGTGTCCCCGGTGTGTCAGGGAACTCACCAAGTGTCAGAAAACACAACCCTCTCTCTTTTCCTCCATACCCAAATCTCTAAAAACGGGGCTGCAACGGATCTGATACAGACTGATACAGATTTGAAATTGTTCTGACGTCAGAAACGGGGTGCTCCGCCTATATGGGCAACTCTCCACCTATCAGGGGAATGAGAGGTTGCGTGGCATGGTAACAGCATGGTAACATGACGCTCGTGCCTCGCCCCCCTCCTTTGCAACGGGGCGTGGTCAGCTGCAGCTCATTTGCCACAGAATCAGCCCTTGTGAAGACAGGGCTGGAATAGAGCAAATAGAGCGAAATGAGGCATGGCTAAAATGCATGATCTGTTTGGTATTTTGAAAAAAAAAACTTCACAGACATGTTTTATATAGGTACGGCCCTACAATATATTATTCAAATATAGCATGATAGGTCCACTTTAAGTTTATAATCAAGGATACTCAAACTCTTTGTGTGTGTGCCTTTGTGTTTCAGAGTTGTCAGACTCTCCACGCTCCACCTGTGCTGTCAGATTTGCCTTCGGTCACCATTGACCCCAACCTCACCTTCGGCCCTGTGATGGCAGCAGTGTCTGATTTTAAAGGGCTGCTGCAGGAGGTCTGCCAGGAAGGATTTGTCTGCATCTACGAGAAAGGTAGATACAAAGTGTCATTATCAAAGGTCTGTCTGATTTATCTGACACAAATGATTCCATCAACTCTGGTTACGTTGTTTTCTCTTTTCTGTAGTGAGAGAGATAGTGATCGTAAGTCCTCAAGATCCTGCTGTACCGCTGGAAACAACGCAGCCCAGTGATGGAGAGTCAGCAGTACAAATGGAAGCAGCACAAGGTGAGTCAATTAAACTCTTTATGCTCGTCCTTACACTTTGCATATATGTTTTTTTAAAGGTGTTAAAACACTCCACGGAAGCTGTGACAATATTTAAATATATTTATCAATAGATGTATGTACTTAGTTAATGTAATATCTGTTTAACTATTGCAACTAATGTTTTTTGCAATGTTATCTCATAATGCATATTTTCTTTATGTTTTGCAGTATTATAATATAATAGTATATTAAAGTAATATACTTGAATTGAGCCTGTCAAAAGCTGCATATTTCCTGCTTGCTTGTGCTTTCCATTCTAAAAACACCTTACTCAACTTGTTTATTTATAGTAGAGTTTGCTGAGTCAGCTTAAGAAAAGAGATGACAGCGCTGCAGAATCTCACAGTTCTGACAGCTGCGACTCAGTAACAGCGTTTCTTCTCTTTGTGCTCGCAGTGATGCCGAAACCGGGCCTCGACCAAAGTCCCGTGAACCATCTGAACCCTTTCCTCTATCCTGGATCTGCTGCGCCCACATTTGCCTTCTCACCATTTGGTAAAGACAGCCGATATGAATGATGAAATATATTTCGACATTAGGCAGTGTGCAAATCCCAGTTTACACTAGCAAACCAAATGTATGACAAATGTTTAATGTAAGTGACAGAAAGAAAGAAAGAAAGAAACACATTTAGTTAATGTAACATATGTTCCTTTACTTAAGTAGAACTACATTATTATTAACAGAACATGCACAAGGTAGCATCAAAAGTAAAAAGTACCCACATAATGTACCTGGTCATTTGGTGAGTTGTAGATATTTACATCTATGAATAAAAAATCTAAGCAAAGTATATTAAAAAAAACCTATATACTTATACATTTGATCATTTCAGGTTATTTAAATAAATAAATATTACATTGCATCTTGCTTGAAAAATAAATCTAAATATGATTGGTTGCTACTACACAGCACAGATCTAGGCCAGGGACATTTATGCTGTGATTTATGAATTTTTCTGTCACCTCAGGGTGCTGCAAAATGATAATTCCTGTTGTATCTTCTCAGGCTCAAAACTGTCCACAGGATCCAGACCGAGACACCTTCAGCGACGAAGCCACCCCAGGAGGAAATAGACTTTAAGTGGACTTTCCAAAATTCCAAATGCAGATACACAGACTGATTTTAATTGTACCTTAATGATATGCTATCACAAATCTGTACTGTGTTGTACATTTAATAATCAATTTCACTTTTGACTTTTCATTTATTTTTTGTGGTTTCACCTATCAGCTCTACTTGCATCTTTCAGTATAGTGCCGATAGGAATGAGATGAGGACAGTGTTTATATCCACAGAAGAACAAATACATAATGCTTAAACTATTAAGCAACACAAAGCAGGACTGACTTTTTATTTCAGTGTTTAAATGGAAATTGCCTTGAAATTATTAGTTTACCAATTTTACCGAACTGTAATCGTTTAACAATGTTGTGCTTTTATAATAACTTTTCATTTTTTAACTAAAACTGCGAAAACACTATTTTTGCTTTACAGAAACGTGTACAAATATATTATGTTTTGTGAAATGCTGTCATTAAAAAAAAAACAACACTCTTATACAAACTGGTGTTTTTTATTTACATGGGGGCTGTTTCACGTTTCCTTGTACTTTAAACAAATACGGGCACAAGGTTTCCGGGGTAGAATTAGAATAACCGGTTGAGTGCACACAAGCAGCCCTTTTGTGTTCATTTCAGATAACATTCAGGTAAGTGCATCTATGACTTGTGTTTTTCAATAAGGAAAGGCAATTCTATAAAAGGCTGTTTTGTGCAGGTTGCTTTATGGGACCGCCCATTTGCTGCTTCCTTGGCTGTGATTGGCTGCTTCCGGGTACAGCAGGTGACACAACCAGCGATAATCAGCACACCTGTGAGGCACGCCCATCTTTGTCCCTCTCAGTTTCGGCTGGGAGTGTTTGGGAAATGGCAGCAACAACTATTTCTATTGAACAGGACCAGTTCTGTTGTTCAGTGTGCCTGGAGGTCTTAAGAGACCCCGTGACTATCCCCTGCGGACACAGCTACTGCTTGGACTGCATCGAGGACTACTGGAACAGGGCCAAGCAGAAAGGCCAGTACAGCTGCCCTCAGTGCCGACAGGTGTTCAACCCCAGACCGCTGCTGAGCAGGAACACAGTCCTGGGGGAAGTGGTGGAAACTTTTCTCAAATCTGGGGCTCGACAGTTGTCCTCAAAACCCGAGGAAGTGGCATGCAGTGTGTGCACAGTGAGGAGGAAAATAGCTGTTAAATCCTGCCTTGTGTGCTCCGAGTCTTACTGTGCGGCTCACTCCAGGGTCCATGAGGAGAGGTTTCATGGGAAGGCCCACAGGTTGGTCCCTGCTGTGGACCAGCTGAAGGAGAAGCTGTGCCAACATCACGATAAACCACTGAGGCTGTACTGTCGCACCGACCAGCAGAGTGTGTGTTCCCAGTGTGTGAGAGAGAGACACAAGGGCCATGACGCAGTCTCACTGGCGGATGAGAGAGCAACGCAACAGGTCACTTTCAGTATTTCTTAATGCAGAAATGAATCACTCATTGTTATTTTGGGGAGTTTTTATGTTTCACACCGTGATTACAAAAACAAATGTTGTTGTTCTTAGTTTTTGCAACAATATTCAGACGTGCTTTATCAGAATGCATTTGATTTTAAAGTGTACTCTTTCATCTGTGATGTTTTCTTTTGTTCTGGAAGAGCTTTGTGAAGTCTTGGAAAATAACCCGCATTATATCACTATTGCCCCATCAGTGTTATTTAGCTCAGGTGCATGCTGGTTATGTGGGATTGACAGTGTAGTATTGCAAGTTTTAGGATATTTTACTTAAAAAAAAATACAACAGTGTATAAATAATTATGAAAGCAGAAATAACGTATAATATATTGTTTGATTAGTTATTCATGCATATAAATAAATTAGTAAAATAAATGTAAGTTGAAGTACAATATGTACCTGTGATAAAGGAGTGGAGTAAAAGAAAAATACTCAAAATTCTCAGATAAAGTACAGGTTTCTCAAAATGATGCCGTACAGCACATGAGTAACTCTACTTCCACCAGTGGGAATTGATGCTAGAGATCAGAAGGAGTCTGGTATGTAATGGGAGTTAGCTGTGGGCTACAACTTGAGCCCCATTTTTAATCTTACACCTATGTGTTCAGATTTGACTGAGTTATGACATTGTGACCTAAATCCTTTGGAGAGAACCCGTAAAAAAATGCTGTACCAAAAAAGTAGGGTAACTAATTATGATTCTTTTTGGGGTTATGAAACATTGTCCCCTAAGGATATATCTGTTGTAGGCTGGTGTGAAGGCTTCAAAAATCTTCACATTTTAAACATGAGAGTAAAATATGCCCTGGTCCTGCAGCCATTAATTGTGCTAAAAAAAAGTTTAGGTTATTAGACCAAAGGCCATACAGCGCAATTGAATCCTTTTGATTGTAATATCCAAAATGTCCATCTTGAAAGTCAACTGTGAGCAGAAGCAGCCTGAGGGACTGAACTGTCTGATATTTAATCTCTTAGAAAAACCTCCAAGAAGCCTCTTTGAAGTCTGTGCAAAAATTGAAAGACACGGAGAAGGAGCTCAGATATGTTGTCAGATATATCAAGGTCAGTGCATTTCCAATACAGGAGTTTAAAATGTGTTACATACATAGTTCCTACACTTAACATATTTATCCTCACAGCACTCCACAGAGGCAGCGGTGGAGGAGAGCGAGAGGGTTTTCTCCAGGCTGATCCGCTCCATAGAGAAACAGAGCAGTGAGGTGAAGGAGGTGCTGATGGTCCAGGAGAGAGCCGCTGTCAGTCAGGCTGAGGAGCTGCTGGAGAAAATACAGAGAGAGATCCTGGAGCTCCGGAGAGCCGGGGTCGAGCTCGAGAGGATTTCTCAAACTGAGGACCACACCGGCTTCCTTCAGGTACAAAACAAAACAAAACTCGGCCAATTATGTCTGACAAGGCCACCAACCATGTTGTTATCACATTTACAAAGTGGTGGAAAGAAGCAAAGTGCATTACTCAAGAACTGTACTTAACCACAAATGAATGTACTTTAAGGTTACTCAAGTATTTCCATATTCTGCTACTTTAGTTATATACTTCTTCTCCAAATTTCAGTGACAGAAATTGTAATTTTGACTTCAAATACGGAATATGAAATATCAACAAAAAAATATTTTGACTTTAATTTGTTATTAATTTGATTAGCTGTAAAAGCGCTTGATAAATAAAATATATTATTATTATGAAAAACAACAATCTGCCCAATTCTTGTTTATAAAAAAAAAAACTCACTTTGACTATGATTCAGTTAGAAGTGATGCAAATGTTTAAATTGTATTTTATTTCGGTCAAGTCTCTTACATCTCAATGAAAACGCATACAAATAATGAAACAATAATGTAATATTCACTAGATTTGAATTGGAGTGACTCCTTCCTGTTTGTCGGTGTTGTTGCATTTGCATTCAGATACTGTCCTGTAATTTGGTTGTGCTGCTTGTCACCGCAGAAGTGCAAGTCTCTTCATTTCCCTACAAAGACTGTGGAGATGCCCAGCACTGATGCTCTTCAATATATGATGTATAAAACCCTGAGGGGAGCCCTGCCCAATCTCAAAAACAGTCTGGATGAAACACTTGAAAGAGAATTCAACAGGATCTCTGATAAAGGTGCAGTGCCCTTTTTACAACTGATTCATATAAAAATGATGATTTTGTTCAACAAATCTCACTATTTCTGTTTGTCTTCGTTTCTAGTAATGTCACTGAAGGAACCCAGCACTAAAAGTGTATCTGAAAAAACCAAAGGTAGGTGAGTTTCTGTCAAATGATACTTTAGCAAACTAAACTGTAGAAAGGAAAGGTCTGTAAATATAAGGAATGGGTTATGTGAGCTTGATACCTTTGTATTTGTGTGTTGGATATCTTGAACACACTAATGTATTATTTTTGAAGTCACACATATTGAAGTTCACTGATCTGGTTAAATTTAAAACGGCAAATCATGTACAGAGCAAGACATAATCTACTTCCTAGGAAATTAAAAACATTGTTCATAGACAGAGAGGGTGGGTATAATTTGAGAGGAAATCTACATTTTAAACAACTCAAGGTCAGAACAACTCTGAGAAGTATGAGTATAACAATCTGTGGGGTGATTTTATGGAATGGGTTGGAGCAGGAGTTAAAACAAAGCACAAGCATAATTCAGTTTAAAAGGATGTACAGAAACACTTTTTTGGAAAACTATGAGAATGAAGAGAGGTGATTGAAGATGAGAAATTATTGTATGTGTAAATGTAAGTAGCAATAACTTGCATAATGATTTAAAGGACAATCATTGATCAAGTAAGGGGTGGGAATTAATAAGCATTTGCTTCCTCCTACTCCCTTTCGGACACATATGATTTTTTTATTATTATTAATATGAAGACTTTTTTTTGTTGAATATATAAATATTATCATGAATGTGGATAAATACTGTATTTTAACAATACGGTATTCTGTTTTTCAGATTTGTTTTTTTAATCTGTTCGAAATAAAGATTGAAATTAAATGATACCATGTGTGCAACCATCATGTGCAAATTAAGATCCCTTTAACCAGATTTCTGTTTAAAATTAGTTGTATTTTAACATCTAAAAAAGTCAGCAAGACTCCTAACTAGTCACTTTGGCTTAATCTTACCATCAAATCTCAACTACATTTAATCAAATCTGTTTTTAATGTTCATCATCTGTCTAACAGCAAAAGACACGGAGATACCATACAACTCCGAACCGAAGACAAGAGCTGATTTTCTACATTGTGAGTACCATTGTTTGATAAACCCTATTACTGTCGAATTGTATTCCTTCTTATTCCATTGCAATGTAAACACTGTTATATTTTAAATTATTTTATTTGTATGTATTCACCAAGACACCAAGTCAAATTCCTCGTACGTGTAAACCTACCTGGTAATAAACCTGTTTCTGATTCTGATAGACTCTTTATGAAAACTGTGACTCAAAGTTCGCATCGTGCATTCACTGATTTCCAGATCACCACGATATCGTCCTGGACCCGAACACAGCCAACCCTTATCTGAGCCTCTCTGACGGTCGCAGAGGGGCGACCACGCGCTCGGAGCCCCAGCCCTACCCGGACCACCCGCAGCGCTTCAGCAGCTGGGCCCAGGTGCTGTGCAGAGCTGGGATGGCTGGGCGCTGCTACTGGGAGGTGGAGTGGGCCGGGGAGGGAGGGGTTTCCATCGGGGTCTGCTACAAAGACATGGGCAGGAGTGGAGCAGGGAGCGACTGCAAGCTCGGACATAACTCCAAATCCTGGAGCCTGGACTGTTCCAAATCGGTCTGTTCCTTTCAGCACAACAAGGAGAGAGTGAGCGTCCCCACCCCCTGCTCCAGCAGGATAGGAGTGTTTCTGGACTTCAGGGGCGCGACTTTGTCTTTCTATAATGTTTCTGATACACTGGTTCTCCTCCATAAGGTCAAGACTACGTTCACCCAGCCTGTTTACCCAGGTTTTTGGGTGGGTTTAAGCTCTACTTTAAGGCTGTGCTCTCTTTAATTGTAAAGATGACTGCACTCTTTGACATTTTAGAAAGTAAGCTTGTATGCATGTGGCTCAAAGTATTTACTTTTGAGACTGTGGTGTGTGTGCTCAAACCTTAGGTAGCAGCAGCAGCACTTTGGTGACGCTGAGATCAGCAAAAGCAACATCTATACTGAGGTGTATATTTTAAACAGGTTCATGATTATATATGGATATTGATTGTGCTTAAATCCATTTTATTTGAAATGAACACTTGTATATCCAATATATTGTATTTAAAATCCATAATAAAGCATTTATTGTCATTTAAGTCCAAAGTCTATGAATATCTTTATATCTAAAGGATGTCATTACCCCTCATAATTTGAAGCAAATTGTTTTTACCTGCTGGAGAAAAGAATATACACATTTTCATAACACTATTCATATAATATAGAAAAAGTATAGTATGTCGGAAATATCATGAACAGGGTTTTAGAAAAATCATAATACAGGATGACAAAAAGTAAGTGTATTGGAAAGATCATGATACATTCATAGTATAGTATGTAATATAAACATAAGGTGTCCAAACCTTTCACTGGTAATATAAATAGTATATCCTGCCTTACTATAAATCAGATTGATATATCAATATATACCGGTATATATATACACAGTACCAGTGAAAAGTTTGGACACCTTCTCATTTAATGTTTTTTGTTTATTTAAAAAATGTTCTACTTTGTAGATTAATACTGAAGACATCAAAACTATGAAAGTGTGCCTTGAATTGATTCAGAATTCAAGGCACACTTAACCAGCATGGCTACCACAGCATTCTGCAGTAGCCAGCCAAATATAAATGACATTACATGTCATTTGTTAGGTGCTTTTATCCAAAGCGACTTATTGTCAATACTGTGGACAATCCCCACAGGAGCAATTCGGGGTGAAGTGTCTTGCCCAGGGACACAACGACATGCTGACTGCAGTGGGACTCAAACTTGCTATCCCCTGATTCGAAGTCCAGCACACTAACCACTGAGCCACAGCCTCCATAAATTATATTCTGGATTTAACACTTTTTTGTTTACTAGATAATTCCATGTGTTCTTTTATAGTTTTGATGTCTTCAGTATAAATCTACAATGTAGAACAAATTAATGAGAAGGTGTCCAAACTTGACTGGTAGTGTATAATATCAAGTCATGACAAAATGTGAAAAAGTCATAGTGATAGTCTATCAAAAATATTAAAAGGCATATCATAATTAGTCTAAAAATACCTTATCTTTTTATTTATTGCAAAAAGAGACAAACCAGGATAGCACAGACCTCAAAATATTAAAGGTTGGACTGAGAGAAAAAAGGAAACGGAGACAGAGGAATTTGCTCAAAACTTAATATTTTAATCAACATGCAAGCAGGGAGCAGCAGCAACACTTTGGTGGAGCAGGTAAACAACTGGTGGAGCTTAGATCTTATTGAAGGCAGCAACGTCTATACTCTGGATCTGCAATGGAAGAAAAGTGCAATAAGTCGAGGTGTACATTACACATTCATGCACTTTACCCATGATGTAAGCACCACACATTAAAGTCAATTCATGTCAGTCATATTGTTGTGGGTGTAGAAATGTCTTAACACACAAGTTAATAAATCAGCGTGGCTGGATACCCCGAGAGGTAAGTTAACTGAAGTTGTCTTATAATGGTGAAGGAGTTACACCTGTGTGCGTTTTACTTACTAAGTCCTCAAACTTGGTGATCTCCTCCTCCAGCATGTCTGTGCCAACTTTGTCGTCCACGATCACGCAGGTGATCTGCAGCTTCTTGATGCCGTATCCGACGGGAACCAGTTTGGACGCTCCCCACAGGAGCCCGTCCATCTGCACCGAGCGCACACACTCCTCCAGCTTGGCCATGTCCGTCTCATCGTCCCACTGAGGGAGCACGTGGCGAAGGGGTGTTAAAACACAGAACACTCATTTAACCATGTTAAAACAATTCAACTCAGTTTGCAGCAAAACGTTAACATAAATTGCTTAACATGCATCGGGATTCATTTTGAATATTACAAAAAATATATGCAGTTTAAGTCGTTATTAGCTTAAACTATTAATTAACTTCACATTTGTTTACCTTTTCTGAAACAACAACAAAACAGTAAATCTCTATAAGAACACAACTGCAATGGAACTAGCACAGATTTCAGCCACATGATGCAGGTCAGAAGGAAACGTACGGGCTTGACGTCTAAAAGGAGAGACGACTTGGCTATGAGGGTGGGTTTCTTGGACTTCTTGGCGGCATAGGCATCCAGGCGCTCCTGCTTAAGGCGTTCGGCTTCTTCGTCATCCTCATCATCACTGCCAAACAAGTCCATGTCGTCATCCTCGTCTTCATCATCTCCATTTTGCACCTGTTTGACTGGAACAGCCTGGACTGGAGCAGCCTGGTCAAAACAATGGAAACATTTCTGTAAAGGTGTGCTCTTCAGAAGGCTTACTTAAATAAGATTAACTCTTTCCTGATCTCCATTTGTTCAAACAACTAAAACATCATACAATAAAGAGCATCAATAGATATGTGAGGGGAACAAAGGGAGCCTAAGCCTTATATATACAACAATATTAGTCATAAACAACAAGACAGAGGAACATCAAAAAACGTACTTATAGTTTGAGTATACCTTAAGTACAATGTAGATTACATTATATTTGATTTTAAATGGTTTCAGTGGGACAAGGCTGTGTCTTTTACAGCTACAAAATATGCATTTAGTAATTCTAAGTTATCTACCTTAGCACTTGGGACGCCCGCTGGGCTCTTTTCCAGCGTGGCCACTCTGTTCTCCAGCGTCTGCAGGGCTGCTCTCATTTCAGCCACCACTAACAAGCAAACACAATAGGAAAAGTAAGAATGGATACTGTGCATCAAATATACAAAGCACAGAAAGACATTATAAAAAAACAGAACAAACCTTTGTGCAGAGTATGGTTCTCCAGCTCCATGCTCTTCATGCGTGTAACCAGCTCCTGGTCTCCTCCTGCATGTGAGGATGACTGTGGAGAGACGAACACTAATAAGCACGTGTCATGATGCAGCTACGGGTTCAAATGATGACAAAGCAAATGTAATCTCATCAAGGCAATCCAAGCCAAAAAGAAACAAGCAAAACAATTTCAAATGAAACCCATGCAAGGCTAGCATCTATTACACAGTGATGAAAACACTCCACCCTCACAACGCTGATCAGAACCGTTCAGAACAACCAGTGTCTGATCTGCTGGCCACTGAGCAGCTCCACTGAAGCATTTGCAGTTAAGGGCGTAGCTCCAAGGCACCTCAGTGCTGCTAATAAGCAGGTGGCAGAAGTGTTTATCCTACAAGCTTGCTTCCCCAAGGCCACCACTGTCCATGTTTACAACAACAGCATGCAGGCAAACTCAGTGCACAGATTCGTGTAACGGCACAATACATCATCATTAAAAAAAGAACGTGTTGCCATATTGCAGAGATAAAAAGATTGATACAACACCACATCCCAATTTAATTTGTGAATCGTTTAAAGTAAGGAAATATAATGTGTTCATTAGTGAGCTTTAGATATGTTGGACAGAGCCAGGCAATCTCTCTCCAGGTTGCTGCTCTTTGTGCTAAGCTAAGCTAGGACAGATATTAGTTGTATCAATCTTTGATGAAACTCAGCAACAATAGGAATATGTGTACTACTCAAAATGTTTCATTAATAATTGACCACCTGATTCAGAAGTTACAGAAAATAATCAAGATGGAAGGTTGAAAAACAATGTTATAAATCTGAAAATGAGTAGGATTTGAATAGAATGTAATGTTTACATTATCTAACAAATCATCAACATTATTATAAATTCCACACACACACATTCTGAATCAGTTAGAGGTAGCATAATAAAGAAGAAAAGAGTTGCAGGATGAAAGAAGGGTGATTCAGGATGACATCTCAGTGATAGCTGTACACTCCACTCCAGGCAGCAGCAGAACTCAGATCAGCGCTGTGTGTGTCGGCCATGCAGCGCTCCCAGACCGGAGCAGCAAACACTTACGTTTCTGTTCCGCGGTCTCTGCTGGCGCCCCTTGGGCAGCAGGGCCGTTTTGGCCTGCACCCGGTTATGTACAATGTGAAGGTAGGAGGGAAACACAAAGACAAAAAGAAGAAGAAGAAGACAGAGAAGTACAGGGTGTAGGTAGAAAGTTGGATACTACACATGCTACACATTCAGAGTCATCAGTAAAAAGAAAATGAAGTCAGGATTGTTAGTGAAATAGGATGAAACATTTTAAAAACACAACTAAATGGATGAAGTGCCTGTATGGGAAATATCAACCAATGCACATGTGTTCAAACCAATCAACAGAACATTTTAAACTTTTTTAAGCACCAACGAAAGTTATTAAATTCAGGAAGGTTGACTTAAAAGGAAAAGTTCACATTTTTCAAAGACATGCCTTCTGAAAGCAATTTAAATGCAGGTGGTGGCGGACAAAATCAATTTCTTAACCCCTACAGGTATGGACTGAATATGTTGTTTAAAACCTGAAACTCCATCTTTGTTGCTGCCACAGCAATATAGTAATTTGCCTAGGGGCCTGCAAGTATTGGTTTTTATTGGACCTAAAAAAGCGTGTCAATGAATCCTTTAAGACAACGTTGAAGTAGCACTTATTTATGCAAAAATGACACATTCAAACCGCTTTCAATATAGCAAATGACGTGATGTAAAGACAAACACATACATAGATTGCATACTTCCTGACAGATTGCAATGATCATTAGTGGCAAACGCAAGCAGAGGAGAACAGGAGTGTCAGTAGCTCCAAGGCCCAAGAACTAGCAGTCTAAACTCTAATGAAAACTTCAAATTTAAACAGATGTTCCCCTTTTTTTAGGGCTGGTACTAGAAGATTAGTCAGGACAGTCCTGTCACTACAAGGGGGGGGGGGGGGGGGGGGGGGGGGGGGTTATCTGGGGCTCAATTGCAGTACTTACTCCGTTTAGGGACTGCAGGATATTCTGTCTGGACTTAGCAATGTCCTGCAGGATGGCATTAATCTCGCTCTCCTGAAGGTGTTTGTGGGTAAAGCAGTAATGAAGCGGGAGCAGTGACAAAGACAGAAAGCCCATGCAAAACAAACAGAAGCAGCATGGAACATGTAGGATGATTTTTCTAAAGATTTGAAGCAGGTAGCACAGAAATGGGAACTAAAGGTTAAAGAAATGTTGGCAGCTAGCATGAGGGTAGCACTTGTCAATGACCCAACCTGAAACTCTCGTGGTGCCGCTGCTGTTTAACCACTACGTGTTGAAATGAAATGTGAACCGTTGAAACTACTTTTCACTCAAGAAATATGCCCAGTGAAATAATACCTTTAGAAGGTAAGATTATACTAAACAGCCAGGACGCTGTTTATGTAAAAACATGTTTCACTTCTTACTTATGTTATTTGGCAGCAGTAAAACTGGGAACATACAACCCCTTCTTGAGATCACAAGTGGTAAGTGAAGACATATGGCTTCTGTGTTTTGGCTGAATAAACCCTTTAAAGATCGCCATTGTTTCCAAGGCTCGTGTAGAAACTCTCCACTGCCCTTTGCAGTCAGAGGAGCAGAGGCAGCTGCCAAACCACCTGACCCCTCTCGATAGGACGTGCCACGTCTAAATCGAGCAGCTTAACTCTCATGCACACAGCTGCTCCGGGCTGCAGAGGGCTGGTGATGATGTAACTGTTGCTTTACAGGCCAGTGATTGACAAGGAGGCATGAGCGGAGGAGGAGTCAGACAGGAGAGCAAAGGAACTTCAAAAGATGACTGCAGGAGACGAGAGGAGAATTTGGAAATAGGTTCGTCTGAAAATCTAAATAACCTCAAGAATGATCAGGTTGATAAACATCAAACAAGGTCCACACTAGAGAAAACAAAGCAGCTTTGCTCTTCTTCCTGTGTTTTACACCCATGTGTTCAAGTTTTTGTGTGCCTGCCTGTTCTACCTGTGAAGGAGGTCCGTTGGCTCCCTCGTAGAAGCACTTCTCGGCTTCATCGTAGAGAGGTTTGTCGAACCAGATGTTCTCGGAGGCGAGGCACTGCAGTCCACTCATTTTGGTACTAAGGAGAGAAATCAGAAACGTAGGAAAAATAAGATGCAAAAAACAAAACATTGATCTACATCCAACAGCCATGATCAGGGGTTTAGTTGTTTACAGCCAGCACAATCGGTGACAGAACACAGCATATTTAGATGCTCAACTGGGAACAGCATATTAAGGGTAACAACCTCATGCAGAGCCACAGATGGAGTTGTGCGTGGAATGGACAAAAAGTGACAACACAAAGCGCAATGCAGACAGTTCCAACCAAGTAAACAAATTAATGTCAGAATAACTGGCATCATCTCTGTAAAACAAAATAAAAACACTACTGCATAAAATGCTAAACCTCCCTTCTCGTTTTGCTGACAGGTTACCGCAACAGACAGGCATCTACACATTCCTCAGTCAGTGAAACAGTTTGCCTGCTCTGCAAAGTCTGGATTACTGAACAAAAGGGTTGTCTCTGCCCGCTAGAAACCCCTCTTAGTGATAGCAGAGGTCCCCTTCATTGTGCCATTGTCAAAACAACAACCTAGTTGACCATACGTGTGAGTACATGACGGTTGTACGCCAATGAGACAATAGGTCAGACTTAGTAGCCGTTAAAAGAAATGCAAGGGCCTGCTGTGATGCTGACATAAGTAATTATGTGACAAATTAAATACTTGTCAGATTCCAAAAAACTGCCCAGACAGGATGTTACATCTCAGGGATGATATTAATGTGTAAAGGGATCTTTAACCACAATTATGAGGGATAAATAGAAATAATAATAATAATAATAATAATAATAATAATGCATGGGATTTGTATAGCGCTTTTCCTAATGCTCAAAGACGCTTTACAAAAATACAGGCATAAGGTTACAAATAATCTTCTGGCAAAGGCAGCAACTGGAGCTGTTGCTTTGCGATGAAAGTTGAGTGAAGTTTTCCTAAAGCCTTGTGCTGGCCCCCCTGCTGCGCGAATACACGACCTCATTTCCATGAATAAGTATGCTATATTTATTTTCTCCGAGGGCTCAAATCAGTCGAAATCCAAAAGTAAACAAAAAAATCCAAACAAACATTCATCTCCAAACCTGCAGCTCAAAAATATTATACACGGTGCACAAGTTAGCACGAATGCACAAACAAAAATGCATGACAAAAAAACAAAAATAAACTCAGTTAATTAGCCGGAAAACACACATCACGTCTCTCCCATTCCCCGTGAGAGGTGCCATACTTGTCCCATCTAGGCCTGCTCTCAGTCTCAGAGAAGACCCTCTTCCTCTGGGTCGGGCCCCTGCTGCCTTTGCCCCCCTGCTCGGTTTCAGAGGAGGTGCGATTGCGGCCTCTACTGTACTGACGGGGGGGGGGCCCCGGAGACCTTCACCGTGGCGACGGGGGGTCCCTGATCCTGCTGCGGACCGCGCCCACGTCTGGCCTGGAAGGTCATGTAGCCTCTGGTTTTTGGGCTTCTTGGAGAGGAAGACAACGGTCCGTTGCCATTGGATGCGAGCCGCCGTTGGTAGTTGCCCTCGGCCTGCTCATAGGCGCCGTGGTTGTACATTATTCCATCTGCCTGCATGCCCTGGAGCAAAGGGCTTTGACCATAGGAGCCACATCCTTCCATGGAGGAGCTCAACCCCTCATCTTCAGCCCAGGAGCGGTGGGCCTCCGACGGACGTGTGCGTCTCCGCAGCCTCCCTGACTGATCTGTGTCTCCGCTTCTCTCTGAGGAATTATTACCCTGCCTGGAGTTCATCACCGGCACAGCATTCTGAGGGACTCCTCCTGGCTGACGGGACGGCTGAGACTGATCCATTTCTCTACTAAAGGGGTCTCTTCTCTATTCACTTTTGTTTTTATGAGGAATAATAAAAAAAGGAGCAACAGGTGGAAACTAGATGGCATTAGTTCATTATGAAGATGGCATCACACAAAGAACTTTGCTAGTTAGAGCAAACACTTGATATGAGATGCCAATGCGGTCTTGCGGGCAAAGAGATTGATCAAAAAGCTTACAATGACCAAAATAGAAACATAATTACCCCTTATAGGCAGAGTTCAAACTAACCTCTTTGAGAGTATTTAGTTATTTGGCTGACTGTGACCGATGGGAAGATTTTAACATTTTGCCCAACCCTATTTTTGGGGATATGGAATAATGCCAAAACATGTAAAAGCAGGTAATTGATCAATCTCACATTGGACTTTCAAAAAGCAAAGCCAAAACAAATAAGGAAAAATCTAATAAGGCTAACATAATGGCCAACATTTAGGTTAGGATGAGTTTGCAGCATTTCCTCAATATTCATTTAATATCGTAGAATCTATGAAGTACAACCATTTTTAAATAGAATAGTAATTTGTAAATTAATTCATGAGGAAACCCTTTTTTTTAAAAATGCATTAAGCACGTTTCTTCTGAAACATTTAAAAACCAAACCTATGCAACATTGTCTGGCTCACCTTTTTTTTGGCATGCTGGAGAAAAGTGTATGCTACCTATTGTGGAATGGAATATTAAAATAATTCAAAGTAATCACACACGTTTGAATTATATTGAAAATGATCAACAGTAAGTTAGACAATCCATGTGTCTTAACATGCAGGCAAAAACCATCAACAAAATACATAATTTACATGTTCATGCATTAAGAATACATAATTACATGATATTCAAAATATAAAAAAAAACATTTTTTGTGTCAGATATATTCTCTCAGTTGCCAGTTGGTTAGGTACACCTAGCATCAAATAATGCAGTCAACAGCCCTGTGATAAATCCTACCTTCACATCGAGAGGGGATTACTTCAGGTCATTTTGAAGGCTTCAGCTTTAGGTGTGAAAATAATCTAAAAAGGAGTTTTTAATATTTTGTCCAACCCACAAGGGCTGAAACAATAGGTTGTTGAATTGACAGAAAATGTATTGTTTAGGTCAATTTTCAAGCAAAAACAACTAACACATGCTTGCACTAACAACCTGCAGGTGGATATTGCAGCGTTTCCTCTGTTTTATATCAGTGGATACAATATCTGGGTTTTGGAGTGTTGGGTGGGCACAGCAAACACATTAAACATGTGGCAATTGGCTTTCTGAATTGTGATGATGGGCATTAAAGGTAGGGTAGGTAAGTTTGAGAAACCGGCTCGAGATACACTTTTTGTTATATTCCATGGAATGCTCTTAACCTCCCGATAGCAATGAATATCTTAAGTGCTTTGACAAAAAATCCATAAAAAAAATGTCATCTGTGGAAGCCGTAATACTGTAAAAAGTACGACCAATCATTTTAGCCGGCCCGGCTAAAATAACTGGATGGCCTACCTGCCTGTCAGCCTTCCATCTGTGCACAGACTTATCTCGTGCACGTTCGTGTGTGTTGGAGGAGGGGCTCTATAAGGAAGTGGCAGATTTTCAAATTCTAGCTATCTCGAGCCGGTTTCTCAAACTTACCTACCCTACCTTTAAAAAAAAAAAAAAATCATAATAATATATTCAGAGAAAAGGAAAAAAACGGATTTGTAAATAATGATACTGTAGTTGGTAGACGAATCACTTTCCAGTCAAATGCAATATTGTACCACACTACAGCCTCCAAAATGACCATAACGTTTAGTTAACTTCTCTCTCAAACAGTTTAATTAAGATCAAATGGTAACCTTCACAAAGATAATATTGTAAGATGATATATATACACGACTGCATTAGTTTTAGCTAGGAGACCATGATCTATCAACTGAGAGCAAAACATTCAACACAACATTTCGACTGTAAAACAGCAATAAACCGGTGCATCGTCAGCTCAAAAACAGCTGCAACATCCAACACTCACCTTTGGTAACGGCAATGGGAAGCTAATGCCCAACAGAGAAATAAGAGAAAATGCACATAGTTTCATAATCTACAAAGCCTTAAGGAAAAACAATCACAGGACTATTATTTATTCAATATTTGAGGAATACCAACAAAAAACCTTATAACTTAGTTAAAGGCAATGGATAAGTTGTACAGTTCACTGAACAATTTTAAATAAGTGGTCATTTCATGTATAATACCAGTCACAAAACAAGCAAATGGAACAGCAATAGGAGTTAAATTTGAGTTGGATTTGTTACAGGGTCACTTTGACACTGACAAAAGTTAGGTGCCAATAATTTTTCTGACAGCACCAGCAACTTGTAGCTAGTTAGTTTGACCACGTGGCGCTTGAAAACTCCAAACTATAACGTCTTTGTGTGTTTTAACAAACAGTGCACTTTATGTTGTGTCCTATGCCGTATATAAACAACTCTTCTGCACTTACTATTGGCTTTATTCGACGTTTTATGGCTCGGTAAGCGTTCCTTAGCGTGGTGCCTCGGCTGTAATCCGACGGGAGAAGAGGGTTTGCAGTAGCGGACCGCCTGTATTCTGCAGTTAGAGAGGGGGAGGGACGTTAGATTTTACACGACTTTATCGATGATTTATGCGTTTATTTAATGTTTATACAAAATGGTACAACATAAAAACGCACATTGAAACAAGTTATTGTATACTAACACTGAATGGAAGAGGGGATCCGTGTTTTTGGTACTATTAACGCCCAATATTTAGATTAGTACAATCCGTTATGGCCAAAGACTTCATTTCCCAGAGTTCCAGCTGTTTGTTCCCCATGTTCTGGTTGGGCCCAGCCTGTAATGTTTCATGTTTAGTTTGAACAATAACGCATGTAGTTTGTATTCTTTTGTCTTTTGAGTTGATTATGAACTTCTGCCCTAACACCTTTTTTAAATAAAACTGGGCAACAAGTTGAAAAAAATATATAGCCAGCCCAGTTTACATTTGAGCTACTTGTGGATTGAAATCCCAATCCCTCCCTTGTCCTGCAGGGGGCAGACTAATCGAGCCAATTCAAACTGTTATCCAAAAGTTATACATGGCTACTGAATTGTATGAATCTTTTGGACAGACCAGAGAACTACATTGTTTGACTTGATGAAGGTTGAAATATTTTCATTTCAAGCTGAATTAATCTTGTTTTCAGCGTGGCATTAGTTACTCCTAATAAATGCATTGAATCTATTCCAGGCCGAGAGGATACATCTGTACAACATCCTTCTTTGACTTTGTTCTTGGAAGGAGAACAACAACAAAGACCTTATACAGCAAATGATTGTCCTAGTTTGTTATTAATTATAGTTCTTGAGATTGCATTGCTTTATTTTGGTATTATGTATGTCTCACATCTGAGTGATACAGTATGCGTCTGGGCTATGTTCTGTAGTGTGCTGTATATTTCTTCAGGAGTTCTTATGATTTATTATACTTCTACAATATATTTTGGGAACCCTCGAGGGCAAAGCTATCTCCACACATTAAAGTTCACATATTTCTTTCAAATATTGCCTAAAATCCTTTGACATAAGTTTGTCTGACTCGATACCAAAGGTCAAAGTCTTTGGGCTGAAAAATTAGAGTTTGCTCCACTGACGATGAGGCGCTCACTTCGTGGAGCCTTCAGATGCTAAACTGAGCTGACAAACCAAATTAATTTCATATTCTGGCACTGCTAACAGGTATGAGCCAGAATTTGAACATAACTTGTCAGAAAGAATTGACACACAGCAAATGTAATGGTAAAACAATGTGAATGTCTCATTTTTACACAGAGAAGAGACTAATTGTATACCCCTGACATCAAATATGAATGGTTTGCTTTTGCGTTTTGCGTTTTTTAGGAAAGAAAATTACACTCAAGTGCCTATCCTGTGTCTCAGCCTCAAGAATAATACATGATTTTTTTTTTATTGGGTGACATTCCTCTTTTTAACAATGAATTTGTCTTGCAGCAGTGACAAGGATAAAACTCATGAAAACTACTGAGTCAAAAATATATGAGGGAGAAGACTAACACTGATCTTGCTTGGAGCAAGGCCCAAAATGAAAACAAAGAGATGCCTAATTACTAAAAGGAGAAGTGAAAGAGGCAAAAAATACTTCAATTGGAAATAAAGCAACTAAAAATAGGTTAAAAAAACGAAAACAAAGAGATGCAAAAAAAGAAATAACCACATGACTGAACAACACAGACTTGAAGCGACCTAAAAAAAGATCCCAAAAATCATCATCAAGCATCAAGACACAAAACAAGCACACATGAAGACGTATTTGGATCTTTGTTGTTTTTTATGCAATGAAACTTAATCTCTTCTAGGTTTTGGACTATAGGTTGGACAAAAAAAGACATTTTAAGAAGTCACTATAAGTTATCGATTCATCAGGAACACAATCAGTAGATTAATCAAAAATGAAAATAATTGTTACTGGCAGCCCTATAGTTACAATCACTGATTACATCTGTAGTAGCTTGTGTAGACGGAAGCTTGAATAGGCTCCATGAGCTCTTGTGGGGTTTTAAACACCGTTGTTTTTACTTTATACAACATCCTCTCCACAAAATTGAGAGGTGTGATCAAACAGGCAATGCACAGCTTCATGGTTTATATGCAAACAGCCATGTGTTTGATAAATAAGCCATTAGCCAGGAGGCGTAGGTATACAAACCTTTTGTTAACCTGTGGTTTAGGATTACCTTTAGGGGAAGCCCAATGCTAAAGTGATGATGGTAACTTGATAACAGTCTACAAGAGGTTTGCTTTTAATTATTTTTCAAGCCAGTGGGATACCATGTTTCACACTGAGGGACACAGGTTAAATTGTACTCTTTGTGAGGAGCTAAGCTGCACACAAATTCTCCTGAAAATTAATCACATGCACTAGCTCCAGAGGAGTATTTGAAGGTTGAATGCTATTCTGTTATTCTGTAGGGAAAGATTTCACTTTGTTCCACATTCACACCTGCTAACAGTCTGGCCTATTTGTACGTCATTGGTCATAAACAAGCTCCAGTGGAACAGAATACATATATACATTTGTCTTGATGATTTTGCATTGATCCTAAATGGTTAGGATAGGTTGTCGGTCGCAACAGTTTCTGACAGGTTTTGCAGATATAAGGTTTTGCAGACACAACCTCCTTTTAGTCATGACCCACCTCGCTCGCCTTTTAGTAACCACATCCTCTTTGTTTTGGGCCCCAAGGAAGTGACACATTTTGCCCTGGGTGGTGTTCTAGCTTTTTGACAGTCACAATCTACACCAACAATATGTGCCGGAAGATTAGAAGTGCTCAAACCCTTCAAGTATACCACTATGAAAATACTCTAAATTACAAGTCAAAGTCCCACAATACCATATTGAAATATATGAAGTTAAAATGCACACTAAGCACCAGAATGGCCAACTTGAAATGGGAATTATTGATGGAGTAGCTTCTTTATTCACTGTTAGGTAGTTTAATCTACAACAATGTTTCATATTTAAACAGTGGTTGACTATAAGCATACTATAAAATACTGTAGTAATATCAATTGTATGGTACCTTATGCCTCTAAATACATAAAATATAAAACAAAAACTCTCCATATAAAACAAAAAATCTAATATAAAACAAAAAATCTTTAAGGACACTGTAATAAAATATAGTTATATATATATATAGACATTTTATTTATTGGGATAAACCCCTTGAGATGCACCATCTCGTTTTCAAGGGGGTCCCGACAATAGCAACAACTTACAGACATACATAAGACAAAAAGCAAAACATGACACACAAGACAAACCACGTACAGTCTGTTAAGTAAAATTCAAGTAATACATACAATCATTACAATTTGAGAGACAGTCGAGCAAATCAGTTTCATCAATATCAATAACAAGTGCAGACCAGTTGAAAGTGAGATGATAATGCATGTTTAAACATACCCAATGATGCAAGAGATCTAATAGCAGCAGGAAAAGTATTCCAGTCTGTTGGGGCTTTGAACATGAACGCTCTTCTGACAATCGATTTTTTTTGCAGAGGGGACAGAGAAATACATCTGGACAGAGTGTCTAACTTGATGATTTGGCGAGTAGGGTACAAAATACTGCTTTAAATAAGGGGGATAGTTAAGATAAATGGATTTAAATATCAGCTGAAGCCAATGCGTGTGTCTTCTTACATTTAATGAAGGCCATTTAAGTTGGTTATACATTGTGCAGTGATGTGTACGAAAAGGACAACCAAGAACAAATCTGCATAGTCTATTGTAGGCTATGTTGAGTGGAGCAAGATCTGATTTATGTGCATTTTGGTAGACAACATCACAATAGTCCATAATCTGAAGAATAAGTTGAAAAGCAATTCTCTTTCGGACACTGAGCGTAAAACAATTGCGAGAGCGGTGTAAGACACCGATTCCGTAATTGACTTTTTGTTTTACATGCTTTATATGTAGTTTAAATGAAAGTTCAGAGTCTAGCCATACACCAAGATATTTAAAGCTATCAACTTTATGCAGAGAAGTGCCATCCTTACATTTGATTACTACATTAGGTTTGGATTTTAGCTTCTGCCTGGTACCAAAGACCATGGTATAAGATTTTGTTTTGTTGAGCAGTAGTTTATTGTGTGATAGCCAGTCCTGTAAGATATTAAAATCCGATTGAAGAGAGATCTGAATTTGTGAAAAGTCAGATTTGGATGTATATATGACAGTGTCATCAGCATAAAGGTGAGTACGACAATTAATGAGACAAGAAGATAAATCATTTATGTAAATAGAAAACAGAAGTGGGCCCAGAGTTGATCCTTGGGGTACACCCTTTTGTTGGATCAACAGGTCAGACTGTTTTCCATTAAAGGTCCCATGTCATGCTTTTCCGGTTATTACCCGTCCCCTTGTGTGTTATGAAGGTTTTTATGCATGTAAACGGTCTGCAGAGTCAAAAACCCTCAAAGTACACCCTAGGGAGTAAAACTCTAACACAGAAAAGACCTCCCCAAAACGCCTCGTTGGAGATTTCTTATTTTCTTCCTGGGTACTCTGACGTGGGGATACCCAGAGGCCACACCCTCTGCCAGCCTTTCACGAAACAAAGCTTCCCAAACCTTTCAGGATTCATGCCGGATATGCACAGCGTAGGGCACTGAAGAACGATGCTGTTCCTACTTTGTTTGGACCAGCGGGAGATTCAGGTACACAACCTGTAAGTATTCATTGTTGTTTGTGTATTTATGATGTTTAAAACAAACAAGGTATCTACCACGACTGTTTAAATGGGTAAACGTTTTTCAGGCTACTAAGTTGGATCGCGGAGAAATGCTCTCCGCAGACCCATGCTCAGCGTTATAAACCTTTTTCTTACTCAATATCAAGCCACACTTATTGTTTTTACTTCGGCTGTGAGCGTTTGTGTGTGCTCAGGATGAGTTTCGCTTGTTCTCGCTGTATCGCCGAGAGGCTCGTTGCTGCAATCTGCTGCGAGGAGCGGAGCAGATCGCAGCAACGAGCCTCTCAACGTCCCGGCCAATCAGAGCACACTGGGCTCACAGGGAGGGGGGGCAGGAGCTCCAACAAGCCGTTTAGGACAGAGTGAATACCAGTGAATACACATACTTTACAGAGATGCTGTATGAGAAACCAATGTGAGTTTGGAAAATTGCACAATATAAATCTATTCTAGTAGACCTCAACAATGGAATTATGATCAGTAGAAATGGCCATGACATGGGACCTTTAACAACCACACATTGCTTTCTATTGTGAAGGTACGAGTTAAACCATAACACTGTATTATTAGAAAGGCCAATGCCGTGAAGTTTATCCAAGAGCAGATATCGATCAACGAAATCAAAGGCTTTTGTCAAGTCAATAAATAGATAGCAATAAAATAAAGCAGTAATTTACAGCGAAATAGAATGCAGTGAATTATAGAATATAAAATATGAAATATGAAATAAGAAATAAGAAATATGTGCAGTAAGCAGTATGAACATTGTGTGCATTAATGTAATGCATATAGAGTCTACGTTGTGGCTGAGGTAAAGTGTCAGTGGGGGGGGCCGGGCCTTGTTTAAGAGGCCGGTAGCGGAGGGGAAGAAACTGTTCAGGTGGCGAGAGGTTTTGGTCCTGATGGAGCGCAGCCTCCTGCCAGAGGGGAGGGGGGTGAACAGTTTGTGTCCAGGGTGGGAGGGGTCGGCCACTATCTTCCCTGCCCGCCTCAGGGTCCTGGAGGCGTGCAGGTCGTGGAGGGATGGCAGATTACAGCCTATCACCTTCTCTGCAGAGCGGATGACACGCTGTAGCCTTCCCTTATCCTTGGCTGTGGCTGTGGCGTACCAGATGGTGATGGAGGAGGTGAGGATGCACTCGATGATGGAGGTGTAGAAGTTCACCATCATTACCTTAGGCAGGTTGAATTTCTTCAGCTGCCTCAGGAAGAACATCCTCTGCTGTGCTTTTTTGATGAGGGTCAACTAAGATGGAAATATGTGTCTAGCATCAGTAGCATTTCCAATAGTATATTAGCATCTTACAATATAACTTTCTTGAAAGGTAACAAACCAGCCAATAAGTATTCTAATTTTACTTTAATACTTTAAGTATGTTTTGCTGTTAATACTTGTATACCTTTAGGCTACATTACATATTCAATGCTCTTGTTAGAAAGCTGCAATTCTACTTTTTAATTAGTAAAAACACGTTAATTCCAGCACTGCATTTTTCTATTTGGTTTATTTAGCAGATGCTTTCATCCAAAATATTACCTTCAAAGCAGTGAGAATACAAACAAAGGCTAAAACACAGGCTTAGCAGACAGTAACATTAATTTAGGTCATTGGCTGTTTGTTTTATCTCTGTCCTTACTGCCATCTTTGTGAATGAATGGAGATAGTCATTCATTCACCTGAGAGGAGGAGGAGAGAGAGCGATCGAGAGAGAGAGAGAGAGAGAGAGAGAGGGGGAGAGAGAGAGAGAAAGAGAAGAGGGGAGAGAGAGAGAGAGAGTATGCGAGAGATAGAGGAGAGAGATAGAGATAGCATTAGAAGATATCTGATATATTCTGAGAGATAGGCTCTTTTATTTCGCGATTATCTCTCTCTCTCTCTCTCTCTCTCTCTCTCTCTCTCTCTCTCTCTCTCTCTCTCTCTCTCTCTCTTTTTCTCTCTTTCTTTTCTTTTCTCTCTCTCTCTCTCTCTTCTCTCTCTCCCGTCGTTTTCCCTCTCTTCTCTCCCTCTCCCTATTGATCTACTAGCGCAGACGTGAGACAGCAGCTCTTCACTCGCAAGTTTTCAGCTCGCAGGGGAATATGGGGATTCATCTATTTTAAGGGTTGACAGGGCAGCCTACATTTCTATACCGAGGCTATAACGAAGAAGCAAGTATTTAAGAGGCTCCGGCGAAGGAACAAATAACCTGGATTTGCGACACATTACCATCCTGCGATGAGGGAAATAAAGAAGACAAATAAGACAATGGAAATAGTGTTTGCAAGGCGCTTACGGGACGACAGGAGAAAATCATACTACTCATCTTTTATCTTCATCTGTGGAACAAGCCTATGGTGAGTGTTTATTCTTTAATACATTCTTCAGATTTGGCAACAAGTAATATAATTCATGAGGTGACTTTAAAAGTGACTTTTACCTGCTAATTGGGAACAATCTACTTAATTAAAACCTAATGACATATTGATTGGATTGCTATCACCGGTATTATCCTCTGTCCTTTTCCGGCTCTAAGGAGCAAACACACACACACACACACACACACACACACACACACACACACACACACACACACACACACACACACACACACACACACACACACACACACACACACACACACACACACACACACACACACACACACACACACACACACACACGATTGAACAGCAAATGTCCTCATTAAGCCGCAGGCGGTAATTAGTGTTGATCAACGTCAAGGCTCGCGACCTGCACCCATCACCACCTGTCTTGGTATAAATCAAAGCGAACAAATCAACAGGGAAATGAAAGGAAAAAGGTTCCAGATGTTGTCCTATGCAAGGTTTGAGCATGCATTTGCAAATTAATAAGAAGATGCTTGGAATTATTTTATTTTGGTGGCAAAATGTCAACTAAAAGACATTTGATTTGTAACGCAAATAAAACCTTCTGAGAGGATTTCATAACAGAAGGGGACACGTTAAAACACATTACTTTAAACAAGTGACACAAATAGCAAGTTATTTATAGGCGTGTCTGTTGATTGTGTGTTTGTTTAATAGACAGTTTCCAGTGTGTTTCCTCCAACGCTGCGGCTGCACCCACTCAGCAACAAGCAAAGAGCATCGACCTGTGATGCATGTCTGCCTCAGGCTATATCTGATAAATTAAGTTGTCTGGTATTTTCAGGCTGAAGCAATTCATCCGGACTGCGCCATCATCTCCCAGCACCTAAGGGCTCGGGAGGTTTGCAGCCAGACGAGGAGGAGCGAAGCGCAGAACCAGAGCAACCAGAGCGACCAAAGCGGTGGGTTCACCGTTCATGTGTGATGTTCCGAGAGAGAGCCTGGACTGCGAGGGGGTTTATTAAACAGGATTGTGCTCTGAAGTAAAAAAGGAAGAAGAGTTTTGAGATGAAAGCAGCATTTCATATACTCTCAGGAAGGATAATTATGTGGGTGAAACTTTCTGTGGGATGCCAGTTGGTTGTTAGTTTGACTTTGGTGGCATTGTGAGCAAATAACAATTAAATTACAATGTTATTTGGTGTCTTTATCATTGTATACAGACTACCCATGTTTTGCAAGGACAAGTAAATGTACACAAGTACAGTACTTAACTCCATAAAAGTACTTCACTTTCTGCTAGCCTATACTTCTCCCATCTCAGAAGGGAAACGTTTTACTTTTTACTCCATTACATTATCTGGCAGCAGGTATTTCTCACAAAAAATAAAATATATGATATTATACAGTTCTGTAAGTCAATAATAAATAAATATCCCGAAATGGGCTACACATCATACATTTAATAACACTTGGAAATAAGACATTCTGCATAACGATGAATACTGTAACTTTTTATACTTTTAGTTGGCTATATTTTGATATTAATACTCACCGGAAGAATCCTAAAAAGGTAATAAATCTGTGTTTATATAACTTTTTATGGCTTCAGAAAAGTCATGCAGCGCCGTTGTATTGGAGGTGGAGGAGTGGATGGTGAAATGTTAACTGCAACTGCAATAGAAATAGCAGCAGAGAAGAATTGTTGAATATAAAAAGACACAATAGGAAATGTAGTAGACTAGCACACAATGTTTGAGTTATTTGTACAGTAAAGTATTGTCATTTGGGTTTAGGCCTACTTTATAGCTCTGCTACATTTTTGTGAAATCCTTTACACTTTTTACCACACTCCAATTAGTTCACAGCTCTAGTTATAGTTCCTTCAATGAGAATAATTTCTAATTAAAATATGATGAAATAATGTAATAACACAACACTGGCAGAAGACATTTTGCTCATTTTATTTTGCTGAGCTTTGCTATACTTTGGTTCTTTTATTAAGAAAAAAAGCCCTTGCTGAATTGAGTTTTTTCATACTGTGCTATTACTTTAACTTTTTCCTTTTGTAATTGACCGGAAAGCTTCTTCTACCTGTCTCCATATCGGCTGCTTCACTGAAGCCCAGCTCTTCTCCTCTTGCCCCAGAACAACAACGCTCTGGCAATACCCCTCCGCGAGAGTGATGAACTCTAACATTTCCAGACTAATTTGATCTTAATTACTCGTGATGACTGTGAACGCAAAGTCGTCATCCACTGCTCATTACCCAGATAAATGTCTGCGGATGAATTTCACTGTCGGAATAGGAGTGTTTGGCCGTCCATCAGTGTGATGCCGGCCATGCAGGTGACATGCAATCATGCAGAGCCTGAGAGAGTCATGCTGAGATGAAAATTCACCTGAAATAATGACTCCCGGTGGTAATGAGCTCAACTAAACTTCATGCATAACGCTCTGAAACGTGCTGCCGTTGGCCACCAATCCGCCACTTACTGTACTGTGCTCCTTTGATACATTTGGTTTAGTTTAGGGTTGCAGCAAAGAACTATCAAATAGAATGTTGAACAGCTTCTCAATGAAGCTTGATATGCATAAAAGGTTAGCAACATTTAGAAAAAACACCAGTCAGGAAGGTTAGTGCTACATAAAAGCCTCATGTTTGAGAATCCTGGACCAGCAAATGCTTAAATGTGTCTCTAGAAATGTTGAGTTGATGGTTGGTTTGTCCACCACACTGGTCCAGACTGACATGACTCAATGACTGTTAGCCATGACATTTTGTGAAGAAGATGAATCATTGTAACCTTGACTTTTCATCTATTGCCCACCATGAGGTTGGTTCTTTGAAGTAAAGTCTGTCCTTACCATTGGATGGATTGACATGAATTGATCCAAATTCTCTATTTGATCATATTGAAAGCAAAGGTATTCAAAAGTGGAATCAAATGTATATAAAAATAAGGATTTTCTTTCTGGCAAAATTACACCCAAATGCACATTAAATAACTGAGAAGTCAACTAATTGCTTGCTGCTTAATACATTGAATTTAGTCATTAAAATACAAAGGTATTTCGATTTTTTTTCTCCCACTGTGGAAGCGGGAACCCTATAATCGTAAAAGAGGGAATGGGTGTTAAAGTGACTAAATGCATAGCCTATCGAGCTGCCTATGGATAAAGGGCCAGAAATAGAGCCCTGCCCAGTCGGAGAGACAACCTTACGTCGATGTGGAAGGAAATGTGAAATTACTAGTAATCAACCTATTGACGTGAGTGTTAATTAAGGACTCTGACAGATCACCTCACATTATGGTTTTCCACCAATAGTTCAAAATCCCCCCTGTATTTAAGCAACAGTATACGTTTCTATCATGGTTTTTGCTGCACTCACGGTAGCAATTGTAGTGAGGATGATTCAGGACAAATGTTTTTTTTAAATAAATAATTGAGCCTCTTTCTTTGTTTTCTTCCTCAAGTCAGGCTATAAATGAAATCTTTTCATAATCATCACATCACTCTCAGTGTCTGCATGACTCAAAGCAAGAGACCTGAATGCAAGCATCTGGGAGCAGGAACTCTCTTGTGGGAATATTATTCCACCACTTGACAGACAGTGAAACTGTTGTTCGCACTTATAAGCAATCCCATCCGTATAAGAGCAATTGAACAAACAGCTTGAAGCCATCAACCTAGATATAAACTTATGTTGAGAGAAAAAAGCTGACCCGCACAAAAGGCTTGTGTCTTCAGCTACGCTAGCAGCCCTGTGAGGCTGCTAACATCAGCATGCTTGAAACCTAGCACTCTTTCTCACTACAGCACACATATGGTAAGCAGGTATACTGTTGACCATCTCTCAGTTTAGCGTGTTAGCATGCGAAAATTGGCTCAATTGCATCCACCACAAGATACAACCAACGCTAATGGGCATCTCATTGATTTTGAATGTATTTTGTAATGACATAGGACAAAAGGAACTCAACAGACCCACACATTTTTCTTAGTTTCTGGCAGTAGATGTTAAATCAGCATTTTGATTCAGTCTAAATTGTAGATAATACAAAAACTAGCTTTTTACAGAATTTCTGAATTGTTCATATCAAGGAGGATAAAAAATCGGGAGGTATCGTTCCAAAACTGAACGGCAAGGGCTGCATACTTACATACATACTGCAATCGTGTCAGAATATGCTGTCCTACCCCGTCCCAGTTCTTAACCCTCAGTTTGTATCAACTCTCCATGGAGGCAAATGTATCACGTTTGCATAATCGACACTGTAACCACTACGGATCCTGTCTATATGGAGCATGCTGTGTGGGTGGGCTTGGGTGTCAACTGATGGCAAATGTTGCAACATTCCAGTACGTTATGGAGCTTTGGTGTGTCACACTTTGGCCCAATTCCTAGGCCACCTTTACATCAGACCATTTTCATAAACTACAACTTCCTCTGCTGCTTTGTTGTCTTCAATACTGCCAGATCAATTTCAATTTCAGGTTCCTTTCCTGTCCTTTAGTGCTTTAATTGCAGCTGGGTCTTCACAAATAGCACTGCTGTTTGGATTTGATTGTTCTACCCACCAAAGTGCCCATCTCTCATGAAAACAGACACATTATAGATATTGCTGTTTTATCTCTTGAATAGATGCCTTTACAATTCGGATTAAACCCATCTGTGTTAACCTGAAGATGATTCCTCCCACATACGATATATTTAAGAAGGTGTTTCCCCTCCAACCAATTCTGAAATAAAGAGAGCAGCATCCAATTCTGGCATAAAAAAAACATAATTTTGGAGAGTAAAATCTCTTAATCCTTAATACCAATTACACACAAACATTTAGTCACTCTATAAAGACACTCTAACCCCAACATACTGTGTATGTTCTACCTTGCAACCACATCCATTATTTCCAAGCATGTACTTTGCTGCCAATCTCAATCTTCTTATCCACAATGGATTTGAACAAGATGCACTTGACAGGAGGTGGGCTTAGTGTGGGTGGGAGCCCATAAACAGAGAGAGGGGGCAAAAATACATCTTTATATTTAGCATGCTTAGTGTGTGGCCACAGCAAGATTTTGAAGTAAGCCCTCTTACGATGAAAGGGATTAACCTTTTTCACAGCAGATATTTTTTGCCTTTTAATACCAAGAGAAGCACAGGTGAGTTGACCAGGAAGTGAATGATGGATCACGTACATGCTTTTCCTTCTATAACATGTCCAAAAGTCTTAGAAGATATACATAGCTCCAGATTTGTCTTGTCTTGTCTTGTCTTTCTACTAAAATGTCTTATGTGGTACCAAATAAAGTGTTAATATACATATTAAATAATTGAATTTCACACTGCTCTGCCCCACAGTCAACATATGTATTTCTTAAGATATGACATAATAATGCCAACATTATGTTGTTTTTTCTGAGACAAAGTGGAAAACGCAGAAATACATTTGTCAAGTTTTTTTTTCTTGTTCAGCAAAGATTTTTCCCCTCATAGATTTTGGGCAGGAGTCTACTTGTGATAGCACACCTCGGTTAATTGTCAAAACACAGCATATAAACAATGTGGTTCCGATAAAAACATTTACAACTACTTACAATAAAAGCATACTCTAGAAATATCACGATATAAGTTGATAGTAAACATTTAAATATTGTATACTGGATGCCTTTTTAATCATAAAAAGTATAGTAGACATCAGTATGCTAAAATCACCCATCTACAGTGCACACATTTACAATTTAAATATAACTAATATGTGTATAATTTAAGCTTTAGGAGGATATGCATAGGATATGCTCATTGATATTTGTTAAATGCAATAGTTTTTATGTCATGGATGAGCTAAGTTAGAAAAAGCATGCTAGTATATTATTAAGTAACAACAAATCCTGTAAATAAAGAAGTGTAATATAAAAGTTATGGTGGGTTTTGTTAGCTTAAGTCACCTGCTGTGTTCATGGCACCAATCCTTGAGACACAAACTCATTGAGAAAACACGCAATGAATAGACAGACCTGAAACTGGAGTGCTTTTTGACTCCTGGATACTCAGCTTCGGGAATATCAGTCTGACTCAGCCTGGCAGCTACAGGAGATGCTGACGTGAAGCATAATACTCTAAGGTCCGCCGCGAGTAATTGCACACTCTCGCTGCATAGAGTTATGTTAGTGTTGATCTCATATTTGTATCAAACATCTCATTGGATGCAAGTGATTGTTTTTTTACGAGATAGAGAGACACAGGGGAAGGAGTGGATAATGGATTAGATCCACTGGATTTGTACAAATAAAAAATAAGGCAGAAAATGGATATTCAGCACACTTATTGCTGCCTTAAAGTCCTGGCCTTGCCTTATAACAATGTCAGCAGCCCATTGGATGGCTAAATGCGCCTGCACTCTGCTGTGATCAGCTTTTGAAGAACATCGTTTTTGTATATTTTGAGCTTTTAATGTGAAATGTTTCCATGCTTTAATGTTAAAAAAGGTCTTTATTTTCCTCATACTGCCTGTGCTGCAGCACCTCTTTTCACCCTCTGTCTGAAACCAGAGCCCAGTCTGCTCTGATTGGTTAGCTGGCCGGCTCTGTTGTGAGTGGTCAACTGTTTAGTGATATCCCGCCCCTTAGCCTATCACGTACAATGTGTTGGAGCGCTAGCCAATAGAAGCGCAAGTGTTACATAGTGATTTCACAATGTTATGGAAGTAAACAAAAGGAGTCCAACAGAGGCATTTCAGGCAGAGGGGGGGAGTGTGTGGGAGAGAAACTCCCTCTGGAGAGAACTTTGAGATTTGTGCCTTTGCAGACCATTTACATGCACAAAAACCTATATCACACTAACAGTCTCTGTCTCTTTTGTGATGTGTTGTTGTGTTAAGCTGGTCAATATTTCTTTGCTAAAATTCGCAGATAAAAAAACATATTTTCGATTGCATGAGAAGGCGTAGGTCACACCACAAAGCCAGGTCAGGTGTACTGTACTCTCTGTGCGTGGGCGGATTTGTGCTGATTAAGGTCTCTGAGGAGGGCTGAAAATGTTCAAGCCTAATCTCAATAAGTGTAACAGCAGGGAGTCTGTGATGCAGTGAAGACTCATCATTCTTTTGCATGCTTTTCAAATTCATAGAGACAGGAACCCTGTAGGAAGCTATGGCATTTGACTGATGCATACATACAACTGAATCCTATTTTCCTTACTGATATTTGGTTCAATTAACATGCACACAATAATGTTTCCATACTATAAGAGAAGTGTCTTTTTAAGCGGCTTATGTGAATGCATAAACTGGCTGCTCCTTATTATATGATGAAAATACTATTTTCATCATTTCATTATTACTTTGATAATCCAGAGGTTGTCCTGGAGTGCACTTGCATTACAGAAATCACAAATAAGACATGTCTCATGCTAACAGCTTTGTACAGCTAAGAGCAGTTGTTTGTGCTCTATGCTAACGTCAACTAGCTAACATCACGACAATCCTTACTAAACACTACTGTAGGAGCTACAAAATTGTGTCATTCAGGATTCTGATCCATTGTGAGCAAGAAATTAAAATCTAAAACAATTCTGATGGCGAACGATCCATTAGCTGACTATAGATTTCACTCGAACCCACAAAAGGTATTAGCATTAATCCTCTGGGAACCCTGATCACAGAAAACATCATGGCAGGCAAAAGTTGTCAAGTGTCTGGCCAGGGATCAAGGTGGTGGACGTGATAGACCAACATTGCTCTCCATACACAACAAAACCCAACATTTCAACAGTCCGGGCAGTGGAGACGGAGCGAATTGGCACCAAGAGAATTATTGTTATCTTCTGAAGAAATGTGTGTGACAGTTTCAGTCTAGCAGAAGGAACTACTCAACTGATTATTAATGTGAGGACATGAGACAGACAGGAAGCCTCAGACAATAAATTATGCAAATGCAGTCAATACAAATCATAATTGTTTTAAAAAATACATTAGTGGTTACATTTCCTCAAGGCCACTAAAAGGCTGCTATGAATGGGAAAGGTTGCTGGGAGTGAAACGCAAAGTTTATTGAATAACTAAAAGGTCATCAGAATAACAATTGATCCATTATCAATGTTTGTAGACAATTCAGGTTAAATGGATGTAGTTAGGGAATAGCTATTACTGAAGGTATATAAAGGTATGCAAAATACGATAACGGTTATTGCATCCGGCTACTCTTTAGGTTCTTGCGACCAGCAGCGTCTGTGAGCCAGTGGCCTCTCTTTGTATCTTTTTGATCCCTCAAAGCAGCTCCATCCAAACCTCGGCTGAGATGAGTGTCAGGTTTTTAACTTTTTAGACGGATCAGTCTGTCTGATCAAAATCACATGGACTTCTGAGGATATTTGATGTGGAGATGTTGGCAACAGACACTGACACATTTAAAAAGCAGTGAGTGTCTCAGCTGTGATGTGATTTTCAGTACCAGATCCTAAAAGGCTCATATATTAAGATCCCAAAATGATGTACATTCTGTAGAGTCATGGTAATAAAAAGGGTTATGAACACATGCACACATGGTCATTCATGCAGTCTTGTGAATGCCGTATGAAATCATGATTTAAATACAGAATGAACTATATGTGAATTGTTAATAAAATATATAATGATATATATATATTTGTTTCTATTAATTCTAACTGGCAGTTTCATACTCAAAACAGTTATATTGTTTATTATTAACCAATAATAATATTATTGCTCTTATTTTATTAACATTAGTAATATTTCCTTTTATATTTGATATATTATTTGTATGTATTATAACTGACTGACCTTGCTGCCCCTGTGTGTGTGTGTGTGTGTGTGTGTGTGTGTGTGTGTGTGTGTGTGTGTGTGTGTGTGTGTGTGTGTGTGTGTGTGTGTGTGTGTGTGTGTGTGTGTGTGTGTGTGTGTGTGTGTGTGTGTGTGTGTGTGTGTGTGTGTGTGTGTGTGTGTGTGCGTGTTTGTGCGTGTGTGTGTGTGTGTGCGTGTTTGTGCGTGTGTGTGTTTGTAGGATGTAACACAGAGTGGGATGAGATCGGCTGCTGGCTGAGAGCTGATGTCGGGCAGGTGGTCAACGTCTCGTGCTCTGAGGTCTTCCAGCATTTCTCCAGCAGTCAAGGTTGGTTTTGATATCTCCAATTTTAATAAACATAGAAAACAATAACTTAATTGGACATGCACTCAACTGAGCAGTTTAAATACAGATGGTAATGTGGAAGTTACACTCTCTGTTGGTGCATGCTCAGTTACTAAATCTGTGCTGTATAATCTGGAGAATTAATGCAGGCTGAAGTCGCTCTGATGAAGAAGTACAGCATGAATTATTCATTAATGTTTGTTGGCAAGAATATGTATATAGATATATACCGCGGGAGTTTCTGGCAAAATAAGTGACGTACTATCTTGTCTGCAGGGTTCATATTATGTCACATTATGACTTCCTCTTGGGCCTTTGTAGTACTTTCCAGAAAGATGGTGCTGATGAGGACAAGAGGGACATATTCAGAAGTTACCATTATCTAGTCTTGAGTAAATCAAAATTAAGATGTTTTATATTTATATTTATAAAAATGTCCCAAATTGGGATCAATAAAGTTCTATCTTATCTTAATATTATTTTTATAATAGACAAAACGGATGAAGTATTGTTTCATAAGTATGTTTTAATCCATTAATCCTCAATTTAAAGGAAAAACAGGTATATTCAATATACACAATTCTGGGACTCTTTGTTCTCTGTGAGAGGATTGTCAATATGAGTCCAACATTAAAGGAGGTAAGGTCAGGATCATTACGGAATAATGCTCTTTCCATTCCTATCTCAATGGAAATCCTACTCATTATGATCTGATTTGCAGATCACACAAACAGACCAGAGCATTTAATCTCAGTGGTGCAGTTGGCGGCATTAGTTCCTGTTTGCTCAAAGGAAAACTAAAAAGCAAACCCCACTGCCACACTTTCTGTATTTCTTTGTTCAAACAGTTCTGCTAAAGCCCACATGTGCTATCTGTGGCAGACACATTTAGATTCCCTCTAACCCAGCAGTGCAGGGAGCTTTCAAGCTGAAGACCTATCCTACGACACCTGCAGTTTCCACACGGACGCTAACCTGAACTGAAATGTCAGTAGACTTGAACATGAAAGCATAAAATGTTTTATGACTGAATGCACTAATGGAGAGAAAAGAGAACAAATGTCAAGGTGTCAGAATGTGCACCAGACAGAGACATTTCTATAGCATTGTAGCTTACAGAGTGTCATTTACAATATGAGATACTTCGCTATGTCATACTCAATACCACTTCTTAAGCTCAAGAACATCAGCGTGAAACTAATTCTTTTTGTAGAAGTAAGATAAGCTTATCAAGATGTTTCCCAGTGGCTTTATGCAATGTCAGTGGCTACAGGATTTGGGACATATGCAGCTTTGATTGCTGTTCAAAGCAATCAATCACAGGGATTTCATGTAATTCATATTTTTTATAAAGTTATTAACAAGAGTAATTGCTGGTCTATGAATTGTAGCGCTTTGTATGATGCCTGATGCATTGTGCCAAGTCAATCGCCTAGAAAGACCAGAGTCTTAAATATCTTTCCTTCGTGGCGCAACAAGGGCTCATAATGACACTTGTTTATATTAGCCCCCCTATTTAAGCGTTATCTATTGACTATCGTTCACTGTTTAAGAGTCATGATCTTCAAAGGCGCCCGCTCGCTAAACAGACAGAGCACATTACTTAGTTGGTTTTTAAGCCTGCTTCCTATTTTACATTTTAAATACAACTTTCTGTCCCCATTTACATTTGACTGATTTTAGCAATATATAGAGGGAGATGCAAACAGCTGTTTTGACGAGTTGTTCATAAATTCAGAATATATTTGATAATGCTACATTCTTATGCAACCCAGTCTCAAGGCATTTCGTGTTATAGTCACGAAATTAATCTATTGATTCGTGTTCACCAACACGATTTCCCCATTTTTTCCGTGTTACACAGAACGATTTTAAAAGCAATGTAAATAATAACAAATTAGAAGGAAAAAGAGATAAAAAAATACAGATTTCAGTATTCTGAGGCTCTGAGCCCCATTTATTTTCCTCACGGACGGCAAATAAACTTCGACATTATACAATTTAAAATAAAAGGGTTAGGGTTAGGCTTAGGGTAAGATATTGAGTAAGAAAATGTTTTTATGAACCACACAGCTTCCGGTCTTCCAAGACGCGACCAAAAGACGTGGTGCAGGCACGAAACACACTACCAATAGAAATACATTGCTTTTATTGCGTTCTGTGTGACACGAAAAAAAGGGGAAAATCGTGTTAGTGAACACGAATCAATAGATTAAATTAATTTTGTGACTATAACACGAAATGCCGTGAGACTGGGTTGTCTTATGTGAGTGCACTAAATTAATTGATGTATTCTTTGATTTGGAACAGTGGCTTTATAATTGTTAAGTGTGGTCAAATCAATCAATTAAATATCCCCCTTACATTTTCACCAGCCCCCAAACTCTATTCATGCTTTCGCCTGGCCTTTACAGTATATCATCCTGAATGTCACTGCATTTGCTCCATTTTCAGCACGATTCACAGCACAATTGATATAAAACTATTCCAAAATGTTAATGTTCAGCCAAAATGAAGCAAAGATTAAAGGTGGGGTAGGTAAGTTTGAGAAACTGGCTCGAGATACACTTTTTGTTATATTCCATGGAATGCTCTTAACATCCTGATAGCAATGAATATCTTAAGTGCTTTGACAAAAAATCCATAAAAAAATGTCATCTGTGGAAGCCGTAATACTGTAAAAAGCACGACCAATCATTTTAGCCGGCCCGGCTAAAATAACTGGATGGCCTACCTGCCTGTCAGCCATCCATCGGGGCACAAACTTATCTCGTGCCTTCATTGGTCATGTGCACGTTCGTGTGTGTTGGAGGAGGGGCTCTGTAAGGAAGTGGCAGATTTTCTTCGGTTGTGTACTTTCAAATTCTAGCGATCTCGAGCCGGTTTCTCAAACTTACCTACCCTACCTTTAAGAAGAAGGTGAATAATAACAAATACATTGAGATATTGAATACATTGTACGATGTATTGTGAAGTAGAACACTTGTTTCTATTAAAAGTTCTTTGTAGTCTATATTAAGTTTCTTTAATATTGCAGTTCTCTGTCTGTATCATTGTTTATTTCCCCAGACACAATCCTTGACTATGAATAACCTGGCTTATGGTAATAAAACGTATACTGTTGCTGATTCTGAAAATATCTGCAGAGGTTGAAATAGATCTTGTCTCTCTGCTGTCTGCCCGCACATCAGGATTTGTTTTCAGGAACTGTACGGAGGACGGCTGGTCAGAAATGTATCCTCCCTACAACGATGCGTGTGCTTTCAGTGATGACAGCGAGCCTGAAACTGAGGTAAACACACACTTGTTGTGGTTTCTGTCATGCCATTCAACCTACTTAATTGTAGCTTCAGTCTAAAGTCAACGTGTGTATGTAATTAATTTAAATACAATGAAGTAAAGTACAATTACATCAAATTGTAGTTAAAGGTGGGGTAGGTAAGTTTGAGAAACCGGCTCGAGATCGCTAGAATTTGAAAATACACAACCGGAGAAAATCTGCCACTTCCTTATAGAGCCCCTCCTCTAACACAGACGAACGCGCACATGACCAATGAGGGCACGAGATAAGTTTGTGCACAGATGGAAGGCTGACAGGCAGGTAGGCCATCCAGTTATTTTAGCCGGGCCGGCTAAAATGATTGGTCGTACTTTTTACAGTATTACGGCTTCCACAGATGAAAGTTTTTTATGGATCTTTTGTCAAAGCACTTAAGATATTCATTGCTATCGGGATGTTAAGAGCATTCCATGGAATATAACAAAAAGTGTATCTCGAGCCGGTTTCTCAAACTTACCTACCCCACCTTTAAGTAAAACATTGAGTTAATATTCCCATTTACTTTTCACTACTATAGATCCTCTGTTATTGATATTTTGTGTGACATTTCATTCATCAAGTCATCTCACTTTCATTTCATTTGACAACATTTCCTCAAACTCTCTGTGTCTCTCTTTGCAGACGACCTACCTCTCTGCGTTCAGACGGGTTTACACCGTGGGCTACGCCACCTCACTCATCTCCCTCATCACAGCCATAGTGGTGTTCACAGCCTTCAGGTAAGCACACACTGTCCCAGATACAAACAAATTATAATAAGGGCAATAAAAAGGGTCAACAACCATGATGCACACACATATATCCAGATATTGTGATGGTCGACTGTAATAAAATCCCAGGAAAAACCTTTGTTATGTAGAGGCTTGGGGATCTGGCAGTACGGCAATCAATAAACAATCCTTTCAACTCCTAATCCACTAACCCCTCGCCCTTATTCCACCTAGCTTAGCACTTTTTACTTTTGTTGTTATTTTTGTTTTACTTGCTTGTAAAGCGCTTTGAGCACCAGGAAAAGCGCTATATAAATGTAATGTATTATTATTATGACTATTTATGTACATGTGCTTCTTTCAGGAAGTTCCGCTGCACCAGGAACTACATCCACGTCAACCTGTTCTCCTCCTTCGTTCTGAGAGCCAGCGCTGTTTTCATCAAAGACACTGTGCTGTTTGCTGATGAGACCCTGGACCACTGCTCTGTGTCCACGGTAAGCAGAGTTATCAGTCATTATTGTTCCCATCCTAAAGCAGATTCCCACATCTGCTGTATGATTGACAATGAAAAGAGGAGAGAAAAAGGGGAAGACAAGAGATGAAGGGCAGCTGTCGTTTCTCAGGCAAATCCATTCATTAGTCGACAAGATTGATGAATTATTTTAGCATGTACCTAGTTTAAAAACAATGAAACAGCAGGTACGTTTCAGTTTGCTGTGGATAATATAATGTAAGGGTCTAAGCTGTACCCTTATGTAATTGCTTTATCATTATTTCATTTTTTTCTTTTTGTAGTGAGTTTCATTGTATTCTTTGTAATGGAAAAGCCGTTCATGCAGCCTGTAGGTATGGTGGGAGGTAGTACGTTTTTCCATAGTCCTACTGTGCGTTGTTACAAGTGGTTGTTACATTAAGTGGACAATTTTCCGAATGGCGTCAAAAAAAAAAAAAAACTAGGATTCCATCTATATTCAAACACACGTAGTAATGAAAATGTTTTTTTGTGTGAAACCACAGAACATTGTTACATATCTGTCGATAACCACCGAGAAATCTCACCAGCATGTCTCTTTGTATGTTTTTGTCTCTTAAGAGAGGTGAAACAGTGCTTTGTTGAAGGAAATATTTTTGATTTGATGAAGGAAAAATGCACATCAATGGCCTGAACTTTGACTGCTTTGCTATTTTAGATGGCTTTTGTGAATGGAACCACAGCCAAGATGATTAAACCTCCCTGAAAGGATCAGAGAGGCCGATGTCAACACAGAATCAAAATAGAAAGAATAAGCGGCATCGTTTTTTGCTTTTGCACTCACGTGTACCATTTGTACACAAGCATTTCAAAATATTGCAAAACATTTAAAGGAGAGGTGTCATGCTTTTCCGGTTATTACCCGTCCCCTTGTGTGTTATGAAGGTTTTTATGCATGTAAACGGTGTGCAGAGTCAAAACCCTCAAAGTACACCCTATAGCGAGTAAAACTCTAACACAGAAAATACCTCCCCAAAACGCCTCGTTGGAGATACTTCATTGTCCATTTGATTCTTCCGGGACGGCATGATGTCAAGCCGTACCCGGAACGAAATGGACCAATCCGTGGAGCCGTTACGTTACGTCCGCGGAGCCGTTACGTTAAGCCCCCGCTGATTGGTCCAAATTGACCAATCCACGGATTTCCTCACACACACATCTGTGTGCAGGGAGCAGGCAGCTCAGCTGATTTCTCCTCCCTGGCTGCAGGCTGATAACAGACAGTTGGGATCGCGGCGAAATTCTCTCTGCAGACCCATTCTCACAGCGTTTATCAACCTTTGTTTTACTCAATCTCAAGCCGTGGAATCTCAGTGGAAATGGCCATGACACCTCTCCTTTAAGTTCTTGTACTAAAAATGTTGTCTCGATAAAAAGATTCACAGTCTTTTGGGACATTGCAGAAGCATATTAGCACGTACACCTTTTCAAAACCCTAACCACAGCTTCTCAAATCACAAACTACAACCACTCTTTAAAGAACACACAAACAAATAGGAATATCAGTTTTTCTCATGAAAAGTAGATATTTTGGAAATATAAAATTATCACAAAAACATGTAGTTAATACAATTTAAAGATATAAACAACACTGATACAATAATTGTTACCTAACCTATTCATGATATAATGATATAATCTGAAAATGTGATAGGTGTAGTATATATCTACAGGATATAACTGCATAAATGGAGAATATAAAAATATAGAGAATTAAAACTACTGTAATACTCTACTTTACGGCTTTGCGTAAACAAATGACAAATCCAGACTAACGTGGTTTTTCTGTCCTCTCTAGACAGCGTGCAAGTCAGCCGTGGCTTTCTTCCAGTTCAGCATCCTCGCCAATTACTTCTGGTTGTTGGTGGAGGGCATGTATCTTCAGACCCTGCTGGCGCTGACTTTCGTCTCTCAGAGGAAATACTTCTGGTGGTACATCCTGATTGGATGGGGTGAGTAGAGATGACTGAGTAGGCCGGGCATCTGAGGATGTGCAAGCCTATGAGAAATGAAATATTGGCTGGATAACAACACAACATTTAAAAGTTGTTTCACAAACCTACAAAGGATTTTCATTTGCTCAATCACAAGTGAAGGTGTTAAAGGGGCCCTATAATGCTTTTTGGGGTTTTCCCTTTCCTGTAGTGCGTTATTTATATATCTTTTGGGAGTTTCTAATTATGTGTTTGATAACTGACACGATTCACCCAGCTTGCTGAGTATACATGGCCGTGTTTGACTGACACTGTGGTTTTTAAAGTGGCCTGCGGTCAGACCTTGAGTTTTGCTGTGAGAGAGCGAGACTTGCTGTGACGATATACTATCCAATAGTCTACTGTGAAGCTAATCATAAACAATTGTAGGCTGTATTATATATTCAGCTGGTCATTCGTGTGCCTGTTGATTGTAGTATTGTTGTATTTCAGTACATTGAATGATACTGAAATGTTTTCCTGTCATCTTTGTCTTATTATAACACAATATAATCACATTTAGATGGTTGGGATTGCATTTCCAGTAATTCAATCCCAAAAGCCATGGCAACGATTTATGAACACAATGGCTGTTCCTGAGACTGCTGTTGTGCTCACTCGTGTTTTCTCGGCTCTCCCTTTGTTCTCTCCCTTATCTCTTGCTTCACTGAGCTCTCTACGGATGTTTAGAGTGCTTTCCCTTCTGTGCTGCTCATTTCCATTGTCTTCCTATTTCCATCCAATTGTCTTTGTTGATTCCTGTTTTCTGAATATTTACCTGTTCAAGCCTGTACTCTCAAGTGCTTCTAGAAATGTTACACAGTCTGTGGTCTAGCGAGTTAGTGATGCAGTGAAAGAAACAGCTTCACACCTTTTTTTTTGGTGAAGAGCCTGAGTTTTTGAACCTTTAGGAAAGTTTAGGCAAACAGATTCTGAACTTGGCAAAATACTACATTTCTGGAGGGTATGCTGGGCCTTTTGTGGAAGCATATCCATTTTCCAGGTCCTATGTTTCCAAGTGTAATACTGTGTATTAATACATTAACCCTCACATTGTGTTCAGTTCAATTTTGGTGCGTATAAAATACAAATATTTATGTAATACTATCCTATGTTATTGAAACAAGGGTTTAAAGTAGCCCAACAAAACCATATTTTATCATGTATTTGATTTGAACGGTCTTTAAAAAACTTTTATCTGTGGTAATCCAGGTCAAACGGACCACACAGAGAATAAGAGTCTTTGTTGTTCCTCGGGTAACATTTTTATCAAACACTTGTTTGGGTTTGGTTTGATACACAAACCACCCAGATTATTTAATCGCAGCATGCCACACTATTATAAACCAATGTTCTCTGTGAGTCAGATCCTTTGTTTTTGGATGACTTGGTTTGATACTTTTTTAAATGCAGGATAAAGGACTGGACAAAATAAATAAGTAGATATATTCTGGATATGTATAGATTTCACAAGTTAGAAATGTGGTTAAATTAAAAATTCACATTCTTTTTAAGTGTTGTAATTGGACTAGCATAGAAAAGGCATGTGCTCCTTTTCTAGCACAACACAAGCGAATAGAAAGCTGGGGATCTTTTTTTCCAATTTGTATGTCTAGGAACACCCTGGTAACATAATGACCTCCGTTGGGAACTCCAAAGTGCTCTTTGTAAAAATCAGTTGTTATAGTTATGATAATGCATGCCATACTCTCCATTCAACTATATAAACCAATTGACTAAACACATCCAAAACTGATATAAACATACAACTATGAGCTTGTTTAAGGAAAATCTGGAGTGAAATATGTCCGTCTTGTATCTGTGTTTTTGAAAACTGGCAAGGAAGCCAGCCTGTGTTTGATGTGGAGCCCACTCAGTATCCAGAGTGTCTTTGATATGTTTTATCACCTTCTTTCCAGTTTGTTCTATCTTTCTCCCCAGCTTTAATCCTGTGTGTGTTTCTTTTTCTGGCATGTAGATGCAAGTGGGAGATGGATATATTTATTACACAATGTCTTATACGCTGAACAACGTTTTAATAAAATATGAAGTACACATGTGACATGGGGCTTGAGCGTCGTTCAGATTCATTTTCTTGACACATAAACAATGTATTAATAATTAATTATGCTTATGTTATTTTCTTATGCTGCAGGGCTGCCATCAACAATTCTTATACTCTGGGTGCTGACCAGATTTTTCTATGATGACAGAGGGTATGACTTATCACACAACCTAATTACACAACATTATTTTCTCATAATTTCTCTGCTATCATAACTTTGCATGTTAAACAGTAGTAATTATTCTAGAGTACTTTGATTTGAGTGTGACCTGATTTTAATATTTGATTGCAGGTGCTGGGACGACACAGACAATGTTGGTATTTGGTGGATAATTAAAGGACCAATCACAGCCTCGCTGCTGGTGAGTGGAGAGCAGTGAGACTGTACTTCTACCAATTAACTGTGACTATGATCCAAGTGGGGGGTTAACTATCAAATGTCATAGTTTATTTTCAAAACAAGGAATACTATACTTCACTTGACATTTGCTGGCAGATTTGTTCAGCTCTTGAAAAGCTAGCAAACTAATATGAAGCTAGCCATATGAGTTGCTGCAACAAATGGTGTCCCTTTGATTCTTTCATTTAGCTAGCTAAGTGCTTATTGTGATAATTGTGTATCCAATTGCGTGTTTCTCTACCAGATCAATATAGTCATCTTCATCAACGTGATCCGGATCCTGGTCCAGAAGCTTAAATCTTCAGCAATGGTTGGAAACAATGAAACCGGACACTTTATGTGAGTCAATACATACTGACACTTCTGAGCCGCTTACACATGATAGCCAGTATTTTAAATGGTTGGATTTGGTAGAAAAACTACTAATCTGAGCAGCAAAAATCATTCTGCTGGGAGAATGTCTCCTCAAAGACACATACTGTATGTATGAATTTCATTTCTCAGTAAAGCTTCAACGCATTAGAAAGGTAAGTGGGGGTGATGGAGGCACCTGCGGCTGCAGCAGCAAGCAGAGCATCTAGACGAGTCTCCCCTTTATAAATCACCTGATGAGATTGGCCACCTGCAGCGGAGTAACATCTGAACAGCTGATGAATAGACTGCAGATTGTGTAGGATGAAGGTAGCGGCTGATCAGCCAATCAGCTGATGCAGGCAGGACTACAGAGGTCTGCCCCAACAAAAGGCTGCAACATTTATTTTTATCCGCCTCAAGTTTTCTCTAGCATTTAAGTGTTTAGGAAGTAAAATCATTTTTTGGAAAACTTGACCTGATAAGACATTTTAAATAAATGACTAGATATATTTCTATATTTTGTAATAAAACTATTACATGGGGTAGAGTAGTGGTCTATTGTGTGCAGGCTATCGACTGATGAATCACACATGAAAGTATGTTATCCAGATTTTGATAAAATAATCTTTTATGAGAACCATATTGAATGTAGGTGACATCAAGATTAGAGAGTCAGTAATGCTTTTTGAAGGAACAGTGATTTTGAGAATGCGAAAAAAAAAAAAAAAAAGGTTTAACCGTGAAAAATCCAAAGTGACCAAAAGTGATGCAATCTTTAATTGGGATTTTATAAAGGTTACACGTTTAATTTTTCAGTACATTTCTCTTTGATGTCTGTCTGCAACCAATCCCCACACAACATATAATTATTGTTTCCTATTTAACCTCTAAGTTTCAGTCCATTGAGAATTTGGTTAAATGAGATTCACCTTCATTTTCTCATACAATGCATTAGGAGATAAAGTGTTATGGAGCAAATGTTCACTGCTGAGGTAAAACTGCTGAGTGAGAAACTGATATGTTAAAAATCGATGTCAGTTTCTTTGAAGAGTTTACTATGTGTAAGGAAAGGAGAGCGAATCGATAAAATCTCCTGATAACATCCTCTCTGTTTAGGAGGGGAAATGCTGCGTCTATGAATCTACTCCTGTAGCCCAGAGATCTTTCTCTACCTGAGTTAATCCTTCCTTTCTTTTGACATTTGGTTGGTTCAGTTCCAGCTCAGCTGAATTAATTTACAATGAGAGCAGCACACGAAAATAGCATCAGATACCAGAAATCTCCTTTATTGCTGTGCGACAGGATGGCTCCACCAGTTCAATGAATGTTTTCAAGCCTTCTAAAGCTTCATCTCGGTTTTACAAACTTCAATCTGGTTCGGACAGATCTGTGACATGAACACGAATCTTGAATCTTTCAGCAGTCAAATCGTTGATGATATTTCTAATCAGAAGGGTTTTTGTGTTATTTATATTCATCACATGTCACTTGTTAGACGCTTTTATCCAAAGCGACTTACATACTCAATACTGTGGACAATCCCCACAGGAGCAATTTGGGGTGAATTGTTTTGCCCAGGGACACAACGACATGCTGACTGCAGGGGTGTTTGAACCTGTGATCCACTGACCCCCCTGATCCGATCACCAATGCACTAACCCACTGCGCCACACGCCTCCCATATTCAGATGACTATTTTCACTGCCTCGTGACATCCTTGGATCTGTTGGGGTTAGATTAACTGTTGATTGATCTTTGATATATTATGTTTCAAATCAGCTTTGAGTCGATATCATTAGTTATAGGATATAAGAGAAAGGGGGATTATTAAATGGTTGTGATTTTGTATTTCTTTTGGGATGTAGCGCAGAGGGGGAGTTTTTTTCCTCGCTGCAAGTTGGTGCAGTATTGTAATGTCATCATAATAAACATAACATTTACATGATTTTCAGACACCGCTGATCTGATTTGAGCACAATGAATCAGGGTTCTGTATTTTGACATTTTCACTGATGACGCTGTTGATTTAAAGGTCAGTTTGTTTAATGAAAATGTGATATCTGCCACATGGGCGAGCCTTTGTTGAAACTTGGCGACATAATAGATTCTGGCATTTGAAACCAAAGCACTGATTAGATTGACACTGATAAAGGGGAATATTTCAAGCTGTGAAGAACCATTTTATATAAATATTCAAATTTGTGTTATTCAGTTCTTACTTTAAAGCTTCTGAAATCTTCTTGTTTTCTCTTTAACATGAAATATGAACAAATGTCAAATTCAGAGTAAAAAGCAACGTTGTGAGTTATTGTTTATTAAAAGATCAAGATTGAAAAACGTTGCTTTATCAGGACATCAAATCTGATTGAACATTGGCCAGGCAGTGTAAGCAAACAAATCCACCGCTTTCATCTCATTATGATTCAAAGTTGATAAATGATGATGGTATGTGACAATGCATTTTTTCACATGAGTCCCACCAACTTCAAAATACTTAAAAAGAGCAAAGATAAAACTGAAATGACAAACATTTGTCATGAAATAGCCAAAAGATTACGTGTTCAGGAAGGAGCCATGGCTCAGAGTAAGCTGAAATGTGTTTTCAGGACCTTCAACACGGATTAGCTCCAGATTGTGTTTTTACATTACCTGGACGGATGTCTCTCTTCTTTCTCTCATTCCTCTGTTGTTCATTTCCCTCAGGAGGCTGGCTAAATCCACGCTGTTCCTCATCCCTCTGTTTGGGATGCACTACACAGTTTTCGCCTTCCTGCCTGAAAACACTGGAGTGGCCGCCAGACTTTACATCGAGCTGGGTCTGGGGTCCTTTCAGGTATAAAAGAATAGAGAGGTGGCGGGACAACAAGTATTAAAAACCACATTAAGACAAATTGTAAAAAAGGTTTCCAAAGATGAATGAAGAAACTCTCAGTTTACCTTGGGTTATTTTGTGTAGCAGACATGTTGACTTGCAGTAGGGAAAAGCATAGGTGTTACTAATAACACAAAAAATTGCTCTATACTATTTAAGTCTGAACAGTTTGAACAGCTGACAAGATGGCGGCGCATGTATATGCTGCGGCTTTTGGACTCGCCAGTTTTTGTACAGACTGCTGATAGATGTGTATATAACAACAAGTCCTCCAACTCATACAACCAAATAGGTCGATTGTTCAAGCGCTTAATACGACCTATAATCACGTTTTAAAGTTTTCGACCTCTAGTGCTCCCGTTGATTGCAAACGTTACAGAGGGTCGTTTATTCACAAATAACCCTCTCTGTAAAATCCTAAATTGCAGGATAGTTTGGCCATTAAAATGCTTTTTGATTCGATTTCTAGCGAGAAAGTACAATATACACTTCTCGCTAGAAATCTAATAAAAAAGCATTTTAATGGCCAAACTATTCCACAATTTAGGATTTTCCAGAGAGGGTTATTGTGAATAAACGACCCTCCGGAGCGTTTGCAATCAACGGGAGCATGTTGTTTCTTACATGACCACTAGAGGTGCTACACGTGACTCTGGGTCGTATTAAGCTGCTGAACAATCGACCTATTATGGTCGTTTTTTGTAGGAGGACAGGCTGGTATATAACTGCATTCTGGTTAGACCAGGGGTGGGCAAACTTTTTGGCTCGGGGGCCACTATGAGTTTTAAATTTGACAGACGGGCCGGGCCAGTAGCAGATCGATAAAAAAATATTTAGCTGTCCACTCCTCATTATACACTCGGCACTCAATGTTGACTTTTCTTTTCTTTGGTCCACTCATTGTTACAGATGCGGGTTCAAAGGTGAATTATTGCGTCATTGCGTCATCGTTTGCGTCATGACGTAAACATTTACGTGCCTTCTTATGACCCACACAGCGTTTTACGTCGCTGATTTTCTCCGCAACACCGCTCACAACAACATCAATAGAGGACTGCGTCAGGTAGTTTTTAATCATACGAAGCCAGATTAAATTAAAGAACTACTTCTCCAACCTTGTACCATTCTCCAGAGTGCCGTGGAGCATTGTTTATTAATGCGGTTCAGCTGCATTACTGCCTGCTGCAGTGCTGCTCGTCTACCGGAGTTTATTCTCCCGTTAACTCGCGGCAGCGGCCGCTGTAAAGTATTCACTGTCCGACTGTCACACAAGCAGCTGATAAATATCCCCCATCCCCATCAGTGAATGTGTTTTAGTCTGAACGCTGTTTGGCATCACAACGCTGTTATGAAAGTTTCTCTGGCATTCTACAGGTGATGTTAGCAAAGCAACCGAAGCTAATCAGACTATCTTGACTACTTGTTGCTATCATATTGTGGCACAAGCCGTTTTCTACACGCATATTTTACCGGCGTAGTTTTCGTTATGATTTTACTTGTGATGGCCACATGTAGCCCATGTATTTATTCCATCCGATAGCTGCAATAATATAAAACAAAAGGAAAACGTCTGCCTCTTCACAATGGTCAATAACAGTGAACGGATGGTCATTAAAGTAAGGTCAAATAAACAGAATCACACTAAGCCTGGTTAGTGTTGCCTGACTTTATATAAGTGTTTTTTATAAGTGTGTGGTCGCGTTCTAGTCACTTTGCTCAGCGCTACTGCTTGTTACAACTTGTATTCGCCGTACTCGCCATGAACTGTTATTGCTCAGGTTAATCTCGACCCCCTCCAATGTAAGCGTGACATATTTGGTTCTTGGATCTTGCCGGGTTGCCGAGTGGGGCCAGCTGAGAGAATAGACCAGACTCCAGCAAAGGTAAATTGTGTCTAGAGTGCGCCATCTAGTGGGATCAACTGAAATGCCGGGTATTGCAGGAAAAAGGCAAAATGAATGCGGTCTTTACTATAATTTGGACAATTTTGTACCAATATTCGGCGGGCCGGATTCAAAAGCCCAACGGGCCGTATATGGCCCGCGGGCCTTAGTTTGCCCATGCCTGGGTTAGACCCTCCTAATTTCGTTACACTCTGCTTGCATTATGTAATGACAATAAAGTAATCTAATCTAATCTAAGTGTCCCAGTAAACCATGCCATTAACAGTTCTTATGTCAACATATCATTTTTTATAAATTACCATTAACTTGCAGGTTATTTTCATGTCTCAATCAATGTTTGGTTTGGTGATAGAGGCATTCATGACATCATTTTTTGCATCGTTTTAAGTTGTGTAGCGTATATGACATAGGACATTTTCTCTAAAGGGATTTAAGTTAAATGTGTAATAGCATTGTAGTGTTATCATTTTAAAACAGTGACTATTTATTCTGCGTTGCAGGGTTTTGTGGTGGCACTGCTTTACTGTTTCATGAATGGAGAGGTAAGTGAACAAAGTGATGGTTTTCTGATACACAAGTGCTGCAAACACTTTTCACGGGACACCATTTTTCTTACATCCATACCTTTGTTTGAGTTTGTGTTACTACGTTATCTAACACAGTGTGTTTTCTGATACTGCTACTGGGGCCAAATGTATATTGCACGCATACAAAGACTATTTCTGCCTGAACTCTGCACATATGAATGCAGGTCCAGACAGAGCTGCGGCGATGGCTGAGAAAGTGTCACAATCAAAATCATCTCACCCCAGCCAAGCGGAGTATCACTCAGATCTCAGTTCGAGCCCGCGGGGGGCTTGGGCGGCCTCCTTCCAGCGGGAACATCTCTTCAGTATGATTTCTAAAAGACCATCCATCCATGAGAGACTGGTTGTTGTGATAATGTCAAGAAAACTATCAGAGGCAGTCCTTGCCCTGCTGATGACATTAATTCAACAACACCCGTGACCCATGTGAGAGGAGCGTAATGATCACTAATGAGTGATGGAGGAGATGTTTGGTCGAGATGCATTACTTTGGTGTCACCATGAAAGCACTTTTTGAGCTTAATCACAGTGTATTTGGGGGTTGCAACCAATAAAATAGTAAAGAGTAAAGAGACCCTGGAGCTTGATTTGCAAGGATGACACAGTGACATGTGGAAAGACCATAGAGACAGAGCTGGCCGGGGAACTTGTAGGATGACTTCACATGTTTGTGTTTACAGATTGTAGTAGAGAAGGAGCAAATGTTGAGGGATTATGTAGACAGCTGAGAAAACAATGAATATTTGAATGTGGCTTAATAATGTGAAATGAGCTTGACTTCTCTAGCAGTTTTTATGCTGCACTGTACATGTTATTTTAGTGCAGGCTGAAAGTATGTGCAGTACTGATACGGACCAAATTGCGAATTGATTTTTTGTGCAGAAACTCGCCTGCTGCTAGTGAGAAATATTTCAATCATGAAAATCCTGAGCACCTGTGAAAATGTATTTGAGGCTGTGTGTCTGCTTTTGTATGCGTGTGTTTGGGGGGGTGGGTTTGTGTGTAAAACTGAAAGATTGAGAATGTCATGTATTTAAAGACTTCTTACTCGGAGGAGTTATATGCTTTGGTGAGCCATCTTCGAAACACAGTATTTGTCAATACTTATAAGCTTTTCTTCGTTTGTCATTTTTATTGCTGTTGCTAGATGTGGTCATCTTAATTTTTCGTCACATTTGTTACACTACAGGAAATACCAAAATATTGCCATGGTAAAGTAGCATCATAATGGTACTACTAGAAAAAGTATTTCTATTGACACAGTAAAAGTAAACTGTACAGAAATGTATGTTCAGATAATCTGTGTTGGGTATTTTATTCAATATTGGTGGAGCAAAAGTCAGATTCTTATAATTTTCAATATATGGTTTAATAATTATATAATTAAATCACTGTACTTTTCTCTCAAGCACCCTGACGGTCATTGTCAGTACACAATATATTAACATTTTGCACTTATTTTATATTAAATACATTGTGTTTCCATTGTTGGTCTTGTGGGTTTAGTAAGGGTCAGCCTGTGTAGGGAAAAGCTCAGAAATTAATTAAACGTGTGGTTTGAGAATTACATTGACTGTTTCTTTTTGACTATATTAATTAGTTATACACTTTAAATCAACAAATTGTAAAATGTGTTTTCTGATAGTAGGATTGGGGGTTAAGAAAGTTACTATATACTTTAATTTGGAAATAACTAGGAAAGAGAAGAAGCAAATTGGTCTTTAAAATGCTTCTAGTACAGTAAGAATGATTGCTTTAAAGAAGTACTTAATTAAGCTGGATACAGCTGGAAATATTTTCAAACAACATTATTCCTTTCTATAATAAAAAATAGTGGCGTACGCATTAGGGTGGTCCTTAGTGTCATGTACATTTTCGAATTCATTTATTTTAAGCTCCAACCACCGGAATTTGTTATGATAATCAAGAAAACTCTCCTGGTGAATTTTATTCAAATTCCAACAACATTTACCCCTCCCTCATCAACCTTGACGTTTAGCCTCAGTAGGGTGGTCCTTAAAATTGAAAGTCTGAAAGTCTAAGCTCCAACCGCCAGAATTCATTCTATTAGTCAAGAAGACTCTCCTGGTGAATTCTCAATCTGACAACATTTACCCCTCCCTCATCGACCAGGGCTGCCACACCAGCAGCCGCGGAGGAGAGTTTTTTTGACTAATATAATTAATTCTGGGGGTTGGAGCTTAGACTTTCCGACTTTCAATTTTAAGGACCACCCTAGTACGCATGCATCTACTGCCAAATCAGTACACTTTCCTTTTTACCAGATAGGACAGTTGTGAAAAATGTCCAACAATATCAACGAAATACAACAATTTACCACAGATAGATTTATTTAGCAGTCAAATTTCACAATCTGGGACATGAATGTTGGACACCAGAACGCATGTTACACATGACACACTGTCACAGGTATAACATAATATTGATGAGGGTTTATAGATATTATTTTTTTACATTTAAATTACTTATATCCTCATTAATGCTTGTCATTACATACACATGCGTACAGAATACACTCTCCAACTTTCAAACAAACTCACGCATTCACTCTGAAAACACTTACATAAACATAAACATACAAAAACACGGTCACAAACATTACAGGTCTTCGTCAAGAGATCCACCTGTGTGCCAAAAATATACATATACAGTTGACTGTATATATGATCAAGAAAAGACATCATTTGTACACCATGGCAAATTGATACAGTAGCAGGCTAAGAGCAGCTGAGCAACATTGGTACATTCAAAAATGCATTGGCAATCAATACTCACACACTCAACACTTGATAAAACTGGCTTCAAAACACACAGCGCCAAAAAAGGCTTCTAAACACAGAGAAATGCCACACTGCGAATAGTTTGACATATTAGGAAAAACATTAAATATTCACTTTCTTGCTAAGAGTTAGATCACACCAGAGAAAAACTGTCACTTTGCAAGAAAGTTCCAACAATGTCAGACTAAACTTGCTTTTCTGTGACACAACAGATCAATGTGAAACTGAATGCTAAACCAACTGTAAGAAGATGTGTGTGTAGAGAAAGGTGTGGTCAGATTAAGCCAAAATTACATTTCACAGCCTGACTTTTTATAAAAATCAAAAAGTGCCACAGATTATCACCATTTCATCACATTTTGAAGATTTTAAAATCAAATAATTCACAGTTTATTTTAAAAAGTAAAGAGAGAAGAAATGGCATTTGGGGATTGAGAGTAGGAACATGATATAGATAGAAAACCCTAATTTGTAGGCTTGTTTGTTGATTTGTGTAATACAGACGCAGATGCAAAGAATGATAAACATGTGGCATTTACAGTAAGTGATTCAATGCCACACACTACCTCTATTTAATCCAACAAGTACAAGGATCAAGAAGCAAATCAATGCCAGTCAAACTTCTACATAAAAATAATCAAATTAAAATACTAACACTCTGCTGTCACCTTGTGGTGGACAAATATACAGCACAGACATGGTCAGGTGAGGAGTTTTCCACTCTTCTTTTTCACAGACACTAACAGCTTTGAGACATGGTCGTTTCCATCTGAGTGCATTCACACTCAGAGTGACGGCTGGTGATAGAACACGTAAGCAGCAGCAGAGGGTTTTATCTCACCCTCGTACACGCTTTGTGTTTTATCTGTCGCATTTGTTCCACCTTCTAACACCTCCCTAATTAAAAAAGTATTTTTTTTCCACCTCTGGCTCTCCTTCCCCTTGATAGAATCTCACCTCACACGGCTTTGTCCTAAAGCAGCCAAGCAGATGCACACAACTGATACATCTCTTCAGGAGTGTGGGCGTTTTATCTTTTATTAGAGTTTAAATCTTAGTTTTTTTATCTCTCACAATATCCTCTGCGGCTTTGGACATCAACATCCCGTGAGTGTTTTCGTTGTTTTGATTTTAAAATTAGAAGTGAGACATCACATCCCACCGGTTATGGCACTACATTTATGGCACTTTGACCAAGAGAGTCAATATCAATCAATTTAAATGAAATCATATATCATGAATGACACATACTGTAAGAAAGCATGTATACTGTACATTGAGTTATTTCACATGGCACTGGTTCATGGAAAATAAATATACATCCTTTTCTGATCGACAATATTCATAATTGTAATCTACATTCTTTTAATCCACTCAAATGACAATACAAAAAAATAAGTATCTGGAGTAAATACTGTGGATAAATCCTTCTGTACACACCGTTTCACATTTTATCTTATTGAATTATTCCCCCAGCCGGACAGTTATTGTTTGTTTAGCTTAGTTTTCTGCGCAAATCAAAAAGACAGGAAGAGGAAAATGGGTAACACTCAGGCGATTGTCAGGAGCTGTCACATTAAAGCCTTTTGTTTCGACTGTTACAACATGAAGTGTTTTTTCAAGCTGTTTGTGCATCTGATGTGGTGCTGAACTGAAACGGACTCAAACGGATGATGGTTGTAACGAAGAGGCTAAATAAAGCATCAGTGCAAGTCTCAAACACATTATATTTAAAAAGAAAAAATACACAACAGGACTCTTTTCGCTTGAAGCATTGCTCCAATAAATAAGCTAGCACACAATAGAAACACACCTTCTGTACATTCTTTGCAGGGAATAAGTTTCTTCTGTTTATTGTGATGAAACTCAAATTGATAGCTATTTGTGACTAGGCACTTTGGAATATGAGTTTAGGAGATGATTCATTCAAAAACATTTTTTAAATAAAGAGCAATTTATTATGGCACGATGGGTTGGAGCTTAGAGAACAATTAGCACATAGAGTCCAGAGCATGATGACTCTTGATGCCTATAATAATAAAATGCTGCATGTATAAACGCATGGCACTGTGAGGATCTTTATGTGAAACCATCCATTAAATGGCACTGTTTATGTTCACAGTCTGCAAGACCAGAAAAAGTCTGTGACTTAAAGGGGACCTATCATGCAAAATGCACTTTTGTACGTCTTTTAGACATGAATATGTGTCCCCGGTGTTCCAGGGAACTCACCAAGTGTCAGAAAACACAACCCTCTCTATTTTCCTCCATACCCAAATCTCTAAAAAAGGGGCTGCAACGGATCTGATAAAAACTGATCCAGATTTGAACACTGTCCTGACGTCAGGACGGTGGCGCTATTGGGCCAACTCCACCAATCAGGAGGAGACAGCCACGGCCATTGCCGTTCGAAAGCGCTGGAGACGCTGTAGTACATATGCCAGGCCAGTAGATGGTGCTGTTCTCACTGAATCTGCCCTTGCAGAGCAGAGCTAAAAAAAAGTGCAAATTGAGCGAAATGAGGCATGGCTAAAATGCATGATCTGTTTGGTATTTTGAAAAGAAAAAAGTATAAATATGCCTTATATAGGTATGGTCCTACACTATATTATTCAAATATAGCATGATAGGTCCACTTTAAATTAACGGAAGCAAACTACTAGCACTAGCTGTGAGGATAAATCAGTTTAGAGTGAAGATTGTAAGGTTTAAAACCATGTTATTCCCTTTCGTCCTGTGCATCCTCTACAGCCGTGGTTACCAGCTATTTGTGTCTTGTAACTAAAATAAAACACCTCGTCAGAAGTTGTGAGCACTTCAAACAAAGCCGGATTTTACCTGCTCAGATTGTGTAATACGAAGCTTGAAGACATACAAGTATGTAGTATTTTACCAGAAAAAGAGGCCAATTATAAATAAACATAATTAAATAGCAAAATAACTTATTTTCTTACTTGTATCTGACACAACAGCTCAAATTAATCTTATACTGTAAAACCTCAGGTTGGGATCTACTGCTCTACAGTTATCATTCATTTTGGCACGTGTGTTCTTCTATAAATAGAATACTGTCTGTGTTTTTATTTATTACAAACAAATAGTTCAGAGCATAGTAGGCAGGATCTTCTGGGTCATCAGGATATGTGATGAAGTCTACAGATTTGGGCTCCAGTTCCTTTTGTTTGAAAAGGTCATTACAATACTGCGCAATGCGAAAAAAAGAAAAAAGAAACCTCTGATCTCGACACTAAAAGTAACTATTTACAAAGTCCATGAGTTCTTTTTTTTTCTCTTCCTAAAATATCTTTTGACATACTCTGTACTTACGGCTGATTGTAGAAAATGTTTTACATTTATGATGAAACATTTAAACAATGAGCATTTTTTACAAGCAAGGCGAACGTTTGGTTGGTATTTCATTTTGGACATTTACGAGATCGATCCAGTCCGGCAACCTGTTTGATGCACTTTACTTTACTTTAAAACAGCCAATTATGACCCCTTCATTTCATAATTAAACTACAGTTTTTCTCAATAGCTATGACTGTTTTTTGGCACCAACTCTACATTAATATTATCTATAAATAAATCAAGAACAGGGGCTAAAATTCCAGGATTTCCAATATCTCTGAGTGGAATTTAACACTTAAAATAAGTGCATCATTAATACGTTTTCAGAGTCTACTAAAGTATTCAAATAGTTCAATAATATTTTATAGTCAAATGAAATGATAGTCAGCTATGCTCCTCTAATGAATCTCCAGTAAATACTTTCAGAAATACCTCATTTTCGAAAGGCCAAACTACAAAATGTGAGAGGTCTGAGGGGCCGCTTTGGTCTGCTCTGGTTGGTCAGGATGCGAGTGGGACGGCACCTTGACGTTGACTCCGGCCCATCAGACGCTCAGGTCGGGAGGCTGATGTTGGCGTTCTCCGCCAGCGGGGAGGACATGCGGATCTGGGAGCTGCTCTTGCTGAGGATGGACAGCTGAGTCCCGCCGTTCACCCCACTGCTGGCCAACGAAGGGTGCCTTTGCTGCTTCAGGTCCACAGCAAAGTACCGGTTCACCGTCCAGCTGCGCCATTTCCTCTTGATCTCCGACTGCACCTTCAGGGAGAAACTTCACAAGGTCATTTTTTAATGTACTTTAAGCTGCACCAGCTCCAACCGAAAGGTACAGCACACTTAAGTTGTGTTTGTGGAGCGTCTTTGTAAACAATAAGTGAAGGAGGACTGACCATATCATCTAGCTAAACTTGAATCTAGTGGCTGGAATAACATAATATCATCTTTTTACATTAGAGGTCAAAACACACACAGCATTTAATTTGAATACTCATTTGGCAAAAAACTCAAAATGTATTTGTGTTCATATATGACTATATATACACACACACACACACACACACACACACACACACACACACACACACACACACACACACACACACACACACACACACACACACACACACACACACACACACACACACACACACACACACACACACACACACACACACACACACACACACACACACACAGTTTATACATTATAAATGTTGTTCACAGTAAGTCAAGTGATACGGTTTTATCCGAAAATATGCTCATATGCATCAACAATAGCATTTAGAGCATTTCAGGTATCAATAGGTGTCAGAAAGACAAGTTGTCAGGGACGACTCATGCAGGGGCTTACCTCTCCGTTAAGGAAACAATAGAGGACCGCTACAACAAAGCCCTGAGGAGAAAAGAGACAAAACATAAGAGAAAAGTTGTGGTTTGGATTGAAATATGCCTTAAAAATTAAATGCATCCTTATCAGTAAAGGCGAAGGAAAGTGTGTGCTGACAGCTCTGAAGAAGTATCTGCTTTCTATCGTCAGCCTCCAGGGATTGTAATGGATCATCTGTAAACCGAACTTCATGTTTACCGCTTTATCATTTTATATAACAGAATAGGAGCTTCTGTTTAGGAAAACGATTTGATTTCCCTCTAAACATATATTTGCCATTGTTTATAGTTGCTAAAGGTTTGAGACCCAATACTTTATCTATAACAATTGGCAGACATATAGAGTCTTGGCAAGGCTCACGCTGGTAAATGTATGTATTATTTTTTAGAAGTGTCTTTTGGCAGCTTTTTAATGCTTAGTCTGAAGTTTAGATGGATGGTATGTTTAACGCCATGAGTGCCTCAAATAGAACCAAACGTACACAACCGGTTTTTGTGGCTGTCACTTTAAGATTAAGATGTTTATTGATGAATCTTCTGATTATTTCATCAATGTATCATTGTGCCTATAACATGTATGAAAAAGTTCTGCCTGTTTTGTCCGTTGTGTCTAACCATCAGTCCAACAGCAAGACATTCAATTCTCTTTCTAATAAGACAAAAAGTTGTTACTTTAAATGTATGTTCTTTGTTTCTTCCTGGGACAAGACACTGTCTCCCTTATTTGAAAGCTATTCTATAATTGTGAATCCAGTTTTCTTAATGCAATACTAATTCATTTTTACAGTACCTTTGTTTGAACTCTTAATGGCATCCTCTTCTTCTCACATCTATGAATCACTTCTACTGAAGTTGTTATTCATAGTTTCACAAGCTTTTCCAGGAAAACCTTGAAAGGCTGCATGCTGTCTTCAAGTTTAAGCTCATTGCAGTGTTTGAATATCACTATCTCTCTTCGAAAGAGCCTCTTTTAATGATGTAAACATTATGTTCTCTCATTCATCATGTGGTGTTCCTGTTGTACCTGGAAGGATCCCAGTCCCAGTTCAAAGACCAGTCTCTCCCTCTTGCTGACATCCTCAGGTGAGAAGGCGAACACAGTGTAGTGAATACCAAAGAGGGGGATGAGCAGGAGGGTGGAGCGCGCCAGACGCCTACACACACACACACACACACACACACACACACACACACACACACACACACACACACACACACACACACACACACACACACACACACACACACACACACACACGCACACGCACACGCACACACACACACAGGTTTAATAAGATTGAGCAGAAGGTCAAGCACAAATCAAAGTCATGTGTGATTGATGTTGGTCAGCAGGATGTGATGTAAGAGAGCAGAGCCCCTGATGCAATGTGATGGCACACATCCTCTGAATACTGGAGGATCCATGTATCATGACTGCAGAATCAGTCACACGATTATTTCTGTGTTGATAATTAACAATAAGGTGTCAACAAGTCCCATCACAAGACCAAAAACACAAAATGATTGAACCCAACAAGTATTGCGTGTGGCCAAAGACATATTTTCTATTCTGCTTCGCAACAGACCTCCACTGTTGTCGGAAAACAAGGCGCTGATGTTTTTAAACAGTGTAACACAGGCTGATATTACTTGATAATTGGTACACTATGAACTAGGGGTCACTGTTTTGTTTTTTTAAATAAATACTGCACACACCGTCTCTGTGACACAAACGCTCCCTTAAGCTAAAGGATTTACTGCTGTTTGTTGACGGTGCAAAGCTTTTTTAGAAGATGATAGCTGTTTTTAAAATGTACCTTTTCTACATTTCCAGTAAGAGCGATTACACAAGGGATTTGTTAGGGAACTGAGAAAGTATTGAGTAATGGTTGTACTCGGTTGATTTGAGTCTTTCATGGGATATGTTGACAATCAGAAAATACAGAATAACACAAGCTGTATCCCTATCAATTAAACATGAGGTAGGATTTGGTGTACTTACCCACTCTCAAATACAACACTGTTGACATTTACAATCTATCCCTGCAATCATAACAAGTATTGCTGTGTCCTTATATCATCTGGGTGCACATCATGCAGTGAAACATAGTGTCTGACAAACACACAACAAATGGAAAACACAGAAACATACAGTGGTTTTACAGTGCAGTCAAGTCAGCTTAAGGAGAACAACTAACCATCATATGCTGGACAAAACTAGTGGTTTGAGTTTTAGTGAGGACATAGTATTACAAAAAAATATAATAATAATAATAATGAATAGGGAATTAATTGTAATAACTCAAATGTATTAATTGAAATGAACCATAAAACATTTATTATACAGCACATGTCATACAAACAAATTAAAAGTGAACGAATAGCAAGAACCTCTGGCATACCACACAAAGTCACATATATACACATGCAGTTGACACAAGACACATAAACAATCACGTGTGGACGAACAAACACACACATAAACACATACCACACACACACAGACACACTTACAGTGTGATGGTGGATAACTCTGACATCCTGCACGAATGCTGAACAGCCTGTGTGGGCTCACTGAAGCATTTCTGAGCACAGCTGCTACACAGCACAAAGACAACACAACAAAACAACAAAGACAGTGTCTTTAGGGACACAAACACAAAGCCTCACACAACACACACACACACACACACACACACACACACACACACACACACACACACACACACACACACACACACACACACACACACACACACACACACACACACGCACACACACACACACACACACACACACACACACACACACAGGCAAACACGCACAAGTATTCACACTTGGTCACGCACGCACAGGTCTGAGCAACAGATGAGCATGACATTATCTGCAGAGCCTCAGAAGACGGCGTCCTGTGGGAGGAGGGATGTCTGGCTACAGTACAACTCCATAATGAGGCTTCAGCTTCCTGACAACAGGTACTACTCATACATATGTATTTAAAGTATCTGAGAGGACACATCATAGGTTTAAAGATAAGCATCTGAATGTTACAGTATGGCTACAAAAGAAACCATTTAAAAATGCATGGCTCCTGTATTAAAGTATAGATAGTGTGTTTAAAGGGACAATGCCCACTGATCTACAGGTATTTTAGGCCAAAATGTACCCAATTATGAGTAAATGCTTCTAGCTGTCTCTCAATCAAAACAATAACAAAAGACTGAGTTTTGTGTCGTAGAAGCGTGAGGTCATGACAGTAATGTCTTCCTTACTATTGCAGACTCTAAAATTCTCTTGTGATACATTGACACATTTAAGAAATTAAATATTGACTGGCTCATCCTTTGAACTAAGGGTAATCATGTTTATTTAGGCTTTAGAGTAGTTTATAAGCAAATCATAAGCATACACTGATCTTAAAATCACATCACTTCACTTCACTTCATATAAAACCGTTTTTTCCTTCAACATACAACACTGGAGTTTCTGAAGTTGCTGGCTACTTACAGGTAAATGCTCGATTCGTTCCCTCCGATGTCCGGGGACTGCAGCTTCTGCACCAGGATGATGATTATTCCAACGAAGAGGACAAAGTTTATCTGAGAAAACAAATAACACAAATACCATAAATCTGGCAGGAGTTTTTATACATTACGTCCCAGTTAGAATAGCAATGATTGCGAGCATTTCTAAAAAATAATAGATAAGAAATGTCATACTGTCTGTGCATGATAGCTTTTATCTTTGCTTATGTATGTGCTTTTGTGTCCGTTGCATGTAAATGGGTTTTTATGCTCATGTGTTTTTTACTGTGCTTATGTGCTCATGTATGTTTTCTTAATGCCATCAACCTGCCAGGGACTACAGATGAAAATAAGCTTCTATGGTTAAATCTGGCACATTTACATGATGGACTCAAGTGTTCATGTTATCTAATGTGAATTGTCTCTTAAAGATGGGGTATGTAATTCACTTCAGAAACACTTTTTGTTATATTCCATGGAATGCTCTTAACATCCCGATAGCAATGAATATATGAAATACTTTGACAATAAATACATAAAATAAATCTGTGGAAGCCGTAGCGTTGTAAAAAGCACGACCAATTATTTTTAGCTGGCCCGGCTAAAATAACTGGATGGCCTACCTGCCTGTCAGCCTTCCATCTGTGCACAAACTTATCTCGTGCCCTCATTGGTCATGTGCGCGTTCGTGTGTGTTGGAGGAGGGGCTCTGTAAGGAAGTCTGAAGGAAGGGGCAGATTTTTTCCGGTTGTGTACTTTCAAATTCTAGCGCACTCGAGCTGGTTTCTCCGTTCTTACCTACCCTACCTTTAATGTGAATTGTCCAACTCACCATAATGGAGGCCACTACAGGTCCCTTGATCACCCACCAGAGGGCAGTGTTCTCATTCGTATCCCAGCATCTGGAGGAGGAGAACAGTGCGTTTCAAAAATCACTGAACATTTTATCTCAATACTTAATAATAAAATACTTAAACTTAAAATAATAAGCATCATACAATACGTCAAGCATGAAGTGGCCATTTGCAGAATCAGGAGGCTTGAAGGGGAGGGTGAGAGGCTAGTGGAGGGTTTAAAATGGAAGCAGGCCTAAAGCTGTGTTTTCACCTTAGAAAATCATGTAAAATCATTTTCTAAAGTCATATTGTATCATTCTGTGCACAAGAAATTATAAAGAATTTATGAGCTACTAAAAGCTTGTCAAACAGCGACTGGAAGCCTCTAAAATGTTGAATATGCATCGCAAGACATTGGTTTTTTAGTTACTTAATCCCATGATCAGTTCCTAAGAATATGATTGCATTTATTCATTGATTTAAAGGGAGGTATTACCCTATCCATACCAATGAATTCCTCCTTATTCATAATTTTCCAAAGGTGAAGAATAAATACATTTGGAGGGTTAAACAAAATTGATACTTCTGGGTCTCAGCAACCCGAAAGGCATCTGTGTCTTTGCTCTGATTCAATATATTGTCTAGTGCCTTATGAACATAGCCAATAGTGGAACAACTCTGACGGTATATCTAATATTGTCAGAGGAGATTTACCCAGTGTCATGAAAGTGGAGCCTCAGAACCGCCCATACAGTGACGCAGATGGTGGGAGTCCCTGTAAAACAATCATACATTAGAACAACAGATTATGTTTCGTATTATTCTACTGCATTTATGTTTGTTAAGATCAGATAAAAGATCACAACAACTACAAGTCTTTTTTACAATAAAAGTTGAGGAAGAATGCTAAAATGTGTTTTTTAGACTACAGGTTAGCCCATATCTCAGAGGTTTGGGCAAATATAAGCTCTTTCAGCTGTTTAATCTAATTTTAACAAGACCAACGGTAATGACGATGAGAAACCAGAATGTGTCTTATTAAATAAAAAGAACAATATGGTAATGTCACAGAGTTATTACCCTAAACATAACACATGAGAATACAAATCAACAAAGCACATTTTCTTTTACAAGTTACAAATTGTTGCATAAATAGTTGAATTTACAGTGTGAACAGAGAGAGGAGTTGCTGCTCTCCACCATAAATAATAATATCTACACTCACCCCAGCCTACGATGGTGTACCAGTAGAAGTAGCGCCTCTCAGGGAAGAAAGTCTCCACCAGCAGAGTGAAGAGATACAGCCCCTCGATGAACAGCCAGAAATAGTTGGACATGACACAGTAATGGAAGAAAATCATCACTGCTTTACACGCCACCTGCACGGGAAAAAACACAAGGTGAGGTGCGTTAGTGCAGCAATATAATAAATAGGTATATAAAATATTCAATGCGCCAACAGCTATTTCAATCCACAACCGAAAAGGAAATCCAGATATACAACGACCCAAGTCTCTGCTGCTGCCATCAAAGTGCCGAATGAAAATCCCAATGGCCTTGAACAACGATTACAGGAAATCCTTTATTCCATCTGCTCTGACTATTCTCAATAAGAGAATTCAAATAGGTCCCTTGCAAATGGCCCCTATGTCTTATTTCTATGTGCATGTATTGTTAAATCCTGCTGAGTATCATGCACTGCTGTTTGGATTTGATGAACTTACATGGCAGTGGAAGAACAACCTACTCGTCATATTTGGTGACTTATAAGATTTATAAATGTTGTCTATTGTGTGCTGTCTCATATGCAAATGAACAATAAAGTAATCTGAATATGAACCATTTGTTAGACCTTCACCATTTGAGGTACATTTGAATATGTTCCTGACAAGTAGGTGGTTGTTAAAAAACATCTTGTTGCAGATTCAAACGTTAAACCCATGTTTAATGATCAGCCTTTCCTTTCAGAGCTTAAGACAATAAATGTCAGAGTGACAAACATTTTTATTCCTTGTAAATCACGATGTACACAGAGATCGTTGTCACTAGAGGGTGGGGGTTGCTACACACTCAACAATGCAATTACCATCAAATGGAGCGTCTAGAAACTGTGTGTGGACTGAACATGTTTTCACAGTGGAGGACCCACCTACATGTCAGGTGCCCTGTAATCTAATGACACCATGTTAATGAGGGGGTGCATATTCTGAGTGGGGTCAACCAATTACAGCGCGGTGCCACGATGCTGACCTGTGATCGCCATAGTGACGGTTGAAAAAGAGGGCAAAGTAACCATTGATATGTTAATGAGCGTGGAGTAGAAGATTTCCACTGGCCTTGCTGAAGCCATTAGCGTACCTAATTAGGTTTATTTTTCATGCTTAACAACACTGTGCCGTGTGTGGTTACCAGACAAAGGCTAAGAGCTTGTTCTGCATTTGTAATCAGGGAGTATTAGTCATCTAATAGTGTGTTTGCTTTTTTGTAAAACATTTGCATATGATTGAAGTTTCTTCAAAGGTGCGTATCAAAAAGGAAAGACTGAAGGAGAGGTGTTTCAAGCCCTCTGTCTACAAATCCCCCGTATAATATCTCAAACAGAAAAACAGGCCTGATCATATTCTACACGCTTGCTTTCCTTTATAAAATGAGTGGCTGCACTTTGATGAAATCCTTTAATTAGGTTCTCTGGAACAGATTACCCAAAAATCTTGAAAACACTTTGCTTAAGCCAAAACAAACTCCAAACATGAGCGGAGATCATTAAGAATTATAAAGCCCTCATTTCGTAATGATCTGCTCCAAATTTAAATTAATGAACTAATCATCAAAATATTGATTTTCATTAATAACCAAACAAGCCTTGATGTTTGTTTTTCCTTCCTGTTGGAGAGTAATTGGTCAGTGTATTTGGCCGTCTCGATGACCACACAGTATAAGAAGTGTTACTGACTGTCTGAATGAAGCAGTGGTCGCTGTCGTCCTGAGCGTACAGCACACCGTCTTTGATGAAGACTGAGATGGCTCTCAGGATGAAGGACATAAAGAGGTTCATGTGAATGAAGTTCCTGGTGCAGTGGAGCTTCCTGAAGACCAGAGAGAGAACATGTATCAAATATGTTCTTGTTTTCACTCTTCATCATCTTAGCAAAGTCATTATTGCATCTGTTTTTTTCATATTTAAAATATGTTTATTTTGTGTGGCTGCTTTTGCTAAATGTTCCAGTAGTAATTAAGTCAATTTGCTTGAGCTACATCATACACCGTCATAAATCATGTTTAATTGTTCATGTGTAAACAACAATAGCTTAGCAGAGGAATTGCATCGGATATTGTGAGTATATATCCACAGACTTTCAACAGTCAACAAACATCTGGATGTATAGACAGAAAGGCTGCGACTCATTTATCAATTATATTTGATCATCGAATCGATTGTTTGTCTGTGTACAATAATACAATATACTGTGTAAATAAATGTAAATATTATAATGCTATAAGTGATGGTGTAAAATGTCTTTGTGCAAAAAACTGCAAAACTGAAAGATATTTAATATATTAAGTTTTTAAGCATTTAATCACAATTTTTCTTTGATACATGTGCACTGACTAAAATGTAAACCGAAAAGCATTTATTTCGTGAATTGGTTAACTCCTTATGTCATTGTACCGTTTTCCCATTAGAGCTTATTTTAAATGAGTTTTTATATGATTTAAATGGTCAAAGAAACACAATTCATCTGTTTTATATGCATTGTAGATTTGAGGAATCTGACGTTGTGCCGCTCACCTGAATCTGCAGAGGATGACCATGGCTGTGGTCAGAGACACCAGCGAGGTGCTGTATCCGACCGTGTACAGGGCCTTCACCGAGGCGTAGTACAGGTCCTGATGATGGAGACAGGAGGTTAGTCATGTGTGCTCATGATAAAGTCAAACATAATTCAGATGAGGTTAACAAGGTCGTACGGGTTTAGTGGCGTTTTCAAAGAAATAGCAGACTTCCACATAGTGAGGGTAAGGTTCAGACCAGCCTTCCTCGGTGCAGTTACGACTGATCCTCCCCATCTCTGAAAATAAAAACACACGTAAAGTGGATTTGTTTTCAAATACAAATGAGCTCAAACTAAGAAACACATTTGATCTCCCTCCTTTTCTCACCCTCTTCGGGGTCCATGAAGTCGTGGAAGAGCTCCGGACAGTTGACCACGATGACCTCGCCCACGTTGGCCGACTGCCAGCACGTCAGGTTGTCCCACATCCACGGGCACACTGTGGAGACAAGAACAAAACACACACACACACACACACTGTCAGCATCATTCTGCTGTTATACAACTGATGACATAATACTGACACTTACTATGATCTGAATTAATTTGAATGAAAGATAATTGAAACGGAGGCTGATAGGGATTTAATTTCCAGAGATATGGAGCATTTTCACGACACCCACATGGACAGGACTATTGCTAACATGGAGGCAGCTTTCATATCATATTACCTCTCTTGATTTAATAAGATATGACTGCCTGTGGTGTAGCCATGAGAAACAAAACCCACGTAGGAAAAACTAATTTGGTTATAATTGCAGATTCAGATGATACATATTTTTTTTTAAAGATGACGTCATGATGGGCTCCAACATGAAGTCTCTCCTAAAAAATAAATAAAACTGAACATATAGTTTTAGCTTCATCTTCTGTTGTTGATTGAACCGGATTCATAGACGAACACATCGACTGAAACATTAGAATACATTCCTGTGCTTCACACACAAACACACACTTGTTATACACTACAACTATCAATGATCAGCTCCCTCTCCCGTAGTACTGGAGATGCTGTTATTGTTTTTAACAGACTATTTCACCTCGTCATTGCTAATGAAACTTCACCACTAACACAGCTTCCTGCAGAATACCACCTCGAGCTCGAGATGTAATGCAGGGAGAGGAGTGAGTGTTAATGCAAGCGGTGGAACCAAAAGTCAACAGGAATTAGCTTTGCAAAGATATTGGCTCACTTGAGCTCTAATTGTAGATTATAACACAGATAGAATAAACTGGCAACTAAAGGTATATAATCAAAAGTACTCGTATGTACAGATGCATTGCAGATCACAGCAATACATCCAACATTCTATATTTGTTTGTCCAAACTGAGATAAAGACTCCACTCAATTTGCATCCCAAACAGGCTAAAACGAAAGTCTACTTAAAACATGTTTTGGTCTCCTTCTATTGACAAGCCTAGATTATTACCTGACTCATGCTAAAATATTATTCCTTTAGTACTGCCCTTTCACAGCTGTGATTATTCCGTCTATCTTCCTTCTATTCTGCTTCGATGGTGCTCTTTATCTCCAGCCTCCCCATCCTTCCCCTTTCTCTTTCTGCAGGTTTACCACATTGTTTATGCCCGGGTGGTTTCATAGTGCTGCAGAGGCAGGTACGAATCTGATTTGATGCGCTTTCACACTCATGCATTTTGAGGGTGTTGTTGTTCGTTGCTGCACCTGTGTGTTCGTGCATGTGTTCCTGGACATGCATATGTGTGTGTGTGTGTGTGTGTGTGTGTGTGTGTGTGTGTGTGTGTGTGTGTGTGTGTGTGTGTGTGTGTGTGTGTGTGTGTGTGTGTGTGTGTGTGTGTGTGTGTGTGTGTGTGTGTTTGCAGACCTTTCTCTATATGCTGCTTGGCTCTGTAATCTGTTCTGGTTCTGTCTGGTGAGCTGGACACGAAGCCAATTACCTTTCAAAGGGCATATCGGAGCCAAATGAGCCGCACTGAGCCACAGACGTAACCGGCTTAATAAAGCACTCTGTCTGCATAGTACGCTGAAGCTTCACTGGGCTGCTATGATACAGCATGGTACCCTCACACAGACTGCACATGCATAGTGTCGAGTATGTGAACACGCACGCACGCACGCACGCACACACGCACGCACGCACTCATTTTTTTTCTCATTAAAGCTGATCTTATCAGCCGACTGAGCAAGATTTGTTTTTATATTCTGAGTCATGAGCTGCAACAGTAGCAGAATACAGATCAGGGCTTATTTCTCCCCATTCATTTATATTCTTTAATACTGGCGTAAGAGGAAAAACATGTCGTGGAGCTCAAGCTGAATATGCCTGTCGATGCGATACATTTGCTTTGTGAGAATCTTATAAATGGCAAACAGAAAACTAAAGTCATTGATTCAATTGACTCAATGACTTTAGTTTGTATTCTCATTTTCAGGTTCATATTTGTATTTTGTGCTTCTCCTGTGACATGTTTACATGCTTTAATGTTCAAAAAGGTCTTTATTTTTCTCATACTGCCTGTGCTGCAGCACCTCTTTTCACCCTCTGTCTGAAACCAGAGCCCAGTCTGCTCTGATTGGTTAGCTGGTCGGCTCTGTTGTGGTTGGTCAACTGTTTAGAGATGTCCCGCCCCATCACGTACAATGTGTTGGAGCGCTATCCAATAGAAGCGCAAGTGTTATGTAGTGATGTCACTATGTGACAGAAGTACACAAAGGTGGGAGAGAAACTCCCTCTGGGGGGAACTTTTGCGGACCATTTAAATGCACAAAAGAAACCGACTGACTTTTTGGGGTTTTCCTTTATGGACTTTTACTGTATAAGTCAGTAAAAGTCAGTCATTTTCTAAGGGCGATGTTTTGCACTCATATGATTTGAATGGAGGAATATTCTTGAAATATAACTCTGCCAGAAAATGCTTTGCCAGTGCTGACAAAACAAGCTGCTAAATGTCAGTAGAGCTGCAACTATTCTCAATTTTTGTGTACGTTTATTTAAGTGCAATGTTCTGTATTGTGACAGTTATGTTTCGGTGTCAAAATAACTGTTGACTGAAGAAGCTTTACTTTAAAATCCACTATTCTATTTGCACTAAATTCTAAACGTTCTAAATGTATCTGTATGAAGATAACTGCCAGACAGACACAAATAATTATTTATCAATTTCGCACAGTGTGTAGACTATTGAGTACCTAAATTACAGAGAAAGTAACAAATAAATCATTAAATATGCTTTTAGAAGTGTTTTTTCTTTTATGAAAAATAAATCGTCTAGAAGGCTAAAAAAAGAGCACCACTTATCTCCTTTTTCTTTCTCTTATTTATTCCTTCCCTGTTCTCATTTTTCCCTATTTTACTTTTTCTCAAGCCCCAAGTCAGATTTCTGCAAACCAGGCGTTTTCATTTCCTCAGCAACGATTTGCTGTCAGCAGAAACACAGAACGGTTCCTTTTAAAGGGACGAGAGGAAACGAAAATAAGTAAAAGTGACGAGGCAGGCATATAGGCTCTGAGAGGCGATAGCTCAATACAAAAATAAGTTTCAGCAATTGCGTTAGAATAAGGAAATAGATTGCTTCATGGTAAGCATAAATGTAGGGGTGAACTGAAAACATTTATAAATGAAACCTGTGATGTCACCTTCCTTAGGGCATGAAAAACTCTAGGAGAGATTTCAAAATAAGAGTTATAATTGAAAGAGCAGCACACAGGAAGCTTGCAGGCTGACCTTTAAGATCTATTGATGAACCAACAGCTTCCGTCTTATTCTAACTTGTTATCTTTCACTTCAAATCTTTCATGCTTCATGTTTATTTCCAGAACCCCCGTGGTTGCCATTGAAGCCGTGAGTCACAGTGCAGTCTGGGAGATGCAGTCTGTTGGGCAACTTTTGAGCAGCGGGAGGCCTGCAGCTCGTTGCTAATGAAAATCACAATCCATGCCCAAGAAAATAATTGCTTCCAGGAATCACACATCCTGTGTTTTTGGGAAAAGGGACGTGAGATATGTGAAAGCAGCTCAGCGTGACATTACAGGCAGACATTTGGTTTGTGAATCATATATCACCGGATGGTTGCCTGTCCTGTTCAGCAGCGTGTCAAGGTGATGTATTTGTAATTCGAACATGATAGAAAACAGCACGCGTGTTTCATTCCTCTGAGCTTTCTAAAAATGTTTGGATAAACAGAAAACCAGATCATTGAGTATAAAAAAAAACAAAGCCTGTTTTTTTTTGTTCCCGGAAAGTTACATTTTTAGGAGAAGCATATCTGTGTTTAATGAGATGTACAGTAAGTGTCTTCACGGCTCATTATGCAAACAGAAGAATGCAAGAACAGACACACACATTGATACCTTCAGACACATCCTCACTTACCTAATTCAAGGTCATCGTTGGGGTCGTGTGTCATGATATTCTCCATGCATTTCTCATGTTCACGCTTGATTAGACAGTGCCCGGACTCTGAGGCCACCTGGAGAGAATAAACAGAAAACACATACAGGGTCACAATAAATATCAACTATGCTGAGAGACTGCTACAATAAGGTCTTAAATGCCCTGAAAAAACAACCTCTTGCTCTAGCCCGGATATACATCTTACAGTAAACACAGTAATGTCTACTAAAGTTAAAATGAATACTTTTTATGTGATAAATGTGAAAAATGTGACTAAATTATGTATGTTTTATCGCTTTTATCCAACATTTTAAAGTGGGCAGATCTTATAATATTGTACGATTTAAAAACCCGACTTATTCTGTGTCCCTGCATGAACTGTTTTAATATCTGTCGGGATGCATGTCTAATACTTGTCGAAGCAGGTATCCTGTTGAACACTCTAGTTTTGATGACTCTTGCTAGTGGGTGATGTAGCTAGCAGTGTTTGATTTTAAGTTCACAATATCTTTAAAAAAACCTTTTAATTTGAACTGTCTGGTTCTTTTTCTATCCAAATGAAACCAAATGGAGGTTCATGGAGTTCTACGTGGAGGTTCCAATTTTTTGCTTTCCAAGAATCTGCTTATTCATGTCCATTTTTGTGCAATGACATGAAACCTCTGAGCAATTACATCCAATTCCTCCTAAACATACTTCCCAGATTCTCATTCTGCTCCACTTGATAAAACATTCGCATAACTGAAGTTTAGGAAAGCCATTTTCCCAGAGGTTGTCGAGGAACTGCATGTCTATCAACTCCTCTATAACTCTCCCTCTAGCACTCTTAAGGCCAATCTCTGTTTTGCACCCTTAGTTTTCATGCACTGCCTCTCCTTCACGCTCACAGTGAACTGATAGGTGTAATATGTCCCGGCGCTCTGAGCCGTGGCTGACTCATCACTCTCTCTCTGCGCTCCAATATGAATTCACTCCAGGCCTCGCTGCCTTGATAAGATAGGGCATCAACCGACTGTGAAGATGTCCTAGGATTCACTTCCTTTCTTTTTCTTTTTTAAAAGCGCAGCACATTTTAAACGCTGCATGAATTATGCGAAACATCATCAGAGACATCTTTTATCTTGTTTTGTCTTGTATGCGATTTCATTTCCAGACAACCCTTATCAAGCAGTGGAAACTACACGGAGACCATGCTGGCACAACAAAAACAAAAACGATATTAAGGAACTCTCTTTTATGTTGTCAGGAGTGTTTGATATTATTTAATGAAACGGATACTGGCATTGCTTGAGAGAACAATCTCTTTGTACCCGCAGCAAGCATCCATGTTGCTAAGCAGCAGGTAGCCAGCTTGGAGCCAATACATATTGTATGCAAGGATTCCTAGAAATGAAATATAATTGCATGCAGATTACTAATATCTGTTTGGCATGACTGCAGCAGGCCTGTTAGATGACATGTGTTATACATCAATATACTGTATGATGTCATATCCTGGAGAGCAGGTTATGTGTTATTCAGTTTACAAGCGTTTTTTTTCTTTTTAGCTGCAATTAAAATGTGTATAGAATGTAGTTATTCAATGTAAATTCAATGCACATTTGCAAAGACACCGACTATGCCTTAATCTACCACACACACACACACACACACACACACACACACACACACACACACACGCACACACACACACACACACACACACACACACACACACACACACACACACACACACACACACACACACACACACACACACACACACACACACACATCACTGAAGATTGAGCTGCTGCTGACGCCTGCGGTTTTAGGATGGGGTTATGGGCCGGACCATTGATGGCTGCCCCCAGAGCAACTGCTAGGCAACCCACTGAGACTAGGAAGAATAATCATGGACACAACCCCCCCCCCCCTTACGCAGCCAAATGCTATTTTGAACTTTTTGAACAGGACATCACTTTTTAATTAGAGAGCTTTACAGCAGCTGGGAGTTAGATTTTGTTACCCTTAGATCCAGGAAAGCTTTTCCATCCTTTATCATCTTTATGCTAAGCAAGGCTAATTGCCTCCTGGCTGTAGCTTCATATTCAACAGACAGACAAATGAATAGGTGTCTTTTTTCTGTTGTTTTTAACAGTGCAATCTTTAGGAAACCACTAGCTCAAAACAAGCTTTTGAGAAATTAGGAAGGACAGAGACTTGGTTTTACTGAGAGCTTCTGCAACCCAGTCCAGGTTAACTAAGGACTGCTATAACAGGCACCATGACGAATAGCACAAGACAAAAGACCAATCAATATTTTTTTCCCCCCACTAACTCCCCTCCTCTCCCTTGAACAGATGTCTGTCCAGATAAACAGTCAATTTTTAAGCTGCAGAGCCATGTTTCCTTCCCCTAGGCTATTTTTCAACGGCCAGATAGCTCCCACAGCGTGGATAATAAAACTCAAATTTGACGTTGCAGACCACTGGCCCAGCGTAGAGACCTGTTTGACACACAATAAGTACATCATAACAGACGTATCTGCCACATCTGCCGCTGAAGGTCAGCTTGAGAGTGCACTGTGCTAACAAGTCAAGAGGAGGAACCTGTCACACATTTTAGGTTGGAGAAGATGTTTGTTACTGCAAGATCGCACTGTGAATTCATTTGAACTCTATTTATGATTAGTTAAGATAAAGACGTCATCATGACATTCAAAAATAATGGAAGTATATCAAGGTCACATAATAAATGTATTTTTACATACACCAACTATAATCTGTAGCTTCTGAAACTGCTGCTGCATTGAGCTGGATATATCTCCTCCCACACATCCTGCACAACGTTCTCAGCATTCTGCGTTTTATTTCACTGAGGCCTCTAAGAAAAGTGAGTCACAGCAGATGGATAGGCAGCTCTCTGGTCAGCTGGGCCATCTGTTATTGTTCTATAAGGCGGCCAGTCGTCTTAGTGCAGAGCTGATCGTGGACCTGTAACGTATGCTGATGTGCTGATGCGGCATATGGTGATTTCCACGCTTCCAGCGCCTGACATAAACACACACCCGCCAGAGTGCACATGTAAAAATAAACCGAATCTGAAACTAAGAGAGAGCGGGCTGATGATGGAGACATGTGAACCCTCTCACTCCCTTATATATAATATGATTCTACATTCTTGTATGCTCCTAAAACACCCACTTACACACCTACAAGTGTGCAAAGAGCATAGATGCATGCACACAAACTACTCACCAAGGGCAGCAGAAAGATTGCAGTCAGCAGGTAGCCTCTCATCGTCTCCTCTGAAGGGCTTGTATCCACAAAGCTCCACAATATGTGTGTGTGTCTCAGTGTGTGTTTTCACAGGGGTGCACTGAAATTGTTCCCCTCAGCGTCACCACTCTTCAGCATCAAGGGCTCTGAAATATAACACACAGAGAGAAAAAGGCTCTGAAAGGGAACAAACAACAAGGAAACACAACAGGTAACTGCTTCAGTTTTTTATTTGTTATATTATTATAAGAAAAGCACTATACAGACATAAGATTGACATTTTGAAATTCTTTACTATTAAACCTTTTATATGTTTTGGAAACGCGAGTAAAGAAAAGTGTTGTTGCTAACTGCAGCAGCGGAAATGTTTTAGTTTTTTAAGATGTTAGTTGAAAAGTGGGGAGTGTTTTCTTTAGACAATATCCTCGATGTTACTTAACGTAGAAACATGGGAATTTTGATTCAAAATACTACAATACCATGAGCATCGAACACAGTTGCCATTAAGAAGCCAACGATGCAAGTCAGTTGGATAGCGAATTCAACTAATTTGAATTGTTTTCAGAGCATTCAATGAATGTTATCAGTAGTTTTCGCTATCATTGTAATGAGTCAGATGGGCCAAACTACCCCTACTAGTGAAGTGAAAGTGAAAAAGGACTTGAACACTTTGTAAAACTGAATGAAACGTAACATTATGAAGACAAACACAACAACTTCCAACTTCTTTTAGTGTGATCAACTCAGCCAGGTTTAGTATGTACAATTTGAATGTAAAATAACCACGTTTGTCAAATGAAACTTGATGTCTTTAAGCTCAAAGACAAAACAATTCTGTTGGTTTTACATAGGACACATACATCTGTCTCCTGGATGTTTTGTGTCTTATACAGTATAGTACACGGCCCCAGACCTCCACCCACTATAGAGTATCCCGATCTTGATACTACGTCACCTCACTTCGGCTTCTGTTCCTGTTATAATCACTATTATATGTCAGTTTGGTCATCTTGTATTCCTTCTTTTGGTAATCAACTGTGTGAATAGATGATCAAATCAATTAGTAGCTGTAGCACGGTCCTTTTGAACAACATATAAAAGGCGGATAGTCACTGATAACACCCATTAAAATGGCTGATAACAAAGAGATTCAAAGCTCTTTTGTAGGTGCAGTGGAGAAAAAGCACCGTAGTTGCTGCATTTATCCAAAATTGAACACAAATTTAACACTGAATTACTTTAAACTTCAGGTTGTTAAATCACCTTTCTTTAGCCCCCATCAGCCCGCATCAATGCATTTTAAACTCTGTGACTGCATGTCTCTTGTAGAAATTAGGAGTTGTAGCTCACTGCTCACAAGGCTTTTTCAACTTTCTTTCAGAGAAACATACACAGTTTATATACATATCTTTTCTGACATTTTTAATAGTTTGAGCTTTCAACAGGAGATGTGTATGTCAACAGGAGAAAACAAGACTTACTTTTCCCAAAAGTTTAAAGTCTGTATAACAACATAATAATTGACTCATAGGAAACCTTTGAAACTTCCCACAATCTTCTCTCTTCAACCCGAAAAACTGGTGGAATAGTCATGATTCAACTATAATGACAATAAGCTTTATTTTCAGCCAAATATTTTCACTACATTGTCTTCAACTCACACACATAAATATACACATCGCTTCAGCGGGTATGCGTCACTTCATATCTCATCCCAACAGAATCCTACACTCATAAAACCCCTTCTATCAAATCACAGAGGAAGCATTTGTTGTTGTTTGACTGACGTTATAAAACATCTGTCATCACCTGCACTCTAAATAACTGTAAAAGAGAAAATCGAGACAAATCATATATTTCATGAAGGACAAGTTGATTACCAAAGTAGAAATGTGTAGAAATTTGGAAGGAACACAGATTTATTTTAAGATGACGTGTATGCCTGGGTCTGACTTTAAAACATTCCCTCTTCACCCCCCCCCCCCTCCTTTCATGTCTTACTCATCCACACAGCTTCCTGAACAAAACACACACACACACACACACACACACACACACACACACACACACACACACACACACACACACACACACACACACACACACACCACACACACACACACACACACACACACACACACACACACACACACACACACACACACTTAAACTAGCTAAGCTAATTCATGCACACACACACACACACACACACAGACAAATTCCTCTCTGTGTCCCTTCCCTAGTACCGAATCCAATTACCTCTAAAGCAACTCTCGGATGCTTTATCAAGTAATAGGACAGACTGTGCTCGGAGGAAAAGCCCGGAGATATAGAGGAGGGATAACGTGTCAAGTAGGGCTGAAACCAGACTGTCGGGGGTGCACGTTTAAACAGACAATCAAACATAAGAAAGTAAGATGGAGAAAATGACTGAAATGTCACAGCAGCCATGTTGCTAGAGGCTGCAAATTCAATTTAAAAACAGTCCTTGGTATTTAGGACAAATCCATATGGCTTTGGTATAGAGAGGAAGCACTGGTGCAAGAAGCAAAAGAGGAGAATCAAAACTATCCTGAGGGCAGAAAAGCAAGAGAGTCTTTGATTTTCACATCATGGGATACATGTGTAGAAAACTGTGAAGCTTTATGGGAAATTAGGGAAAATATCAAATGGTGTTCAGTCCCAGTATTTAAGAAAACAGAGTACATGGGTTTACAGAATGCATTAACTGAATTGGTAATTGTATCCAGTAGTTGCCTATTAAATACAAGACACATAATCAATAAGCCAATCATAAATAATGGCTGATATACTGTATCAACCCTTTTGTTAGATTGGGAACCACATTTATTAGCACAGGGATTTGTGTGTGTGTGCTCATGCATACTCTGTGTGTGTCTGTCTACAGATGCAGCTTCAGAGACAAACAAGAGAGAAAAGCTCTCCTTAATGATTAATCTCTATTTTAAATGGATTTTTTGAGAGATCTGTCACAACACATCAGCTTCCTCCTCATGTTAGTTGAATTCCTCTGAACACCACGGTGCATTCATAATTCATTTTTGGTTTAAAGCGATCCCAGTAAAACACTTTCATTTAACCTAAAAGCAAGTCTGGTTGGTGACTGCAAAAAGGTATTGCATGTCTGCCAGTGTGCACTCATTCAAAATCATTTTTTGGGCAGCTTCATGTTTTTTGCTAATGTTCATGAGCAGTAATAATACAGGGAATAATATGGGATGCATAACAGGACCAACGGTTACACTTTATATTGCTAGAGTCCTATTTAAATCACAGCTTGCAAAATGTCAAAAAGATTTGTGAAAGGAAACATGCAACAGTGTTCATTTGGCTACATTTAATCAGTGAAACCCCTGGAGCTCCGGAATAAAGAGGCTAATTTTGCCATTGCTATTTTCCCTTTATTCCCGCATTCGTAAACGTTTAATTCATCAATGCATGTGGGTGACCTTCGCTTTGCACATGGACAACATCAGCAAGAAAAGCGTCTATCCTTCATACTGAACACTCTCACTCAAAACCATACCGACTGCTCAGCGGCGTTTAAAGAATAAATGTATATATATATTTTTAACATATAGCCTCGGCTTGAGTGAAAGGCTTTCTGATTGAAGACGAGAGTAAAAGCGCGCAGCAGTCGGCTGGAGGAAAACAAGTGACAGGAACTTACCGATGCGTAATTTTCACAGGCGCAAATATCTACACATGAAGCCATCGGTATTCACACATCCTCGCCGTGTTCGGCTCGTAATTGTTTCGGGGAATATCTTGATTTACTCCTAAACCGGTTATCAGCTGGTCCAGAAAACGACAGGTGCCGTTGTTGTTGCTGCTGCTGCTGTTGTTGCTGCTGCAGGACGCACCGTGCAGGCTGCTGCGGCACCACGATGTGAGGAGGAGGAGGAGGAGGAGGAGGAAGAGGAGGAGGAGGAGGAAGTTCGTTCCTTTGGGATTCGCACCTCGTCAGACAGAGACAACCAAGTCAGACAGCAGTTTAGTCTACAAATGCAACTGGCATAGGAGAGACGTTTTAAAAAACAAGTTGCAACACTGTAGCCTATTGGAAGAAGAAAAACAAATCATCGTGTTTTTTTCACATGCGTGGGACTTTGTTCCAGATATCAAACTATTCATAAGACTCTAATTTGCGCCTGCGCCTCTTATAGGCACACAGTCTGGTTCCCTGCTGGGTGCAATTTGTGAGGAACTTATTATGCTGCCCCATGATGTGTGTGACTCACTTTCAATACCATAAAGTTTACCATCTAATTCCTTGCAGGTGTTTTTCAGCAATCCAATGCAGGTTAGTAAGAGTGAAGGCTACTGTGGCGTTTAAGTCCAAAATGCATTGAAATTCCCATGAAGGTGATTTATTGTAGCCTCTGGCATTCTTTTTTACTTTCAGCACCACGGACAGTTTCCCAAAAATAAATAGCCTTAGGGCGTTGAATGGGTTCATAGTCCATAACATCATTTTAACTGCAAATGAAAACAATCCTAATACTAATAGCTGCTTAGAGTAAATCTCAACATAATTGATCCATGTTGTTGTCCCTGCACCAGAGTGTCAGTAAAAATGGACTGAGTCAACGTCAAAGAGTCGTAATAAAACACAATGACGCACAAACAGAGGGGAAAAGACCATAACGATGTTAAACAGCAATTTCCACACAATTTCAACTGCTATACACAATCATCACAACAAGAAGCAAAAGCACCACAGACTGAATCAAAACAACCTCAAACCCAGACAAAGAAACCATGGAGATAAATAACCGCAAAGACACAATACAACTTCCAAAGAGGTTCAAAACAACCACAAAGAGATGCACACTTATTACAAACTGACCTAAAATGAACTCAACGGTGTTTGTAGTTGTCCTTTTTAGACTATGATGTGTTTGGTGCCTTATACATATGGCTGTATATGATTTGGAGTGAAAAAGCATCTAGTAACAATATAAGAGTTGTTTATTTGGTATTGCTTTATTTTATTGAATACATATTGTAATGTTTGGTTGTGTAAAGATTATTAACCAGGGCTGTTACTGTTGGTCTTGAAAAGTGTTTTATTCAATTTGAGATGTACCCGCCTTCTTTACAACTGTGCTCCCCCATTGGCCCTGGGTGAATCCTAGAGCATTTCCAGTAGCAGCTATATGCAGGACAGTGTTTTGAGTGCAGGAGTGATTGATCACCTAGCAGGGCCTTTGATGGGTTGGCTATAAATCAATGAGGCATAACAAGTATTAACCCCTGCCATGATGTGGATATTCTCAGAGAACAACACAGCAAACAGGAAAGGCCACAATAACTGGCTTGAAGACACTCACCCTATCAAAATGTGGAGGAAAAAAAACAATTCATGAAAACGGCTGATTGGAGGGAGGGTAGTGACGCATGTCTGCTGCTGTTCCCGGAACATTTTAACACTGTTACTGGCCTCAAGGACATCCATGAAAATGTTCCCATTGAGAGAAATTCAAAGATTGTCTGCTATTGCAGCCTGCAATCTGTGGGCTATTTCTGTAGCATAATAGCAGGTAAGACAATGATTTGATGCTGGTTTCCATGGAAAACACTTAAGTGCTTCAGATTTGCAATTTTGTCTGAACTAGACAAGCGAGGTAAAACCATCTTTCACTGCTATGATAATGACAACTGTGTGTTAGCAGGAAAGAAGCAGAGAGAGACTAACTAAATATTTAAAAGACCTCCATTTTTTTTCTTGGATTTAGATTTTTTCTGCAACATCTCCACAGACTGCCTTCCTTTTGGTCGCATCATAAAACAATCGATTCATGGTTTCAGGCATTCACTCAAGGGCACAGCGACTGTGGATCATAATTGAAATGTCTGTCAGTCTCAAGGTTAAAATCATCCGCCTTCTGATTAATAAATGGACTCTTGACCTCGATAGCAGAATACTGGTTACATTAAAAAATATCTGGCTTGTTGGGTAGATGAGGGTTGTTTGAATTATATATTTATATATTTGTGAATTAATTCATTTATACATTTGACTGGATAAACATGCTTTTGGTTTGGTTCACACTGAAACCCTTGCAGTTTAACACATTTTAACTTTGTGGATCATTTTCACAAAGACGAGCCTTTAGTTAAGGTTCTACTATAATTTTTCTTTTTTTTTACCACAACGTCGGTAACACAAATTTAAGCCAGGACATTTTGTCTCCAGAAATTCATTCTTTAAAATCATGCATTCTTGCTGACATTATATTAAATCAAAGAAAAGCTCAACAATTTGAAAGAAATTAGCAATTAAATACCTAATGGGGAAATGTAATTAGCCCTGGAAAAAAATCTTCTCCAACCAAAGATTCATGTTCCTGACATTTTAAGATAATTCAAGTAAAACAATGTTGCCTGAATCTGAAATGTGAAATTGAGAACAAAAGACACGATACAAAATGTAAAACATGAGCATGCGAGCCTCAAAGGATTTGATCTGAACCATCAAGATAAAGAAAAAACGTTCACAACTGTAAAATGTGAAATTGAATTCATGTGTTTTCATATTCATTATTACTAATTCAGTTAATCCAATTCATAAGGAGACGCTCAGTTGCTTTCTTTTCTTCAATAAATAAGACGATGTAGGCAATCAGTAAACGTCTCAGATTTACATTTCTTGTAGAAAAGTCTCCAAATACAATATCTAGCTTTTAAAGTTTCAGATATGGTCAAATAAAAAAGGTAAACATACGTTGAAACAACTAACACACCAGCACGTTGGTTTTTCATCCCTCGACATTTCAGCTCCCAGTGAAATGATGCACTTGTTGAGCTTAGCATTAGCTGGATAGATAATAACTTGTGTTTATGTTCTGTGCCGTTATGCAACAGATACGAGAAGAAGCTAGTAAACAGATTCTTGTTTGTTGTTTATTGATCTAACTCAGTCTCTCCAAGGTGTTTATGCTCCATTGCACCGCCACTCAATGAAGCTCGCCACAGGACACTTCTCCCTCTCTCCCTTCGTCTCTCTTTCGCCATCAGGCACCAATCACACTGTGGGATTGCCATGGAGACTCATCATCGACAGATTGTGGGAGGGAAGCATCAAGTGGTGGAGTGCTAAGCCCACCTACCCACCTCATCTCAAAGAGGACGCTGTCGGGAAGCAGCCAAGACCTCATCCTCACCTCCATCCTCTCTTCATTCTCCTCCCACATGCCTGTCTCCCACTGAGTGTCCCTCTGAGGGGATTCATCAATCAGATATGCACATGAGAACAAGATGAACTACTTCAGCAGAACAGTTGCCTTACATGGGACGATTCAAAACGGAAACAATTACTGACCTTTTGGTTTCATTTTCTGACCTTTTGTGTATGCATGATGATGATTGGGAGAGTCTCCTGATTGGATGACTGGGAGCACAGGTGCATGATGATGATGAAGGTGATGATAATGATGAAGATATGAGTGTCAGTCTGAAGCTTTCCTCTCCAAACTCATGAACCGAGATTGCTAGAGATCTAGAGCAACAGAAAATAGATCAAAACATGGATGAAAAAATATTGTTCATAATTTGTGAATAGGTTTAAAACAAAGTTTATAAAAGAAAAAGGTTTTACCTGTTCCAAATCCTTAACAAAGGATTTCCAAATCCTTAACAAAGAATGTATATGTTTGCATTTCTAGTTTACTCAGATTAAGACCTGCAAAGGTTAACACTGGTTGGTTAGAAAATATGCTTTTTATTTAAAGGGGACCTATCATGCAAAATGCACTTTTGTACGTCTTTTATACATGAATATGTGTCCCCGGTGTTCCAGGGAACTCACCAAGTGTCAGAAAACACAACCCTCTCTATTTTCCTCCATACCCAAATCTCTAAAAAAGGGGCTGCAACGGATCTGATAAAAACTGATCCAGATTTGAACACTGTCCTGACGTCAGGACAGTGGCGCTACGGCTATTGGGCCAACTCCACCAATCAGGAGGAGACAGCCACGGCCATTGCCGTTTGAAAGCGCTGGAGACGCTGTAGTACATATGCCAGGCCTGTAGGTGGTGCTGTTCTCACAGAATCAGCCCTTGCAAAAACGGAGCTAAAAAAGTGCAAATTGAGCGAAATGAGGCATGGCTAAAATGCATGATCTGTTTGGTATTTTCAACAAAAAAAAGTATAAATATGCCTTATATAGGTATGGTCCTACACTATATTATTCAAATATAGCATGATAGGTCCACTTTAAAGTTACCTTTTTGGCTATTTCAGCGCTATGGAACAAGGTTTTTACAACGAGGTAGGTAACCATTTGTGTACATTGTGCACTGATGAGGGCAGTGAAGAAGAAGGAAGGGCTGCTTTCAAGAATGCCTGAATGCCACAAAAAATGTTTTACAATTCTACGAGGAAATGCATTCAGTCTTTAGTGAGTGACACTGAATGTAAACATAGGCTTTGTTTGTTTACAAGAAAACCCCACAGGGCATCTTCCAGTTACACATTGCTCCTGCTGCTGTGTGTGAAGTTTCTCTTTTAAGAAAAGGTCATGTTTTGAAGAAAAAATTAATTGCCATATTGACATTAGCTTCCACTGTTTACAGAGGCTTTGTGGCGGAGATAGTTGAATTGTTTTCCTCCGGTTCCCACACTGTGATGATAAACAGTTGGCCCAATACAGAGAACTGATTTCTGAGTGAGGATTCACATATTCGCATGACGTGGTAGAAATCTGTCCATCAATGTTCAAGGTTCAAGGTTCAAGGTTCTTTATTGTCAAACTAACATAGCTACAGAGTAATTATGTCGTTGAAAATCTTATGTCACAGGCTTCTCCAACAGTGCAACACAATAATACAGTTATAAATTAACATAATTACCCCCAACAAAGAGA